CCGGCTCAACAATGATTGGCTGGCGCTCTTCAGCTGGGAGGAGGCTTGGCCTCCTCCTGAGCACCTGGGACAATCGCTGGGCTTCTGCCGCCTCGGCGTCCTGACGAATCAGGAGAGAGGGAGGCGGGCGAGAGGGAAACAATGGATTCTTGAGAGGATTATGGAGATTTTGAGATGTCCAAGTGACCAGCGAGTCCCAAGGGCCTGCGAGCCAATCTGGCTATTGTCACCGAGTGGCTGCAATAAATATTGATGCCTGGCGATCCTGCCAAAATCCGGATTTTTCCAGTGCTGAGAGACAGGAACAATGTGGGAATTTTGGCTGTGGTTTCAGTGGATAAAAGTTGAATTAGTAACAGATTAGGATAAAGTATAGCTTTCCGAAGGCTTCCTTTGTCCTTTGAGATATGATCATAAATGCCAAGTGACCGCTTCCTCTGGGGGGCAACTCCGAGGCCAGAGGTCACGATCCTTTGTTATTGTCCATGCAAATAGTGTCTTTGGATAAGGGTCTTTTCCAACTAGGATTTCTTCCTTTCCAGTGTCACAGGGGTGGCTTCTTATATTTTTATACATTTTTTCAATAAAAGGGAATTGAGTAAAAGAGTCAGGAAAAGGTCAGGCACACAGGCAGAAATATAGAAATATAGAAATCATGATTTAGAAAACATACCCACTTATCCCTCCCACTAGAGTCCCATAGAAGTTCAAGAGAGCACATAAATGTAAAGGGAGGTGGTTTCTCAGTAATAAATGTGCTACTTTCTGCTATATATGAAACATAGGGCATAAAACCTTGATTAAATGAACACACTATCTAACATGGGAAGGGTCCTTGTTGTTGTTAATGTCTTGGCAAATTGACCAAGGTTTAACCCTTATTATCCAGTCTGGTGTCCTTGTCCTTAGCAAAACTATAAGTTACTATCTTTTATGGGGGGGGGGGTCATGTTCGACTTCATCAGGAGCTAAGTGGCTTTCCTTTGAGAGAGAGCAGGAAAACTCACCCAGTCCCGTTTTAGTGTAATAGTGAATCCACTTTCGGCCTTTCACTAAATGTTAAAGGAGTTGTCCAGGGTGCTGGACCATAACTCTTGGTGGGCGGGGTGGAGATTAGGTCATTATATTGTCAAAGGCTTTCATGGTCGGAATCACTGGGTTGTTGTAGGTTTTTCGGGCTATAAGGCCATGTTCTAGAAGCATTCTCTCCTGATGTTTCACCTGCATCTATGGCAAGCATCCACAACATCTATGGCATGCTTGCCATAGATGCAGGCAAAATGTCAAGAGAGAACGCCTCTAGAACATGGCCATATAGTCCGAAAAACCTACAACAAGCCCTTAGGTCATTATGTTCAAATACCACATTTATAGTGAAGAATACAAGCAGGTCCCAAGTTACGAACAAAATAGGTTCTGCAGGTTTGTTCTTAAATTGAATTAGTATTTTAGTCAGAACAGGTAAATTTTTGAAGTGTAACTCCAGCCAAATATACTAGCTTGGGTACCCGGCATTGCCCGGGTTATTTGAAGAAGACATTTTTTAAATTTTACAAACTACAACTCACATCATGCCAAGTCAACCCACTGAAATTCCATCAGTAGTTAAAGTTTGTCATGTTGAAAAAGTTTGCTCTAGATGCATCATTGATGGGATCCGTTTGCACTCTGGCTGCAGGGTTAACTACAACTCCTACCATGGTAGGTCAGTCCCCTCAAACCCCTCCAGTAGATTCAGTTGGTCATGGGGGTTCTGTGTAGCAAGTTTGGTACCAATCTGTTGGTGGTGGTGGTCACAGTGCCTCCAGATGTAGGTGAACTACAACTCCCAGAAATAAAGGCCAGTTCCTTTCAAACTCCTCCAGTAGGTTGAGTTAGTCATGGGGGTACTGTGTGCCAAGTTTGATTCAGGTCCATTGTTGGTGAGGGTCACAGTTTCTCTGGTTGTAGGTGACGTACAACGCCTTCCAAATCCATCCAAAGATCTTCAGCGTTGTTTTTGTTGGTCATGGGTGTTCTATGTGCCAACTTAGTTCCAAGTCCATTGTTGGTGGAGTTCAGAGGGCTCATCAATTGCAGATGAGCTATACATCTCAGTGCCTACAACTCCTATAAATCAAAATGAATTCTTCCCAAATCTCTCCAGTATTTTGCACTGTTCATGGGGATTCTGTATACCAAATGTGGTCCAGGTCCATTGTCAGTGGGGGTCCCAGTTCTGTGTCTTGATGCAGGGTGAACTAAAACTGCCATCATCTTGAGTCAGGCCCCCAAACCCCTCCAGTATAATCAGTTTCTGATCAATTCCTCTCTTTTTGCTGTGCGCCGTAGAAAAGGGTTAAGGGAGAGGCAATGGGCAGGATCATGCCAATTCCACACCAATGGAGAGAGAAAGGAACACTGTGATGTCTGTGGTGGAATAAAAAAAAATCTAGGATGAAATTGTCACCATATGAAAGCCTTCACTTGTGTGGTGGGCAGTTGGTACTTGTGGAGGACATTGGCAGGGCTATGTGGATATGTGGTGGAGGCTCCTTCTATGGAGTCTTTTAAACAGAGGCTGGATGGCCATCTGTTGGGGGTGCTTTGAATGTGATTGTCCTGCTTTTTGGCAGGGGGTTGGACTGGATGTCCCATGAGGTCTCTTCCAACTCTATGATTCTATGATTCTATGTTCATTGGTGTCTCCTGAGTAGTAGGACCTATAGCTCTTTGGGGAGGCAGGAACTTGTTTGTGTAAGTGGACACTCCTGCCATATACACACATATTTTCACTTCTATCATGTGTATAGATGTTAGCTTTGGATAGCATATGGATTATATTTATCGTGTCAGGAGCAAACCAAAAAGTTGTATTGCATTTTTTAACAAACAAACAAAGCACAAAGTTTGTAAGCTTGGTAGTTGATTAAATGCCCTTTGACCAGTATCTGGCCACTTGGAGTGCCTCTAGTGTTGCCGCAAGAAGGTCCTCCATTGTGCATGTGGCAGGGCTCAGGTTGCATTGCAGTAGGTGGTCTGTGGTTTGCTCTTCTCCACACTTACATGTCATGGATTCCACTTTGTAGCCCCATTTCTTAAGGCTGGCTCTGCATCTCGTGGTGCCAGAGCGCAGTCTGTTCAGCACCTTCCAAGTTGCCCAGTCTTCTGTGTTTCCAGGGGGGAGTTTCTCATTTGGTATCAGAAATTGATTGAGAGTCTGGCTTTGAAGCTGCCACTTTTGGACTCTCGCTTGCTGAGGTGTTCCAGCGAGTGTCTCTGTAGATCTTAGAAAACTATTTCTTGATTTAAGTCATTGACGCGCTGGCTGATATCTAAACGGGATGAGCTGGAGATGTCACTGCCTTGGTTCTTTCACTATTGGCTGCTACTTCCCAGAGGATGTCAGGTGGTGCCATACAGGCTAAACAGTGTAATTTCTCCAGTGGTGTAGGGTGCGGACACTCCGTTATAATGCGGCATGTTTCATTAAGAGCCACAATCCCTGTTTTAGCATGGTGAGATGTGTTCCACGCTGGGCATGCATACTCAGCAGCAGAGTAGCATAGCGCAAGGGCAGATGTCTTCACTGTGTCTGGTTGTGATTCCCAGGTTGTGCCAGTCAGCTTTCGTATGATATTGTTTCTAGCGCCCACTTTTTGCTTGATATTCAGGCAGTACTTCTTGTAGGTTGGAGCACGGTCCAGAGTGACTCCCATATGGATATGCGTATGAATTAACACCCCTGTGGTATTTGTTTTGCTGTCTGGGCCCCAGTTGAGAAAATTTCACCCCACTTTCTGTCGCTATGAGAATTAGATTTTGAAAAGTTTGGCTTGTGGAAACAAGGATTGGCGAGAAAGCTTCAGTTGAGACACCTTTTTCCCCATGATAACTCTTCCAAGAGTGAATTTCCCTTCCAAGGAGCAGATTTCTCTCACTTTTTATTGTCTCAGCCCTGTTTTTAACTGTGAGTTGTTTGTAAGTCAGATGTTTGTAACTTGGGGACTGTCTGTGAATTTTTGTATCGTAAAGATTGGATGTATCATCTCAATGTTGCGGCAGGCAGTGGCTCCCACTAGTAGTAAAATGTGACACTATTGCGTTACTTGGGATTCGTTATTTATTTACTTATTGTATTTGTATACCGCCTTTCTCAGCCCGTAGGTGACTCAAGGCGGTTAACAGGGTAAAATTCTATGCTTACAGTATTATAAATACAATTAAAAACATAACATATAATAAAAACTAAACAAATCAATCTATATAAATAAAAATGTAATGTTTGTTTGTGGGCTTAACATAACTCAAAAACCACTGGATGAATTGACACCAAATTTGGACACAATACACCTATCAGGCCAACGAGTAACCATCACTGATAAAAACACTGAAAAACACAGCAGAAGAGACTTAAAAAGCCAAAAAACAAAAATTACATTACAACGGATGTGCAAAACCACATATATATACACAAACATACATATACACAAATATAAACATATATAAACATACAAAACACATATACAGGGACTGAGCCACAGCAACGCATGGCAGGGGACGGCTAGTAAAATATAAATTCATAGTGTCTTCTTGTTAAAAACGTTGTCCAGTCTCGTTGTCGTCGTTCCATTTTCCTATGTCTGTTACTCTGCATTTGCAAATGCTTGTTCAAAAAGCCACGTCCTGACTTTTCTCTGGAATGTTAAAAGGGAGGTGGCCAATCTAATATCTATAGGGAGGGCATTCCATAGCCAAGGGGCCACCACCGAGAAGGCCCTGTCTCTCGTCTCCACCAAACGTACTTGTGACAAAGGTGGTAACAAGAGCAGGGCCTTCCCAGATGATCTTAAGGTCCTAGATCAGTGGTTCTCAACCTGTGGGTCCCCAGGTGTTTTGGCCTACAACTCCCAGAAATCCCAGCCAGTTTACCAGCTGTTAGGATTTCTGGGAGTTGAAGGCCAAAACATCTGGGGACCCACAAGTTGAGAACCACTGTCCTAGATGGTTCATAAGGGGAGATGCGTTTGAACATGTAAGTTGGTCCAGAACCATTTAGGGCTTTAGAGGCTAAAGCCAGCACTTTGAATGCTGCCTGGTAGCAAACTGGCAGCCAATGGAGTAGGCGCAACAGAGGAGTTGTACGCTCTCTTGTTAGCAATCTGGTTGCCGTTCGTTAGACCATTTGAAGCTTCCGGACAGTCTTCAAAGGCAACCCCACGTAGAGTGTGTTGTAGTAGTCTATACGGTTACTTCTCAGTTTTAAGTCATGGAGCATTTTTATACCTGGTAGTACAGTGGAATTCTTGCTGTGGTTAGAAGATGCCCCATAGCTCACCACGACCCAACTTTTGTTCCTTATCACAATCCAAGAGGATTAGGTTTATTGAGTTTTGTTTGGCATACAGTTTATCGGATGCCAGATCAGCTTATGTCAAATTAAAGAGCCACTAGATTCTTTGATGTTGTTTTCTCAGCTGACGTACACATCTACTCCTGTCCCCTGGAAATCAAAAGCAGCCATTTGTCTTGGGTTCAAAGAGACAGGATGGTGAGAGGCATGCAGGACATGGAGTGGTCCTTTTGCTTTCAGATTAGTATTCCTTAGCAACTATCTCCCTGTTTATCTGGTAGAGGAATTGCCCCATTCTGTCTGGAGAAATTCCAGATTGATCCAGCGTAAACCTCATAGGCAGACTACCCTTCAAAGAAGCCGGCATCTCTGGGGACTCATAGATGGCTCCAACCACCACCAGTGGCATGACGGTTGTACTTGTTGCATTTCTCCCTCCTGAGGAATTCATTGAGACAGTTTCATGTGATGCCCAGAAACAAAATTATCATCTCCAATTGTATCCCACAGGCAGAATATTTGGACAGCATTGTTGTGGCCTTGCTAGTTAAGGGAATTTAAGGACTTGTAGAGCTCAGTAATGGATGTGTGCAGTGTGAGTATCCAGCCTCAAAGAAGATAATTCCATCTAACGACTTCCAGAAAAGAAAAGAAAAAAAATATCATGGAAATACCAACCCTAACCCTAACCACTTTATTGGATGTGTTGCAATAGCAGATTCCCAGATTAGTTTAGTGTTTACACCTTATTTTATTTTCTGGTTATTTAATATTTAATGTTTATTTTGTTTGTTGTTCATTCGTTCAGTTGTCTCCGACTCTTCGTGACCTCATGGACCAGCCCACGCCAGAGCTCCCTGTCGGCCGTCACCACCCCCAGCTCCTTCAAGGTCAGTCCAGTCACCAAGGATGCCATCCATCCATCTTGCCCTTGGTCGGCCCCTCTTCCTTTTGCCTTCCACTTTCCCCAGCATAATTGTCTTCTCTAGGCTTTCCTGTCTCCTCATGATGTGGCCAAAGTACTTCAACTTTGTCTCTAGTATCCTTCCCTCCAATGAGCAGTCGGGCTTTATTTCCTGGAGGATGGACTGGTTGGATCTTCTCACAGTCCAAGGCACTCTCAGAACTTTCCTCCAACACCACAGTTCAAAAGCATCTATCTTCCTTCGCTCAGCCTTCCCTAAGGTCCAGCTCTCACATCCGTAGGTGACTACAGGGAATACCATGGCTTTGACTAGGCGGATCTTTGTTGCCAGTCTGATGTCTCTACTCTTTACTATTTTATCGAGACTGGACATTGCTCTCCTCCCAAGAAGTAAGCGTCTTCTGCTTTCCTGGCCACAGTCTGCATCTGCAGTAATCTTTGCGCCTAGAAATACAAAGTCTGTCACTGCCTCCACATTTTCTCCCTCTATTTCCCAGTTGTCAATCATTCTTGTTGCCATAATCTTGATTTTTTTGATGTTTAGCTGCAACCCAGCTTTTGCGCTTTCTTCTTTCACCTTGATTAGAAGGCTCCTCAGCTCCTCCTCGCTTTCGGCCATCAGAGTGGTGTCATCTGCATATCTGAGGTTGTTAATGTTTCTTCCAGCAATTTTCACCCCAGCCTTGCATTCATCCAGCCCCGCACATCGCATGATGTGTTCTGCATACAAGTTAAAAACTTTGGGTGAGAGTATGCAGCCTTGCCGTACGCCTTTCCTAATCTTGAACCAGTCTGTTGTTCCGTGGTCAGTTCTTACTGTTGCTACTTGGTCCTTGTACAGATTCCTCAGGAGAGAGACAAGGTGGCTTGGGATGCCCATCCCACCAAGAACTTGCCACAATTTATTATGATCCACACAGTCAAAGGCTTTAGAATAGTAAATGAAACAGAAATAGATGTTCCTCTGAAACTCCCTGCCTTTCTCCATTATCCAGCGGATATTGGAAATCTGGTCTCTCGTTCCTCTGCCTTTTCTAAACCCAGCTTGAACATGTTTATTTTACTTAAGTGATATTTGTCATTACTGTTCTAATGCAGCACAAATACTATGTATTCTTGACATTAATATTTAAATCTGAAATAAATCTGAAATATATACAGAAAGTCTTTACTTTCTTTTTGTTTCGATGTTATCTCTGTATATGTGATTTTGCATCCAAGCGTTCTCTTGTAATATCTCAAGGTTTCCCTCGCTTCTTCACTCCTTGTGTTCATCATTCTTCTCCTTTCACTGATCATATGTACACTAAGGCAATGTTTCAGGTATTGACTTTCAAATGAAAGGAGAAGCCTCTGCCTTTGTTTGTGTTTGTGTATCTCATTGTATATGATTGTAAAATGCATTGAATGTTAGCCTATGTATGTCAATGCTGTAATCTGCTCTGAGTCCCCTAGAGGAGGAGGGCAAAATATAAATAAAGTGTATTATTATTAATTTCTGTTAGAAATGTAATTTACTTGACTGGTTGCCCTGACACAACAAATAAAAAAAAACAAATAAATTATTATTAATACCCATCTGGTACTATTCAGAGGTTATAATCAAAGAGTTAAGGTGCTTCAGTAATATTACACCAGTTAAGCATTAGAATAATTTTCTTTTATTGCTCCTATTTCTCTTTCCCTCACTTGATCTCTGTTGAATCTGGGTAGTGATAACAGCTGCCTTCTTTCTTGGCAGAGGCTATCTTAGCTATGTTTGGTATAATAGAAACAACAGGGGTGCATTTCATTTTGGGAAATAGTGTGCCAATTTAAACTGATCTGGAGACTGGGAATGAAACTACCTCAATAATGCCAGGAGTTCCCTGAAAATTCTTCCAGATGGGGAAAACTTGGATATATTTGTAAAAAAAAATGAGTATACAGGAGCAAAACCTAGGACTCTTTTCTGGTCGAGGGAGGCTCTCGGTTATTGTTCTTTGCACTTGATGTATACATTCCTGAAAGATTAACGCCACTGCTGATATACCATGAGCATTATATAATGGTCGCTGTACCTCAGATCTGTGTAGCATGCATCACAATACCCTTCCACTCACTGGGCATGCTGCCAGGGGGCTGTCAGCCATTTATTGTATCTCTGTGTGGCGGGGAGGGGATATGTTGACCGTCTCCCACCTGCCATGTGTTAATGCTTAGGGAATGCCATCCACTTTCCTGGTTTCTCTCCCTAGCTTTCAGGATGGGCGGGTGGTAGCTATTTTGACTGTGTCGGAGCCGAGTCGAGAGACCTGCTGGCTAATAAGCTGGTGGTTCTTCCCCTTGGTTTGCCTTTTCTTATTTTCTAAATTGGGTTTAATTCCTCCTCCAACTGGACTCATTTCCCTTCTCCCTCCCACACCTGTCCTGTTCTGAGCTCCCCGGAAATCTGCTCCTCTTTTCGGCTTTCGTCCACTTGTCCAAAGGGATTAGGCCAATTTCTGTTCCTGGTCTCTGAAACCTTGCCCAGGCTTGGCTGCGGAGGGTCACTGGGCCTGGCGCGGGTGTCCTCTGGCCATCTCCCCAAGGTCGTTGCAGGTGGGACGCTCGCCACGCCACTCTCTCTGATCTCTGACTATGGAATGCGGACAGGGAGATTGCTGGGGGATTTAGGCTCTTTGCTGTACCAACCGCCGAATGCAGCCCCCCGCGTCTCCCCCACCACCCACGTCGGCTCCGCCTTTAGCCACTTCATGGGACCAAAATACCCCCTGAGCTCAGCTCAGGCCAGCCCAGGCCAGGCCAGCCCCACCATTGTGAGGATTAACATCCTTTAGCTGTTGCCCTTTCTCTATGAAATGGGAAGGTGAATGGGGCAAGGAGCAGAGGTTGGAAAAGTTACTTTAGAGAACTGTAAATCCCAGAATGCACTAGCCAGCATGGGCAGTGCTCATACTGCTCATACAGGTCTCGGCGGTGGTCAGGGGAGCTTTTGCACAATTAAAACTTGTGCGCCAGCTGTGCCCATACCTTGGGAAGTCTGATTTGGCCATGGTGGTCCACGCTCTGGTTACATTCCGTATAGATTACTGCAAGTCTCTCTACGTGGGGCTGCCTCTGAAGACTTCCCGGAAACTGCAACTAGTCCAACGTGCGGCAGCCAGATTACTGACAGGAGCGGGGTACAGGGAGCGCACAACTCCTCTGTTGCGTCAGCTCCACTGGCTGCCAATTAGCTTCCGAGCACAATTCAGAGTGCTGGTGTTAACCTACAAAACCCTAAACCAGTGGTTCTCAACCTTGGGTCCCTAGATGTTTTTGGCCTTCAACTCCCAGAAATCCTAACAGCTGGTAAACTGCCTGGGATTTCTGGGAGTTGTAGGCCAAAAACATCTGGGGACCCCAGGTTGGGAACCACTGCCTTAAACAGTTCCAGCCCAGTTTACCTGTCTGACCATATTCTCCACTATGAACCATCAAGCTTCTTAAGATCTTCTGGAGGGGCCCTGTTCTCGATCCTGCCACCCTCACAATTGTGTCTGGTGGGGACGAGAGACAGGGCCTTCTTCGTGGTGGCCCCTCGGCAGTGGAACTCTCTCCAGATGGAGATCAGATCTGCCCCTTCCCTCCTGACCTTCAGAAAGCTAATAAAATCCTGCCACTGGGACAAAGCATTCCCAAAATAATTTAGTTGAGTCCAGCAATAATCCAATAATTACTGACCACATTTGTGGACTGAGTTGAACTTGATTCTATCTTGGCGATTTGGCTTATGTGTATATATTCTGTCTGTATTTTAACTTATTATGTTTTTAAGATGTTTCTAGATGTATTTGTGCATTGAATTTCTGCTGTTAGCCATCTGAGTCCCTCCACGGAGGTAGAGAAGATCGGGATATAAAATTTTTAAAATATATAAATAAATAATACTGGCTATGGGAGTCTGGGTGTTTCCTCCATTTCCTAAATCAGTGGTCCTCAAACTAAGGCCCCGGGGGCCGGATATGGCCCTCCAAGGTCATTTACCCGGCCTTTGCTCAGGGTCAACCTAAGTTTGAAACGACTTGAAAGCACACAACAACAACAACAACAACAATCCTATCTCATCAGCCCAAAGCAGGCCCACACTTCCCATTGAAATACTAATAAGCTTATATTTATTATAATTGTTCTTCATTTTAATTATTGTATTGTTTTTAAGTGTTTTTGCACTACAAATAAAATATATGCAGTACGCATAGGAATTCATTCATGTTTTTTTTTTCAAATTATAATCCAGCCCTCTAACAGTTTGAGCAACTGTGACCTGGCCCTCTGTTTAAAAAGCTTGTGGACCCCTGTCCTAAATGTCTCCAAGTTGTGGAAGAAGGAAGATATTGGGTCTTACCTCCTACTTTATGTGGAAGAACAGCCAGTCCATGAATTAGCTGCCCACCAACAGTTAGCCCCTAAATAGCAGCAACAGACTACCCAACCGTGGTCTTCCCCCTACTATAAGTGTATTATGTTTCTGTGTGAATTATGCTTGAGGAACTATTCTGAATGCAAGGGGCACTTTTCCAGCACTGGGACCTTCCAGAAACAAAGCAGAGGAGGAGGAATGAAACCAGAATAGCCAGAAGTTCACTTCTTTGAAAAGCATATACCAGGGGTCCTCAAACTTTTTAAACAGAGGGCCAGGTCACACTCCCTCAAACTGTTGGAGGGCCGGATTATGATTTGAAAAAAAGCATGAATGAATTCCTATGCACACTGGACATATCTTATTTTTAGTGCGAAAAAAAACACAATACAATAATAAAAATGAAGACAATTTTAACAAATACTTATTAGTATTTCAGTGGAAAGTGTGGGCCTGTTTTTGGCTGATGAGATAGGATTGTTGTTGTTGTCTGCTTTCAAGTAGTTTCAGACTTAGGTTGAGCCTGAGCGAGGGCCGGGTAAATGACCTTGGAGAGCCCTATCTGGCCCTTGGGCCTTAGTTTGAGTACCCCTGGCATATACAATAAATTTGGCATCCTTTTTCAAATATCAATTACTTTCTCTAGAACAGTGTTTCTCAACCTGGGGATCGGGACCCCTAGGGGGGTCGCGAGAGGGTGTCCGAGGGGTCACCAAAGACCATCAGAAAACACAGTATTTTTTCTTGGTCATCTGGGTTACGTGTGGAAAGTTAGATTCAATTCTATTGTTGGTGGGGTTCAGAATGCTCTTTGATCGTAGGTGAACTATAAATCCCAGCAACTACAACTCCCAAATGCCAAGGTCTATTTCCCCCAAACTTCACTAGTGTTCACATTTGGGCATATTGAGTATTTGTGCCAAATTTGGTCCTGATCCATCATTGTTTGAGTCCACAGATGTAGGTGAACTGCAACTCCCAAACTCAAGATCCATGCCCACCAAATCCTGATCGTGTTTTATGTTGGTCATGGGAGTCCTGAGTGCCAAGATTGGTTCAGTTCCATCATTGGTGGAGATCAGAATGCTCTTTGATTGTAGATGAACTATAAATCCTAGCAAGTACACCTCTCAAATGATAAAGTCCCTCCCCCAACCCCACTAATATCCAAAATTGGGCATATTGGGTATTTGTGCCAAATTTGGTCCAGTGAATGAAAATACATCCTGCATATTGGATATTTACATTACGATTCATAACAGTAGCAACATTACATTTATGAAGTAACAATGAAAATAATTTTATGGTTGGGGGTCACCACAACATGAGGAACTGTATTAAGGGGTCCCGGCATTACCAAGGTTGAGAACCACTACTCTAGAGTGATCAGACAAAGGATGGTCTTGAGGGAAGTTTGAGGACCCTAAAATAGGCATTTGGACCACGTATGACTCCAAAACTGTCCATGCTTTGTGTCTTCATTCTTATATTTGCATATATATGTGTAGGTTAGTGTATGAAAATTTTATGTAAGTATATAAGGTGTTTGAGCAACATGTATAAGTGGCTAGTAGAAAGTAGGCCTTAACATTAGGGATTTATTGTATTTACTAGCCGTCCCCTGCCACGCCTTGCTGTGGCCCACATGGGGGTTCTGTGTGGGAGGTTTGGCCCAATTCTATCATTGGTGAGGTTCAGAATGCTCTGTGATTGTAGGGGAACTATAAATCCCAGCAACTACAACTCCCAAATGCCAAGATTCTATTTTCCCCAAACTCCAACAGTGTTCACATTTGGGCACATTGAGTATTCGTGTAGAGTTTGATCCAGATCCATCATTGTTTGAGTCCACAGTGATCTCTGGATGTAGGTGAACTACAGCTCCAAAACCAAAGGACACTGCCCACTAAACCCTTCCAGTATTTTCTGTTGGTCACGGGAGAACTGTGTGCCAAGTTTGGTTCAATTCCATCGTTGGTGGGGTTCAGAATGCTCTTTGATTGTAGGTGAACTATAAATCCCAGCAACTACAACTCCCAAATGATAAAATCAATTTTTTTGAGTGAGGGACATACATTGGGTTGTTAGGTGTCTTGTGTCCAAATTTGGTGTCAATTCATTCAGTGGTTTTGAGTTCTGTTAATCCCACAAATGAACATTACATTTTTATTTATATAGATTGATTCTGAGCGTCTTCCTTCTCTCTCATATTTTCTCCACCTCCACTTTCTTTTCTCAGAACTGCTGGAGACCCGCACAGCCCGTCCCTTCAGCTTTGCCTTCAACACAAGCGATTATCGAATCTTGTTGGTGGACCAAGACCAGGAACGACTCTACCTAGGAGCCCGGGACTTCCTTGTGGCCCTAGATCTGCACAACATCAACAAGGAGCCACTCATTGTAAGCCTGAAGAAAAAAAAGAATCCTGATGGGTTGGGACAAAAGTTACACCTTGTTCGGGAGCATTCCTGTTTCCAATTGTAGATGGCCAGGTCCTGCTGAGGGAACATTTGTGTTGAGTTGATAAAATAAAATAAAGAGAGAACTGGGGCACCATTGCTATTTTGCAAGGGAAGACGGATATGTGGGATTCTTGAATTCTAACCCAGTGCCGAAGGGGCTAGAGCAAGCAACTGAAATCTGGGGAAGGCGAACAGAGTTGAAGGTAGAAAGCAGCCCCAGCCTTTCACAGCCTTTTCCACCTCTCTTCTTTTTTCCTAGATCCATTGGCCAGCTCTCCCAAGCCACCAGCATGAGTGTCGTCTTGCAGGAAAAGGTCAGAGGGTGAGTCGTAATTGCTTGCCCCACAACACTTATTTTGCTTTAGCTCTCTTTGTGAACTAGAAAACTATGGGCCCAACCACATTTTTGTTTCTATTTATTTATTAATTCATTTATTTCATTTAATGCCATGTATTCTCTCCCTTGAATCATCTAAATCCCATGATCTTCTGACAGCCAGTTCACCAGATGTCATTGGACTTCGGCTTCCATCATCCCTATCCATTACAGCCATTGATTATGGGAGGTGCAGTCCATTGCACCGGAAGGGCCATTCGTGTTTTGTAACTATTGGTTCGCAGCTTGGGAGTGATCCTGGACTCATTGCTGAGCCTGGAACCCCAGGTCTCAGCGGTGGCCGGGAGAGCTTTTGCGCAATTAAAACTTGTGAACCAGTTGCGCCCGTACCTTGGGAAGTCTGATCTGGCCACAGTGGTCCACGCTCTTGTTACACCCCGTATAGACTACTGCAACGCACTCTACGTGGGGTTGCCCTTGAAGACTGTTCGGAAACTTCAACTGGTCCAGCGAGCGGCAGCCAGATTGCTTACTGGGGCGAAATACAGGGAACACACCACCCCCCTGCTGTGTCAGCTCCACTGGCTGCCGGTTCAATTCCGAGCACAATTCAAGGTGCTGGTTTTGACCTACAAAACCCTTTACGGTTCCGGTCCAGTGTATCTGTCCGAACGTATCTCCCTCTACGTCCCACCCCGGAATTTGAGATCATCTGGGGAGGCCCTGCTCTCGACCCCACCGCTATCACAAGTGAGGCTGGTGGGGACGAGGAGCAGGGCCTTCTCAGTGGTGGCCCCTCACTTGTGGAACTCACTCCCGGGGGAAATCAGGGCATCAACATCCCTCCTCACCTTCAGGAGGAAGGTAAAGACGTGGTTGTGGGACCAGGCCTTTGGGCAACCTGACAATTAGATATGGAAACCAGATAGATAGGACTGAAAGGACTGACAATTGTGGAATTGGAATTTAAACTATGAGATTGTGAAACGCTGACCGTCAAGGAGGTTTGTATGGGTTTTTATTGCTTTTATTGGTTTTATGGTTGTTTTTGCCTGTAATAATTATTGTTTTTATGGTAATTGTTGTTATTGATAGAATTGCTGTTTTGTTAAATGATGTTATTGTCTTTTGCTGTTATGTGATGCGAGCATTGAATTGTGCCTCGCTTTTGTAAGCCGCCCTGAGTCCCCCCCGGGATGAGAAGGGCAGGGTAGAAGTAACCGAAATAAATAATAAATATTGCGCAGAATAATGTTGCCACCATGATACCTCCATTGCTGCCTTCTGATTCTGCTTGGCCTTTAGAAACTATGAGATCCACAAGGATTCATCTATAAGGCCTCCACCTATTAAAACTTTATTCCCAATCTGCTCTATACGGTTCGGGTCCAGCTTACTTGTCCAAACTCATCTGCCCCTACGTCCCATCTCACAATTTAAGATCATCTGAGGAGGCTCTGTTCTCGCTCCTGTCAACTTCGCAAATGCAACTGGTGGGGACGAGGAGCAGGGCTTTCTTGGCTGTGGCCCCCCACCTATGGAACACACTCCCTCGCTCCTGACCTTTAGGAAAAAAAATAAAATCATGGTTCTGGGACCAGGCCTTCGGAGAATAGATGTATGCAGCTTTTAGTGGGACAAGGACTGGAACGGCGACTCGACTGATGAGATTGTTTTATGGTTTTAATAACTTTTTTAAAAAGAATTTTTATTAAATTTTATATAGAATACAACGAAAGAGTGAGAACAATAAGGTATAGGAAAGTGAAGAAAGAAAGAGAAAGGCCAATAAAGTAAAAAAATAAAAAGGATATCCTAAATAAAACCCTAAAAAATATTTTAAAAAATATAAACTACAAAAATACATCCGCACACACACACAAAGGTGACTTCCATTCCATCTTCTTGGAGAAAATATTCTTATTATTCAAAAATATTTTTTTTATTAAAGATAATAAAATTGTCTCTCTTGTTTCTTATTTTCGCAAATTGTCCAGATAGTCATGAAGATTATCCCAATTCGTTCTTTTTATTATCATGGCTGTATTTTTCTTCAACTGTCCTTTATTTCTCTGATTTTTTTCCACCCAATCCTGTATGCGTGGTACTGTGCCTTGCTTCCACTCTCTAGCAAACACAATTCTAGCGGCGGTTGATAACTTTTGATATTTGATGATGTACTGTTTTTAATATGATTTATGTCTAATGGTTTTACTATTGTAGTTGTAAGGCATTGAATTTTTGCCATTATCTATGTGTAAACTGCTTTGAGTCCCCCTAGGGGTGTGAAAAGAGGTATATAAATGCTGTAGATAAATAATAAATAAATAAATATGTTGGGTTACTATTTATTTATTGATTTACCATATTTATCTATCACCTTTTTCAGCCTGAAGGCGACTCAAGGTGGTTTACAGTCAGCACAATTCGATGCCCCCAACAACATAAAATACAATTAAAAACATTTAGAATATCATCATCATCATCATATTTAATTACTTATTAATTGCCCTCCATCCAAGAATGCTCTAGGTGATTTACAGCTAAATTGTAAAAGATAAAATACATACATACAGAATTTAAAAATTAACAGAGATCGAATGCTCTAGTAAAAAGCCAGGTCTTAAGTGCTAGGGTAAAAGGCCCTAACTCACTCATGGCTCTCATGTAGGGCGGCAAGGAATTCCACAAGGCAGGGGCAGAAATAGAAAAAGCCCTGCGTCTGGTACTTTCCAAGTGCACTTCTCTAGGGCCCGGTATATAGAGTAAGTCACGTTGGGCTGGTCGTTGCAACCTCCGATGATGGGAGAAGGAGAGGCGGTCCCTAAGGTACGATGGACCCTGGCTGTAAAGAATTTTAAAGGTTAGAACTAACATCTATAAAACCATGTAAACCAATAAAAACATAAATCCTCAGCGTCTCCTTACTAAAATCATTTTCCAGTCGCATTGTCCAGTTGTTCCGTGGATCTAGATTTGCCAGTTACACTGCATTTGCAAATGCTTGCTCGAAAAGCCAAGTTTTAACTTTTTATGAAATGTTAGGAGGGAGGAGGCTGATCTAATATCCCTAGGGAGGGAGTTCCACAGCTGAAGGGCCACCACTGAGAAGGCCCTGTCTCTCGTTCCCGCCAAACGCATCTGCGGAGAAGGCGGGACCGTGTGCAGGGCCTCCCCAGACGATCTTAGAGTCCTAGATGGTTCATAAGGAGAGATACGTTTGGACAGCTAAGCTGGTCCGGAACCATTTAGGGCTTTATAGGCTAAAGCCAGCACTTTGAATTGTGCCCGGTAGACTGGCAGCCATTGGAGTAGGCACAACAGAGGAGTTGTGTGTGGAAAGGGCTGGGATGCAGAAGGTGAAATTGTACCATCTCCTGACTTGTGATACCATAACTGCCAGCTTATGTCCAACTACTCTCTCATCCTGCCCTTTAGGGTGAATGTTTCAACTATATACGGCTTATGGAGCCACTGAATCGTACCCACATCTATGCCTGTGGAACAGGTGCCTACCATCCAGTCTGTGCTCTCATCAACCGTGGGTGGCGCTCTGAAGTAAGTAGAAAAACTTGAGTCACTTTCTGTTGATAAAGTAGTCATTCAAAAGTAGTGCATGCACACTACAAGAGGGAGGCCTCAGGTGATGTCCCTAGTGTCTGCAGGTAGGCTGTGTATGAAATCTTGCCTGACATCCTGAAGGGCAATTCCAGTATCATTGTATCACTGAGGCAGGGGTCCTCAAACTTTTTAAACATAGGGCCAAGTCACAGTACCTCAAACTGTTGGATGGCCAGATTATTATTTTTTTTAAAAACATGAATGAATTCCTATGCTCACTACACATATCTTATTTGTAGTGCAAAAACACTTTAAAACATTACAATAATTAAAATGAAGAACGAATTTAAAATATATATAAACTTATTAGTATTTCAATGGGAAGTGTGGACCTGCTTTTGGCTGATGAGAGAGGATTGTTGTTGTTGTAGTTGTTGTTGTGTGCTTTAAGTCGTTTCAAAGTTAGGTTGACCCTTGAGCGAGGGCCAGGTAAATGACCTTGGAGGGGCGTATCCAGCCCCCAGGCCTTAGTTTGAGGACCCCTGTTGTAGACCAAAGATGTGAATAGTGCAACCCTCTGAGAGTTGTTGGACTGCAACTCCCAGCAGCCTTGGACAACACTGAAGAATGCTGGGAGCTGGAGTCAAAAGGTGTTGGGAAGGTTGCATGACTCCTATACAGAGTGTAAGCAATACCAGGTGAACTGTGAAATGTACTCTTTAGAAGCTTTCCTGTGTTCAGAGGGCGAGGGAAGCTAGGTCAGAACTAGAGTGAACCTGGAGGCCCACTGGAAGCAGGACTCTGTACTTTCCTGCCCGCAGCAATGAGAGTAGGATAGGAGGATCTAGGTGATGAAATTCAAGATACCTTGTGTCCGTGCTAACTTTCCTGTCTTTTTCTGCTCTTTTGTCTCTGTGAAGGAGTATCTCTTCCGCATGGTTCCTCGTTCAATGGAGCCAGGAAAAGGCAAATGCTCTTATGACCCCCGGCAACACAGCATGGCAGTGCTAGTTAGTAAGTAGCTATCTGTAATTGAGTAATTGTCATTGGGAAGCAATCCAGCTGCCATAGATAAAAGTCTTCTGAATTTACTGACTTTGTTTGTGTTTATTTGTTTTTGAAAATTAACACTTACAAGTATTTATTTATCATGTCAGGTGCAAACCAAACAGTTGTATTGCATTTTTTAACAAACAAACAAACAAAACACAAAGTTTGCAAGCTTGGTAGTTGATTAAATGTCCTTTGACCAGCATCTGGCCACTTGGAGTGCTTCTGGTGTTGCCGCAAGAAAGTCCTCCATTGTGTATGTGGCAGGGCTCAGGTTGCATTGCAGCTGGTGGTCAGTGGTTTGCTTTTCTCCACGCTCGCAGGTTGTGGATTCCACTTTGTAGCCCCATTTCTTAAGGTTGGCTCTGCATCTTGTGGTGCCAGAGCACAGTCTGTTCAGAGCTTTCCAAGTCACCTAGTTTTCTGTGTACCCAGGGGGGAATCTCTCATTTGGCACCAGCCATTGATTGAGGTTCTGGGTTTTGGACTTAGAAAACTATTTCTTGATTTAAGTCGTTGGCGTGCTGGTTGATACCCAAACAGGGGGTGGGCTGGAGATGTCAATGCCTTGGTCCTTTCACTATTAGTTGCTACTTCCCGGCAGATGTCAGGTGGTGCATACTGGCTAAACAGTGTAATTTCTCCAGTGGTGTAGGGCGCAGACACCCCGTGATAATGCGGCATGTCTCATTAAGAGCCACATCCACTGTTTTAGCGTGGTGAGATGTGTTCCACACTGGGCATGCATACTCAGCAGCAGAGTAGCAAAGCGCAAGGGAGATGTCTTCACTGTGTCTGGTTGTGATCCCCAGGTTGTTCCAGTTAGCTTCGTATAATATTGTTTCTAGCACCCATTTTTTGCTTGATATTCAGGCAGTGCTTCTTGTAGGTCAGAGCATGGTCCAGAGTGACTCCCAGGTATTTGGGTGTGCTGCAGTGCTCCAGTGGGATTGCTTCCCAGGTCATCCTCAGAGCTTGGGATGCTTGTCTGTTCTTAAGATAAAAAGCATGTGTCTGTGTTTTAGATGGATTAGGAATCAGCTGGTTTCCCCTGTAAAAGGCAGTAAGAGCACCTAGAGCTTCGGAGAGCTTCTGTTCAACCATCTCAAAACTCCCTGCTTGAGCGGTAATGGCACAATCATCAGCATCTCTGTCCCTCCTGGCAGTGGCTGGTCATTTGTGTAAATGTTGATCATTGATGGAGCAAGCACGCTCCCCTGAGACAGAATGTTCTTCTGCTTCTGCCATCTACTTCTCTGGCCCTGGAATTCAACAAAAAAGCTCCTGTTTTGTAGCAAATTTCCTATGAGGCGGGTGAGGTGGTAATCCTTTGTGATATTATACATTTTACTCAGGAGGAGGTGGCGGTTTACAGTATCATAAGCCGCTTACAGGTCTATGAAGACAGCTCTTACAAGTGAACTACCTCAATTTATTTATTTATTTACCATATTTGTATACCGCCTTTCTCAGCCCGAAGGCATGTGTCCCATCTTTCATACCAATATGTCTGTCTGTCATGTGGAATCGATGTGCATCTGTAGTTTATATTACCTGGTCTTTCTGGTTCTCTTGTCTTCCTTTGATATATTATTTCATGTAAAGAGCTCATTAGTGCTTAACAGCAGATGCATAAGGAACAAAAAAGTGGTAGCATATCAGAATCACTTGTTTACTATCTTCAGGAGCTTTGGCTGGCTGGCATGGCATGGGCTTTGGATGTATAAAATCCCATATTTGTGACTGGCATCTCCAGTGTAAAGAATCTTAAGTAGCAAGATGGTAGGAGACCCCCAATTTCTTGATGGCTGGTGCAAGTTAGAATAGATGGTATTGGATAATATTCTATGCATCTCATGCTCGTATTAACTATCCTGGATCAGAGCAAAGATTGTCTGTTCCAGTATTTTATTTCTATAGTAGCCAATGAGATACTTATGGAAATTACACAAGAGATGCATATGCGCAGTAAGACCCTTCCACTCATGTTCCTCAGTAACTGGCATGGAGCATTATATTGCCTCTAATATTAGAGGTAATACACACCCATTAGGGCAATAATAATAATAATAATAATAGATTTATATACCGCTCCATCTCCCCGAGGGGACTCAGAGTGGTTCCCAAGTAACATCACAAAACATACAAAGTAAAAAAAATAACATAACCATAAGATTAACAAAACAAAATATAAGCATAAAAATGTCGCTATAATACACATATACTAAAAAGTAGCCATAAGAAATGTAGCCATAAGAGATGTTACATCTTTCTCCCTTGTTTTTGGGCTTGTTTTGTAGTCATCTGCTAGCCCATGTATGTCTCTTCTTTCCGCAGATAACACACTCTATGCTGGGGTTCATGTGGATTTCATGGGCACAGATGCGGCCTTGTTCCGTACCATGGGGCCTCGTCCAGCTGTCCGGACTGAGCAACACGATTCCCGCTGGCTCTATGGTAGGAGGCTGAGCATCCACGAAAAAAAAAGAATGGCTAGAATACAGAGTAGATGAAGCTTTGAGATAAGAGTGGGATAGGATGTCGTTTGTTGAGTAAGAATAAGGGTAGATAAAATATAAGATAGAATGCAGAATGACCAGAGTGATAGAAAATAGAGAGGGCAAAAGTATTGTCGAAGGCTTTCATGGCCGGAATCACTGGGTTGTTGTAGGTTTTTTTGGGCTATATGGCCATATTCTAGAGCAGTGGTTCTCAACCTTCCTAATGCCATGACCCCTTAATACAGTCCCTCATGTTGTGGTGACCCCCAACCATAACATTGTTTTTGTTGCTACTTCTTAACAGTCATTTTCCTACTGTTATAAATCATAATATAAATATCAGATATGCAAGATGTTTTTTCATTCACTGGACCAAACTGGGCACAAAAACCCAATGCACCCACAAGTAAATGCTAGTGGGGTTGGGGGAGGATTGATTTTGTAATTTTGGAGTTGTAGTTGCTGGGATTTATAGTTCACCTACAATCAAAGAGCATTCTGAACTCCACCAGCGATGATTTTGAACCTAATTTGCCGCACAGAACTGCCATGACCAATGGAAAACACTGGAAGGGTTTGGTGGGCATTGACTTTGAGTTTGGGAGTTGTAGTTCACCTATATTACCGAGAACTGTGGACTCACGCAATGGTGGATCTGGACCAAACTTGGCACAAATACTCAATATAAACACTGGTGGAGTCTGGGGAAAATAGACCTTGACTTTTGGGAAATGGAATTGCCGGGATTTATAGTTCACCTACAATCAAAGAACATTCTGAACTCCACCAACAATAGAATTGGCTCAAACTTCCCACATGGAATCCCCATGACCATCAGAAAATACTGAGTTTTCTGATGGTCTTTGGCAACCCCTCTGACACCCCTTCGTGACCCCCTAAGGGATCCCGACCCCCAGGTTGAGAAACACTGTTCTAGAGGCATTATCTCCTGACGTTTCGCCTGCATCTATGGCAAGCATGCTCAGAGGTAGAGAGGGCAGAATTGGAGTAGAGTGGAGAAAGAATACACAGTGGAGGGATAGCAAGGGAAGCTCAGGTGGAGAGAGTGTTGGAAAAGAAAAGACAGATGGTAAGAAAAAAGTACACAGAAAATTAGGATTAACCAGAATGGAACGTCGAGTAATACAGAAAGGATAGAATACAAAATGAGTGGAATGGGGCAAAATGCAAAATGCCTGCAGTGGTGTCAAACTTGTGACCCTCCAAGAGTTTTGAACTACAGTTCCTGGAATTCCTGACCATTGGAGCAGCTGACAAAGGCTTTTGGGAAATGGAGGCTCAAACACCTGGAGTGCGACAGGTTTGATACCTCTTGGGTTAGAGCAGGGATTTTCAAACTCCAAGGTCATTTATCCGGCCCTCGCTCAGGGTCAACCTAAGTCTGAAACGACTTGAAAGCACACAACAACAATCCTATCTCATCAGCCAAAAGCATGCCCACACTTCCCATTGAAATACTGATAAGTTTATATTTGTTTTTAAAAATCTTCATTTTAATTATTGTATTGTTTTTAAGTGTATTTGCACTACAAATAAGATATGTGCAGTGTGCATAGGAATTCATTCATGGGTTTTTTTTTTTCAAATTATAATCCGGCCCTCCAACAGTTTGAAGGACTGTGACCTGGCCCTCTGTTTACAAAGTTTGAGGACCCCTGGGTTAGAGTGTTAGCATAGTGTGGCTAGATTAAGGGTAGGGGGAATGTTGGAATAGGTTTAGGAGAATACTGAATAGAATACAGTATCAAGATTCATGTAATGAACAGGCTGAAAACATATATGGCTCCCCCCCCCCCCCCCCCCCCGGTGCCACATATGGCACAGGGATGTGAGTGTGTTGTGCATAGGAACAGAAAGACATAGAACCTAAGTCTCCAGCCCTGCCTTCCACTCCTATGTTATGTTGCAGCTTTGCTCATAGTCTAAAGGCAAAACTTCTTAATGATGGAATTTTCTTGGCAAGATTTGTTTGTGGTGGTGGTGGGCAGGGAGGTCGCCATTCTTTGAGGCTGGGAAGGCATGGCTTGCCTAGGATCACCCACTGTGTTTCCATAGCCAGGTGAAGATTTGAATCCTTGTCTTCCAATATAATTCGGAAGTTCTAATTGAACCCTTAAGCTACAATTTCCACTGGTGCCTTACATTTTGTAGTAGGGCATCACTATAATATCCTTTGGATTTGGTTTCTTTTTTTAAAATGATTTTTATTAATAGTTACACAAAATATTATAAGATAACACAAAAAGCAAAAGATAATCATACAAATTAAAATAAAATACCGTATATACTTGAGTAGAAGCCGACCCAAATATAAGCCGATGCACCTAATTTTACCACACAAAACTGGGAAAACTTATTGATTCGAGTATAAGCCGAGAGTGGGAAATGCAACAGTTACTGGTAAATTCCAACATAATAATAGATATCAATAAAATTACATTAATTGAGGCATCAGTAGGTTAAATGTTCTTGAATATTTACATAAAACAGTAATTTAAGATAGGACTGTCCAGCTCTGATTAAATCATTATTCTAATCTTCAGTGTAAATGTGCTTATGTATCCTTCCAATAATAATAATAATAATAACAATAACAATAATAATAATAATAATAATAATAATAATAATAATAATGGAAATGTAATAACAGTAATAACAGAGTAAAATTATAAAAGCAGTAACAATAAAAATAAAGTAAAATAATAAAAGTAATAATAATAAAGAGTAAATAAATAATAATACTAACAATAAATAGAGTAAAATAATAAATGTAATAAAATAATAATACTGTAGAGTAAAATAATGTAAATATAATAACAATAATAATAATAATAAATATATTAAAATAATTCATGTAATAAAATGATACTAATAACAAAGTTAAGTAATAAATAACCTTGACTCGAGTATAAGCCGAGGGGAACTTTTTCAGCCTAAAAAGGGGGCTGAAAAACTAGGCTTATACTCGAGTATATACAGTAATATCCATCCCTAATTTTGAATTGCTAACCGCCACCTCTTTATTTCATCTCTAAAAAAACAAAAAGACCAACTAACTAAAACAAACTGCAGTATAAAACATGACTTCTGTTCTTCTTACTTCACCTTTCTCTAATTTTACCTGGATTTGGTTTTGTTCGAGACCCTTACCAACAAAGTTGCCTAATATCAGGGTAAAATGTTTGCTTATGCCACCAAATGGTGGCACAAAGAAATAGCCTCTTTTCCCCTCTCCCCCCAGACCCTGTGTTCCTCCAAGCCCACGTCATCCCCGACAGCTCCGACCACAACGACGACAAGCTCTACTTCTTTTTCCGTGAGAAAGCACTTGAGGGTGCCGTGGGGCCTGCTGTGCTCGCTCGGGTGGGACGGGTTTGCCTGGTGAGCGACGCTTGGAGTGGGGCGCACACACAGAACCGGGTCTTTTGCTTGAGGCATGGATGGGGCGCCAAGCCGAGAAAGATGGAGAGGCTGGGGGCTGCTGCCTGAGGTCTGTGTGCGTGTGTGTACTTTGTGGGAGATGGCTGTTGCTCCCCTTGCCACAGAGTTAACGTGGCGCTTGGAGATCCTTCAGAGAGAGAAAAGGGCTCCAATCAGTGTGTTGGGTTGAACCAAAGCTTAATCAAGTTCCATTTTGCATTACAACTCCCATAATCCCTCAACCAGCATGGCCAACCTCTGGGGGATTTTGGTGGATCTTAGGAAATCCTGGGAGTTATAAACACAGAGAGGAAAAGGAACTTTTTCAAGCTGTGGGGGACTAGGAAATGCTATGTGCACTGCCCTAATTGTTTAAAGGCGATGGTACTGAGGATAAACAACAAAAGTGGCTGGGTTGTTGTAGGTTTTTTCGGGCTATATGGCCATGTTCTAGAGGCATTCTCTCCTGACGTTTTGCCTGCATCTATGGCAAGATCCTCAGAGGTTGTGTGACCTGTCGGCAGTGCTTGTCAACTACCCAAAGGTGACTGGCTGGCTATTGACAAACCCACCCACACACACAGATAGATCTATATAAATAAAAATGTAATGTTCGTTTGTGGTATTCACAGAACTCAAAAACTGCTGCACGAATTGACACCAAATTTGGACACAGGACACCCAACAACCCAATGTATGTCCTTCACTCAAAAAATTGATTTTGCCATTTGGGAGTTGTAGTTGCTGGGATTTATAGTTCATCTACAATCAAACAGTATTCTGAATCCCACCAATGATAGAATTGAACCAAACTTGGCACACAGTTCTCCCATGACCAACAGAAAATACTGGAAGGGTTTGGTGGGCAGTGTCCTTTGGTTTTGGAGTTGTAGTTCACCTACATCCAGAGCTCACTGTGGACTCAAACAATGATGGATCTGGACCAAACTCTACACGAATACTCAATATGCCCAAATGTGAACACTGGTGGAGGTTGGGGAAAATAGAACTTCACATTTGGGAGTTGTAGTTGCTGGGATTTATAGTTCACCTACAATCAAAGAGCATTTGAACTCCACCAATGATGGAACTGAACCAAACTGGCACACAGTTCTCCCATGACCAACACAAAATACTGGAAGGGTTTGGTGGGCATGTCCTTTGGTTTTGGAGTTGTAGTTCACCTACATCCAGAGATCACTGTGGACTCAAACAATGATGGATCTGGACCAAACTCTACACGAATACTCAATATGCCCAAATGTGAACACTGGTGGAGTTTGAGGGAAATAGAATCTTGACATTTGGGAGTTGTAGTTGCTGGGATTTATAGTTCACCTACAATCACAGAGCATTCTGAACCCCACCTACGATAGAATTGGGCCAAACCTCCCACACAGAACCCCCATGTGGGCCACAGCAATGCGCTTCACCGGGGCAAGAAACGTAATCAAAGCCCTCCTGACAAAGAGACATCCAGCTATATATATATATATATATATATATATATATATATATATATATATGATTCACACACACACAGATATAGTATTGTAGATTTGAAGGGAACCTCTAAAGGATATTTATATGTTGCATGTTTCAGAGTAGGCAAACCAGACAATCTCCACATCAACACTGACAAAAACAACAAGAAATACTGTTTACCCACAAGCATAAAGGCATTGCATATATTATAAACCAACACTTTCTCAGACTGGGCCACAGCAACGCGTGGCAGGGGACAGCTAGTATCTACATAAAAACTCCAACAAAAACCAAAGTCAAAAAAAGAAGCACCATTAAAGCCTTGGCAGACCGTGCAAAAAGAATCTGCGAAGCTTACCTCCTCCAAGATGAACTGAACCACCTCAACTGGGCTCTCCAGGCCAATGGATACTCCACCTCAGACATCAGAAGAGAGGCAAGACCAAGAACAAGCCATGAGAGTCAAGACAAAGACTCACCCAGAGGAAAAGTGTTCTTGCCATACATCAAGGGAACCACTGACCGCATAGGGAAGCTGATGAGGAAACACAACATACAAACTATCTACAGACCCACCAAGAAAATCCAACAAATGCTACATTCAGCAAAGGACAAGAGGGATCCTCTCACTTCTGCAGGAGTCTACCATGTACCATGCAGCTGTGGACAAGTCTACATAGGGACCACCAAACGCAGCATTGCCCAAACACGAATCAAGGAACATGAAAGGCACTGCAGACTACTTCAGCCAGAGAAATCAGCCATAGCAGAGCACCTGATGAACCAATAATAATAATAATAATAAAATTTTATTTATACCCCGCTACCATCTCCCCAAGGGACCTGGTGCGGCTTACATGAGGCCGAGCCTATAGAACAACAATAATAAAAGCAATAACAAAACATCAATACAAAACAATCAAAATAAATCTCATAAACAAAAAATAAACAGTAACAGTAACAACAAGCATTTAAAAACCTATAGCTGGACCAAATGTGATAATTAAAAATTAAATAAATAATGCTGGGCATGAACAAGGTAATATACTGGGATAGAATTTTCGGTGAAAGATGGGGCGAGCAAACAATCCTAAATCAATGATAAAGTGCATTTAGAGGACCTATTGCTGAGAGTATTTCCTTATTCTGGGAGGGCACACTGGAACAACCACATTTTCAGGCTCCTCCTAAAGACTGCCAAAGTTGGGGCATGTCTGATGTCCTTGAGCAGTGAGTTCCAGAGTCGAGGGGCCACTACCGAGAAGGCCCTCTCCCTCGTCCCCACCAATCACACCTGCGATGGAGGTGGGAGTGCGAGCAGGGCCTCTCCAGATGATCGAAGGGATCGTGTGGGTTCGTACACAGAAATGTGGTCACGCAGGTAGGCAGGTCCCAAACCATTATTTGAGAACAGAGAAATGCTGGACCACTCTAACAACCACTATGTCAGACTACACAGAGAAGCCATTGAAATCCGCAAGCATGTGGACAGTTTCAACAGAAAGGAAACCATGAAAATGAACAAAATATGGCTAGCAGTATTAAAAAAAACCTCTAAAATTAGAACAGCAAAACAACAGAGAGGAAACAATCAAGGACATCTAATCACCTCTCAGCAAAAGATTGCCCCAGGCACCAACAAGCCACACCAAACAACTGCCAGGCCATCAAATGCAGTTGAAACATTCACACCTAGCTCCTGGGAGTCACTCTGGACTGTGCCCTGACCTACAAGAAGCACTGCCTGAATATCAAGCAAAAAGTGGGTGCCAGAAACAATATCTTACGAAAGCTTACTGGCACAACCTGGGGATCACAACCAGACACAGTGAAGACATTCACCGTTGCACTGTTCTACTCTCCTGCTGGGTATGCATGCCCAGTGTGGAACACATCTCACCACACTAAAACAATGGATGTGGCTCTTAATGAGACATGCTGCATTATCACAGGATGTCTGCGCCCTACACCACTGGAGAAACTACACCACCTGACATCCGCTGGGAAGTAGCAGCCAATAGTGAAAGGACCAAGGCAGAGACATCTCCAGCTCATCCCTTGTTTGGGTATCAGCCAGCACGTCAACGACTTAAATCAAGAAATCGTTTTCTAAGATCTACAGAGACACTCGCTGAAACACCTCAGCAAGTGAGAGTCCAAAAGTGGCAGGCTCAAACCCAGGGCCTCAATCAATGGCTGATACCCAATGAGAGACTCCCCCCTGGGCACACAGAAGACTGGGCGACTTGGAAGGCGCTGAACAGACTGCGCTCTGGCACCACGAGATGCAGAGCCAACCTTCAGAAATGGGGCTACAAAGTGGAATCCACGACATGCGAGTGTGGAGAAGAGCAAACCACTGACCACCTGCTGCAATGCAACCTGAGCCCTGCCACATGCACAATGGAGGACCTTCTTGCGGCAACACCAGAAGCACTCCAAGTGGCCAGATACTGGTCAAAGGACATTTGATCAACTGCCAAGCTTGCAAACTCTGTGTCTTTTGTATGTTTGTTTGTTTGTTCTGTCAAAAATGGAATACAACTGTTTGGTTTCCTGACACGATAAATAAAATACCTAGCTCCAGCAGACAAGAGTCCTTTGTCCACCCTGGTCATTTCACAGATATATAAACCCATTCTCTTAGTTCCAACAGACCTCACTACCTCTGAGGATGCTTGCCATAGATGCAGGCGAAACGTCAGGAGAGAATGCCTCTAGAACATGGCCATATAGCCCGAAAAAACCTACAACAACCCAAACAGGGTTCTTGTTATAACTTCTTTGAATAGCAAATTGAATGTCCATTGATAAACAAGAAGAAAGCAAAAACCCCAATGTTTATAGAAGTAAAAAAAAAAAAATCAAGTGGAAAATGAGACAGTAAAACATCACCACAACAGTTTTCTTAATGAGGACTGAGCATTCTTTAAGTGGCTGCTAAATGTCAAATGATGTTTTCAAGGATGTGGTGAGGAGTAAATGGAAATATTTTACAATTTGGCAGGGCTTTTTGTTTCACTGAAACCTTAAACAGAATTCTTCAGTTTGATGTGTATCGCTCCAGTCCACACAGTAGACTCTTTTGTTTGTGTTCCCACTAGTACAAAGAAATACAAATCCAGAGTTGTCTCTGCTGGGCCCATACCTGCTGTGAAAGTGCTCTACGCTACAGCATATATATGTCATATGCATGTACCATATGCATATCACATATGGTATGTGTATATTTTGCTCTTCCTGGATCACAGGTTCTGAGCATAATTTGCTGAAACTATTCACTGGTGAAAGCTTTATCGAAATTAAGGAGACTTGGAATAAGAAGCTTGTAGCTTTCTTCGGAGTAGTGGGTTAAGACACCGAGCTGCTGAACTTGCTGATCAAAAAGTCACAAGTTCGAATCCAGAGAGAGGGGTGAGCTCCTGCTGTTAGCCCCAGCTCCTGCCAACCTAACAGTTCAAAACATGGAAATGTGAGTAGATTAATAGGTACCGCTCCGGCGGTAGAGGACAAACATACACATGCACACATATATAAACACAAATATGCATATAGACAAGCACACACATATACACAATATACATATAAACATATAAACACACAAATATATACACACATATATACATCCACTCACACACACACACACGTGTGTGTGTGTATATATATATATATATGGTAAAGGTTGTCCCCTGACATTAAGTCCAGTCATGTCTGACTCTGGGGTGTGGTGCTCATCTCCATTCTAAGTCGAAGAGCCGGCGTTGTCCATAGACACCTCCAAGGTCATGTGGCCGGCATGACTGCATAGAGCACCGTTACATATACATATACAGACACACACATATATACACAGATACACAAATATATAAACACATATACACACACACACACAAAACACATATATACAGACTGGGTCACAGCAACGCATGGCAGGGGACGTCTAGTCTATATAAATAAAAATGTAATGTTTGTGGGGTTAACAGAACTCAAAAACCACTGGACGAATTGACACAAAATTTGGACACAAGACACCTAACAACCCAATGTATGTCCTTCACTCAAAATAAATTGATTTTGTCATTTGGGAGTTGTAGTTGCTGGGATTTATAGTACACCTACAATCAAAGAGCATTCTGAACCCCACCAATGATGGAATTTAACCAAACTTGGCACACAGTTCTCCCGTGACCAACAGAAAATACTGAAAGGGTTTGGTGGGCAGTGTCCTTTGGTTTTGGAGTTGTAGTTCACCTACATCGAAAGATCACTGTGGGCTCAAACAATGATGGATCTGGACCAAACTCTACACAAATACTCAATATGCCCAAATGTGAACACTGGTGGGGTTTGGGGAAAATAGAATCTTGACATTTGGGAGTTCTCGTTGCTGGGATTTATAGTTCACCTACAATCAAAGAGCATTCTGAACCCCACCACCGATAGAGTTGGGCCAAACCTCCCACACAGAACCCCCATGGCCACCACAGTGGGCCACAGCAAGGCGTGGCAGGGGACAGCTAGTAGTACATAAATGTAATTATGTAGCCTTGGCATTGAAAACATTACTAGCCACATAAAATGACATGACGGACTGGATGTGTTCCACATGTGTGGTTTAAAGTCAAGTTTCCAAATGAAACCAAGATTCGTATTTTATGTAATGTTACTGGCAATTCCCACCTTTCCTCCTTCTTCAGACTGCCAAATAATCTTATTCTTGCTCCTTTTATACATGCCGAAGTTGGGCCAGAAACACCTCCCCCAGTGCAAACCAGAACATGGAAAAGCTAATTTATTTGGACGGCAGTTCCCAGAGTTCCCCAGTCAATATGACCAGTGGCTATACTGGTTGACTAGAGCAGTGTTTCTCAACCTTCCTCAAGCTGCGACCCCTTAATACAGTTCCTCCTGTTGTGGTGACCCCCAGCCATAAAATTATTTTCATTGCTACTTCATAACTGTAATTTTGCTACTGTTATGAATCATAAATATCTGATATTCAGGATGGGTTTTCATTCACTAGACCAAATCTGGCACAAATACACAATACACCCAAATTTGAATACTGGTGGGGTTGGAGGGAATTAATTTTGTCATTTGGGAGTTGTAGTTTATTTTATTTATTTATTTATTTATTTATTTAGAAGTATTATATACCGGTCTTGTCCACCTATGAGGAGGGACTCAGGCCGGTTCACAACATGTGTTCATATACAGTAATATAAAAACAGCACAGTGCATCATCATTATACATTAAAATATAAAATACCATAAAATACATCATCACATTACACAAGCCAAGTCGTCAAATACAGTCACAATTCATCGCCATCCTTCCATGTGGACAAGGGTTATTGACTCAATTATCTAATGCCATATTCAAAAGCCAGGTTTTTATTAGCTTTCTAAAGGTCAGGAGGGAAGGAGCAGATCTAATCTCTGGTGGGAGGGAATTCCAAAGCCGAGGGGCCACCACCGAGAAGGCCCTGTCCCTCATTCCCACCAGATGCGATTGCGTGGGTGGTGGGACCGAGAGCAGGGCCCCTCCGGAAGATCTTAGTAACCTTGATGATTCATAGGGGAGAATCTGTTTTTGATTATAGGCAAACTATAAATCCTATAAATTGAAGGAGCTGAGGGTGGTGACGGCCAACAGGGAGCTCTGGCGTGGGCTGGTCCATGAGGTCACAAAGAGTCGGAGACGACTGAACAAATGAACAACAACACTAAATCCTAGTTGCTAGGATTTATAGTTCACCTATAATCAAAAAGCTTTCTGAACTCCACCAATGATCGAATTGAACCAAACTTGGCACACAGAATTCCCATGACCAACAGAAAATACTGGAAGGGTTTGGTGGGCATTGACCTTGAGTTTTGGAGTTGTAGTTCACCTACATCCATAGAGCACTGTGGACTCAAACACTGATGGATTGGACCAAACTTGGCACAAATACGCAGTATTCCCAAATGTGAACACTTGTGAAGTTTGGGGAAAATAGACTTGGACATTTGGGAGTTGTAGTTGCTGGGATTTATAGTTCACCTACTATGAAAGAGAATTCTGAACCCCACCAACGATAGAATTGGGCCAAACTTCCCACACAGCACCCCCATGACCAACAGAAAATACTGTGTTTTCTGATGGTCTTTGGCGACCCCTCTGATACCCCCTTGTGACCCCCCCCCCCCAGAGTCCCGACCCCCAGGTTGAGAAACACTGGACTAGACGATGCCGGAATCTGACATTCAAACAAGAAACTTTCCTAAGTTCTGATAATAAGCTGGCTTTTCCGAACATGCAGCCTGAACATGGCTGTAGTCATCTGTTTGTGGGATTTGCATCTTACACTATGGGGGCCTCCTTTATACTAGTGGAGTGCCTTTCTTTCTCCCCTTTTCCCTACAGAATGATGACGGAGGACAACGCTCCTTGGTGAACAAGTGGACCACGTTCTTGAAAGCTCGTTTAGTTTGCTCTGTAATTGGAGATGATGGTGTGGAGACCTTTTTCGATGAGCTGCGTAAGCCACTCTTTTTGAAGCAGGGTTTTGTTTTGGCAGCCAGGAATGAATGACATTGTGGGTGGGCAAAGGTTTATTGATAAGCAATCCTTTAGCCAAAGTGAGAAGATGCCAGGAGCTGGGCCGCGGGGGGGAGGAGTTGGAGGCCGGAGCTATATAAGCCCAATGGCCTATGTACCTAAACTAGAGCTGGAAAATGTTGCTGCTTCTGGGGACTACAAACACCAGAATCCTCAACCTAATTACAAAAAAATGAACTTTCATAAGAAGTTATCCTTAGTTAGTAGAACAGTGACTTGCTATTGGTTCAATTGTCTGACATTTGTGGAATTCATAGAATCAAAGAGTTGGAAGAGACCTCATGGGCCATCCAGTCCAACCCCCTGACAAGAAGCAGGAAAATTGCATTCAAAGCACCCCCAACAGATGGCCATCCAGCCTCTGTTTAAAAGCTTCCAAAGAAGGAGCCTCTACCACACTCCAGGGCAGAGAGTTCCACTGCTGAATGGTTCTCACGGTCAGGAAGTTCTTCCTAATATTCAGATATAATCTCCTTTCTTGTATTTTGAACCCATTGTTCTTTGTCCTAGTCTCCAGAACAAGCATGCGTCCTCTTCATGACTTCCTTTCACATATTTATACATGGCTATCATTTCTCCTCTCAGCCTTCTCTCCTTCAGGCTAAACATGCCCAGCTCTTTAAGCCGCTCCTCATAGGGCTTGTTCTCCAGACCCTTGATCATGTTAGTCGCCCTCCCTGGACACATTCCAGCTTATCAAGATCTCCCTTCAATTGTGGTGCCTAGGATTTGACACAATATTCAGGGTGTGGTCTAACCAAATCAGAATAGAGGGGTAGCATGACTTCCCTAGATCTAGACACGATGCTCCTATTGATACAGGCCAAATTTCCATTGGATTTTTTTGCTGCCACATCACATTGTTGGCTCATGTTTAACTTGTTGTCCAAGAGGACCCCAAGATCTTTTTCACACGTACTGCTCTCAAGCCAGGCATCGTCCCCCATTCTGTATCTTTGCATTTCGTTTTTCCTGCCTAAGTGGAGTATCTTGCTTTTGTCCCTGTTGAACTTCATTTTGTTAGTTTTGGCCCATTTCTCTAATCTGTCAAGTTCGTTTTGAATTTTGCTCCTGTTTTCTGGAGTATTGGCTATCCCTGTCTTCTGGAGAATTGGTCCCCTCATCCGTGCTGTCTCACAAAGCAAAATGTTTGAGCTTGGGGTTGATGATAAGGATTGAGTTTTCACATTATGGTCCAACTTGGATGGGAAAATAGGGAAGGGAACAAGGATTCTGTCTCAAGTTTTGAGGGAAAAGGTGCTGCGACCACACGTGGAATATTGTGTCCAATTCTGGGCACCACAATTCAAGAGACATTGATGGACAAGCTGGAATGTATTCAGAGGAGGGCGACTAAAATGATCAAGGGTCTGGAGAACAAGCCCTATGAAGAGCGGCTTAAGGAGCTGGGCATGTTTAGCCTGAAGAAGAGAAGGCTGAGAGGAGACATGATAGCCATGTATAAATATGTGAGAGGAAGCCACAGGGAGAAGGGAGCAAGTTTGTTTTCTGCTTCCCTGGAGACTAGGACGCTGAACAATGGCTTCAAAGTACAAGAAAGGAGATTCCATCTAAACATGAGGAAGAACTTCCTGACTGTGAGATCCGTTCAGCAGTGGAACTCTCTGCACTGGGGTGTGGTAGAGGCTCCTTCTTTGGAAGCTTTTAAACAGAGGCCAGATGGCCATCTGTCGGGAGTGCTTTGAATGCAATATTCCTTCTTCTTGGCAGGGGGTTGGACTGGATGGCCCATGATGGCAAGCATCCTCAGAGGTAGTGAGGTCTGTTGGAACTAGGATTCTATGAATGAAACTCTATGATTCTATAGATGCATTAAAGTTGGGACAGAATTAAATTAATTCCGTGGAATCACCATTTGCAAGGCATTAGTATGTTTCAGAAGGCATTTCCTGCTACTTTTTTGAAGCGTAGGACTAGGAGTGGGTAGAATTAGGCATAGGGTGAACTCTAATTTTGGAACAGTTTGGACTACAACTCCCAGGATCCATTAGTCAATGACATGTTTCTGGAGGTTGAGGTCTAAAAAATTAAAACACGTTCACATCACTTATGATGATCACTTTCTTTCTTCCCCTTCTCCAGGTGATGTTTTCTTGTTGCCAACGCAGGATGAAAAGCACCCATTGGTGTATGGGGTGTTTTCTACACTGGGGTGAGCAGATCCAGTTAACTTTTTTTAGAGGCAAGGGGGAGTGGACCATCCATCTGTTCACAGGCCCCGAGCCCTTTTGCCTCATGCATTTGTCTCTCTCTTCTGCAAGGTCTGTGTTTCGTGGTTCGGCAGTCTGCGTTTACTCCATGGCTGATATACGCACGGTCTTCAATGGGCCCTTTGCCCACAAGGAGGGCCACAACTACCAGTGGGGCTCATACACGGGACGTGTGCCCTACCCTCGCCCTGGAGCTGTGAGTGATGTCTTCTTCTCTAGTGTTTAAATTTCATGCCCTGACCCCTTGTGTTCTGTTTCCCTAAGTAAGCTCCATGAGATCTTTCCTTAAATTTAACTCTGGTTTTAAGTAAACAATGCATTCCCTTTCCATTCTGGATTTAAGCGGACTGAAAAATAATTGCAAAAACAAAAGCCGAACTCCTGATTCTTTGCCCTTCCCCTTCAAGCTTACATATACAGTCCAATCCCTGTATCTGCAGATCTTTTATCCACCATTCACTTATTCAGTTATTCACTTATGGTCCCTTGTACAAGCTACACTCTCATCATCACTTGTCCAATTGGAAATAATAATATGCATGGTTTCACATATCCATTCAAAGTTTGGATACAGGGATTGTACTGAAGAAGTAAATATTTATTTATTTATTTATTTAATTTACAGCTTTTATATTCTGCCCTTCTCACCCCGCAGGGGACTCAGGGCGGATTACAGTGTACACATATATGGCAAACATTCAATGCCAATTTTGACATACAAACATATACAGACATACACAGAGGCTATTTAACTTTTTCTGGCCGCCAGGGGAGCTGTCGCTTTCATCGTCCATCTGCGACATTGATGAAATACTTCCACATTCCCCGCGTGCTTACCCGCTGGAATGCTTTGCTGGAGTCTTCTTTATGGCCTCATAAATCAGTTAATTTAGCCTCCCCATACTTTAAGGTGGTACCTTATTTTCCTACTTGACAGATGCAACTGTCTTTCGGGTTGCAAAGGTCAACAACAGGCTACACACAATTGGTTGGAAACCCACTCCAACCCGGGCTGGCTTTTTTGGTCAGAGTGATCTTAATGCAGCTGACACTCAGCCAGTTGTGCCACAACCCTGGTGCAGTTTTGGTTTTTTGGGGTTTTTTGTCATTAGTTTTTTTGGGGTTTTTGTCATTAGTTTTTTGTCATAATTTATAATTGTAATAACATACAATTGCATTCTTCTTGCAGAATAACTGTAAGGGCCCTTCCACACAGCCATATAACCCAGAATATCAAGGTAGATAATCCACAATATTTGCTTTGAACTGGGTTATCTGAGTCCACACTGCCATATACTCCAGTTCAATGTGGATTTTATACACCCTTCTCTGTGGTGGCCCCTCGCCTGTGGAACTCACTTCCTGGGGAAATTAGGCCATCTTCATTCCTCCTCACCTTTAGAAAAAAAGTTAAAAACATGGATGTGGGACCAGGCTTTTGAGTAATTAAGCGGACAATGACAATAACAATGTTGACAATGGTTTGGAAATGGATTATGGATAAGTGTGATGGAGCATCCAACCAGTTTTCAGCCAATAATGGCCACCAGAGTGGTAATTCTTAGTAGCTTTGAATTGTATTGTTTTTATGTTTTTAACTATTTATAATTATTGACAATTTGTTTTTATTATGTATATATTGAGGCATCAAATTGCTGCTAATTGGGAGCCGCCCTGAGTCCCCCCCCCCCAGGGGGTTGAGAAGGGCGGGGTACAAAAATTCAAAATAATAAATAAATTCTGCATCCACAGTTTCAACCATCCATGGATTGAAATGTGTGTGTGAACAATCCAGAAAGCAAGCCGTAACTTTGTCATTTTATATAAGGAACACCATTATAATGTGTTGTTATATATACCGTATATTCTAGCATATAAGACTACTTTTTAACCCAAGGAAATATTCTCAAAAGTTAGGGGTCGTCTTATATGCTGGAGTAGCCTTATGCATGGGAGTTGTCTTATATGCGGGAGTAGTCTTATACACCGGGAGTCGTCTTATAGAGCGGGTGCTGAAACTTCCAATCCAGATTGGAGAATCTGTGGTTGCTGCATATGATGGAGGGAGCTCAAAAATGGCAGGGGCCGCGTCCCTGCCGTATGCAGCAACTGTATGAAAGCATTAAGGGTGACACTGTACAAGTATGGTAGAAAAAAATTCATTCATCAGGATCCGTGGACTTAATGTGGTCCCGATGGTGAGGTGAAGGGACGACTCACTGGGAAGGTGTAAGTGAAGGGCGGAGCAAGCTGCAGGCATCCGGGGTATGGAAAAAAGAGAAAGAGTGACTCTGGGCCCAGAAAAACACAACTCTTACCTGTCTGGCCCGCCCTTGTGTCCTATTACCGTACCTCCTCCTCTGCCTCTCAGATCTCGTTCCTGAAGATTGCAGTGCAGCGGTGCAGGTGCGCAGGTGCGAGATCTGAGAGGCAGAGAAGGAGGTACAGTAACAGGAAAATTACAATATTGAAATCAAATCTAATGCTTTTAAAAATTTTATTTGGTATGCGTTGGAAGAGGGGTAGTCTTATACGGCGAATTTATTTATTTATTTATTTATTTCGCGCATTTCTACCCTGCCCTTCTCAACCCCCGAGGGGGACTCAGGGCGGCTTACAAAAGGCACAATTCGATGCCAACAAACAGATAATAAAATAAACATGTATCAACAGCAGTTACAAAACAATTAAAAACAATCCAATTATACATCACAATTAATAAAAACCAATCTAATATTCAACGTTCGCCAAGCTCAGAATCCGTAGTTCATTCCATATTGTCAAATCCTATCAATTCTAGTCGTCATTGTCCTTTGTCTATCCGCCAGATTACCCAAAGGCCTGGTCCCGTATCCATGTTTTCAATTTCCTTCTAAAAGAGAGGAGGGATGTCGATGACCTAATTTCCCCGGGAAGCGAATTCCACAGGCGAGGGGCCACCACCAAGAAGGCCCTGCTCCTCGTCCCCACCAACCTCACTTGTGATAGAGTTGGGGCCGAGAGCAGGGCCTCCCCTGAAGATCTTAAACTCTGAGGCGGGACATTCGGACATATCCCAAATGCTATATTTTAACTGGAGAAGTTATGCTGGAATATAGCCCATGGGGTCTCTTCCAACTCCTTAGGACATTTTTGATGGGTGAGCATCTGTCGGGAGAGATCGGATGGTGCCTTCATGGCCCTTGGGCCTCATGGCCCTTGGGGAGTCTTCCAAGTCTATGATTCTATGGAAGTCTTGAAACAGAGGCTGGATGGCCATCTGTCGAGAGGCAGTCAATGATATCTTCCTGTCTGTTCTTTACTATTACTTGAACAGCCATGGATTTTGGTATCAACAGGATTCCTGGAACCATACCCTGAGACAACAAGGGACCATATTACTAACCTTGGGGCCTGCCTTCTGTTTCAGTGCCCAGGAGGGACTTTTACCCCAGGGCTCCGCTCCACCCGTGAGTTTCCTGATGACCTGGTGACCTTTGTGCGTGCCCACCCCTTGATGTACAACGCCGTCTACCCACTGCAGCGCCGCCCCCTGCTGGTGAGGACCAATGTGCCCTACAGCTTCACCACGTTGGCTGTTGACCTGGTGGATGCCGTGGACGGGCGCTACGAGGTCCTCTTTCTTGGCACCGGTATGTCTGTAGACACGGGTCTTGCTTTCCAGCTGCGGGAGGGCACAAGCGAGAAACCAGGTCCTGGTGGGCCAGTGCCTGCTTTCTGCAAATATTTATCTTCTTCCACTTCTTCTTCCATTTCTTCCACTTTTAATTCAAATGGGCAAAATGTTGTCACATTGAACCAGGCTAGCTGGAAGTCACTGAGCTTGTGTTACTTCAAATAAATGCAAAGAAGGACAGGCAGTCCCCAAGCTGCAGAGTCTCAGTTATCTGGCACCCATGCGGATTGGTAGGTGCTGATAAATAAAGTTTCGGGTGTCTTGAGAATACAGAGAGTCCTCAAGTTACAAACATCCACCTTACAAACAACTCCAACTTAAGAACAGGGGTGAGACAACAGGAAGTGAGATAAATCTACCGCTAGGAACGGAAATTCACACCTGGAAGAGTTATCCTGGGGTAAGGGGGTCTCTACTGAAGCTTTCTCACTAATCCTTGTTTCCACCACAAGTCAAAACTTTCAAAATCTAATCAAAATCTAATTCTCACAATGGCTTCAAACTACAAGAAAGGAGATTCCATCTGAACATGAGGAAGAACTTCCTGACTGTGAGAGCCGTTCAGCAGTGGAACTCTCTGCCCCGGAGTGTGATGGAGGCTCCTTCTTTGGAAGCTTTTAAACAGAGGCTGGGTGGCCATCTGTCAGGAGTGATTTGAATGCAATATTCCTGCTTCTTGGCAGGGGGTTGGACTGGATGGCCCATGAGATCTCTTCCAACTCTTTGAGTCTATGATTCACGAGCACAGAAAGTGAGGTGAAATCTTCTAAACAGGAGCACAGACAGCAAAACAAACACCATAGGGGTTTTAACCCTTCCTTATTCTATCCAAAGCTAAATATGTATATATTTTTGACTGGAGTAACACTTTAAAAATGGATCTGTTCCAATTTACAAACAAATACAAAACTACAGAACCTATCTTGTTTGTAAAGTGCAGATTGATATATAGATTTTTCCACTTACCAGTATTTTCAATTTGTAACATAAGATGCTTTTCTTGGGCCCCTTCTATGCTTCCATAAAATCTAGATTGTCAAAGCAGGTAATCCACATTATCTGCTTTGAACTGGATTATATAAGTCTACACTGCCAGATAATCCGGTTGAAAGCAGATAATCTGGATTTTGTATAGCAGTGTAGAAGAGCCCTTAATGTCAGGAAAAGACAAGATGGAGCAGAAGTCGGGGGACTCTCTGTCAAATTCAGTACTTCGTTGCTCATCAGTAGATTTAATGATTATTTTTATCGTGGTCATGTTGACTGGGGGATTCTGGGAGTTGTGGTTTCCAAAAAGAAACTTTCCACAGCTCTGCTCAAGCCTTTAAAGTAAACCCTAGAAGAATAAAAAGGCCTTTGCAGCACATTTAGTGGCTCCTTCACAGTAGAAGTCGGAAGTAGTGATCTGAAGGTTAACAGACAGCATTAATATTAGTCATCTCTCCATGTTTGCAGTTTTGACTTTTTCCTTCCCTCCTTTTCTTTCCCTTCTTCCTTCCTTCTCGACCTGTTTCTTTCCTCCCTTCCTTTGCTCTTTGGTTCCATCTTCCTTGTCTCTTCCTTCCTTCCCTCCCTCTTTCTCTCTTTTGTTCCTTCTCTCCTTCCTTCCTTCCTTCCCTCTCTCTTTCCTTTCACTTTTAAAAATTTCCTTCTCTCCTTCCTTCCTTCTCTACCTTCCTTTCTGTCCTTTCTTCTCTCCTTCCTTCCTTCTTTCCCTCTTTCTCTCCCTCCTTCTCTCCTTCCGTCCTTCCTTCCTTTCTTCCTTCCTTCCTTCCTTCCTTCCTTCCTTCCTTCCTTCCTTCCTTCCTTCCTTCCTTCCTTCCTTCCTTCCTTCCCCCTTTCTTTGTTTATGTGTTTTGTGTGTGTATATGCATATATGTGTGTATATATTTGTGTATATATGTGGTTTTGCGCATGCGTTGTAATGTAAATTTTGTTTTTTGGCTTTTTAAGTCTCTTCCGCTGTGTTTTTCAGGGTTTTTATGAGTGATGGTCACTCGTTGGCCTGATAGGTATATTATGTCCAAATTTGGTGTCAATTCATCCAGTGTTTTTTGGGTTATGTTAATCCCACAAGCGAACATTACATTTTTATTTACCGTATATACTTAAGTATAAGCCGACCCGAATATAAGCCAAAACTAGGCTTATATTTGAGTATATACAGTATATAGATTGAAATAGGATGCTCCTTAGAGTGTGCGTAGGTGTATGTGTTTGTGTATGTCACAGGGAGATAGAGAGCCTGTATATATCTCAGTGTGTTTTTTCCTCAGGGAAGGTGGACTTTGCTGTTCATGCCAAGTTCTTTTTTTTTTTCCAGACCAGGGCACAGTTCAGAAGGTTATTGTGCTGCCAAAGGAGCAAGGAGTCTTGGAAGAACTGACCCTGGAGGAGGTTGAGGTGTTTCGAGTGAGTGAGCAAGTCACCCAAATCTGTATTGCTGACCCAAAACACTTCCCATTTGTGTCCCTCTCATGTTCCTTTCCCCCTTTTGCCCTGCAGGTTCCCGCTCCAGTGAAGACACTATGGATATCCTCTAAACGGGTATGTTTTTATTTACGGTTAGAGCAAGGGAAAGATCCTTTGTATTTTGGATGGTGGCTGTCACAATCCACCAATCATGTTGGAAGCTGCAATGGGAAAAAAAAGTTCTGCCAAGCTCTGGTTGGGATATAGATCAGGCATGGGCAAACTTCACCCCTTCCGGTGTTTTGGACTTCAACTCCCACAATTAATAATAATAATAATAATAATAATAATACTTTATTTATACCCCGCCACCATGTCCCCAAGGGGACTGGGGGCGGCTTCATGAGGCCAAGCCCAACAACACATCAGTAAAAACAAAACAGCAAGCAAATAAAACGATACAATTAATATAACTCACATAATCATGACACACAATTTTTAAAAACCTTATGGCTGGGCCAAATGTAATAAATTAAACATTTTAAAATAAACACTGGGCGTGAACAGAGGTAGGAGGTATCTAAGCAGGAGGGTTTTAAAAGATAATGTAGGGAGACCAACCCAACAGGTAATTAAAGTGCTTCTGAGGACATTTTGCAGGGAGTTAATCAGAGCAGGGCATTGTTTCCTTATTCAGGGAAGGCACACTGGAACAGCCACGTTTTCAGGCTCCTCCTAAAGACTGCCAGTGTGGGGGCTTGTCTAATATCCTTGGGGAGTGAGTTCCAGAGTCAGGGGGCCACCATAGAGAAGGCCCTCTCTCTTGTCCTCACCAATCGCGCCTGCGAAGGGGGCGGGAGCGAGAGCAGGGCCTCTCCAGATGATCAAAGAGATCACGTGGGTTCGTACACAGAAATGCGGTCACGCAGGTAGGCGGGTCCCAAACTGTTCAGGGTTTTGTAGGTAAGAACCCGCACCTTGAATTGGGACTGGAAAATGAATGGCAGCCAATGGAGCTCCTTAAACAGGGGGGTAGACCGCTCCATGTAAGTCGCTCCAGTTAGTAACCTGGCTGCCGCCTATTGGACAATTGAAATTTCCAAGCCGTCTTCAAGGGCAGTCCCACATAGAGTGCATTACAGTAATCCAATCTGGAGGTGACTAATGCGTGGACCACCGTGGCTAGATCTGACTTCACGAGGTACTCAAGCTGGCGCACGAGTTTTAATTGTGTGAAGGCCCTCCCAGCCACCGCCGATGCCTGGACTTCAAGCATCAGTGATGACTCTAGGAGGACACCCAAGCTGCAGACCTGTGACTTCAGGGGGAATGCAACCCCATCAAGCACAGGTTGCCACCCTATACCCCGATCCGGCTTACGATCGACCTGGAGGACCTCTGTCTTGTCGGGATCGATCCTCAGCTTATTCATCCTCATCCAGACGGCCACAGCGGCCAGGCATTCGTCCAATACCCAAGGGACTTGTTTGGAATTAGATGGAAAGGAGTAGTAGAGTTGGGCGTCATCCGCGTAGAGATGGCACTCAACTCCAAAATTCCGGATGACCTCTCCCAGCTGTTTCATGTAGATGTTAAAAAGCATGGGGGACAGAATGGAACCTTGCAGGACCCCACAGGTCAAAGGCCAGGGGTCCGAGCAGGTGTCCCCCAGCCTCACCATCTGGGAACGGCCTTCCAAGAAGGCTGTTAGGAATCGTGGGAGTTGCAGTCCAAAACACCTGGTGGGCCAAAGTTTGCCCATGCCTGATATAGATAAACTACTATAGATAAACTGATATAGATAAACCACTGTGGGGGAAATAGCAAAAAACGCACTGGGTTCAGTCCAGTCATTTTGCCCTCTTTCCTTTGTAGCAACAGCTGTATGTCTCCTCAGATGTGGGGGTCTCCCAGCTGAGTCTGCATCGGTGCCGTGAGTACGGAGAAGCGTGTGCCGACTGCTGCCTGGCCCGGGACCCCTACTGTGCCTGGGATGGCCAACGCTGCACCCGCTACAGCCACACCGCTAAAAGGTGAGGTCATTGAATCCTAATGTTAGAAGGGATCCCAAGGGCCATCCAGACCAACCCACTTCTGCCATGCATGAAGACATTAACAAAGCACTCTTGACAGATGGCCAACTTTTACCTATTGCTTAGGTGGAATATATTTTCCTGCAATTTGATTCCGTTGCTCCATCTCTTTGGAAGCTTTAAAAGCTTCCAAAGAAGCCTCTACCACACTCTGGGGCAAAGAGTTCCATGGCTGAACAGCTCTCACAGTCAGGAAGTTCTTCCTCATGTTCAGATGGAACATCCAGCCTCTGTTTAAAAGCTTCCAAAGAAGGAGCCTCCACCACACTCCGGGGCAGAGAGTTCCACGGCTGAACAGCTCTCACAGTCAGGAAGTTCTTCCTCATGTTCAGATGGAATCTCCTTTCTTGTAGTTTGAAGCCATTTTTCCATGTCCTAATCTCCAGGGAAGCAGAAAACAAGATTGCTCCCTCCTCCCTGTAACTTCCTCTCACATATTTATACACGGCCATCATGTCTCCTCTCAGCCTTCTCTTCTTCAGGCTAAACATGCCCAGCTCTTTAAGCCGCTCCTCATAGGGCTTGTTCTCCAAACCCTTGATCATTTTAGTCGCCCTCCTCTGGACACATTCCAGCTTGTCAATATCTCTCATAGCAACGCCAAGCGTTGTTTTGCTTGCTTGCAGCTTAGTGTGAATGTCTTACGATCTAATTGGGAAGAGATCTTTGCATGGGAACGGGAGTGAACCTATTGATAATTTGCCTCCTATCCAGGAGGAGCCGGCGCCAAGACATCAAGCACGGTGACCCCCTGCGGCAGTGCCGAGGATTTAATGCCAAGGGTAAGCCTCTCCTCCTTACTTACTTAGGTGATCCCTCGTTGTCCGAATAGGATCGTCTTCCAAGTTCAGTGTACTTGATTGATTATAGATGCCTGATTACTTAAGCGATCCCTCATTGTCCGAGTAGGATGATCCTCCAGGGTGGGTCCGTATGTGACTGTAGAGCCCTATTCTTGACCTGCATCTTCTCCTGCAGTGAAGGCATTGGTTTCCAGGTGGAAGGCGGTCCTGGTCGGGGTTGGCTTGACGCACCTTCCTCTTGGCATGTTTCTCTTTCACCCTCCATTCATGCTTCTTCAAATTCTACAGCACTTCTGGTCACAGCTGATCTCCAGCTGGAGCGCTCAAGGGCCAGGGTTTCCCAGTTCTCGGTGTCTATGCCAGAGTTTTTAAGGTTGGCTTTGAGCCTCTCCTCCACCGCACAAGAATAACCCTTATTCGTATCCTGGCTTAACAAACGTTGCATTTCCCCCTTATTCAGAACATTGGAATTATTTGGCAAGTCTTAGAGGGACAGTCCAGAAAAAAGAAGAAAATAGCCCTCCTCTGGGGATGAAAAGGCAAAGGCGATCTGTGTTCCATCACAAAAGCAGGAGAGGAAAGGTTATCCCAGCTCCCCAGAGCAGAGCAATGCCTGCTCATCACTCTGGGTAGAAAAATACACATCAGCACTTCTACAAGGAAGATAGTGTAATAAAGGTTGCAAGGAAACCTTGTGTAGTTTAGCTGCAATGACATAAAAAGCATCTCTGCAGCCGAATGAAGAACACAATGTGGAAAGAGACCAGTTGGATCAGAATGAAGCCCCTCTTCTTGCCTCTGGGAAGCCCCATGAAAGCACCCTTCCTTTGTTTTCCCCCACAAGCTGGCATCCATAGGCATACGTCCTCTCATAGCAGAGACTTCACAGTTCCACCATGATGGATAGCCATTGAGAGATTCAGCCTCCATGAATATGCCAGGCCTTTTTTTGTATGAAAACAGAGCTCAGAAAAAAGTCATTGGGGAGGAGGTAAAACCAAAGAATCCCAGAATGCCGCAGCTTGTAATGTATTGCCACAAGCTATGTCAGTGGGGGTTTTCTTTTAGAGGTTGAGAGAGTTTCTCAAAGAAAGAAAAAGAAACTTCTAAGCTCCTCTAGTAGCAAATCTCCACAGTTTAATAAATAATAATAAAATAAAAGTTTTTTTATATACCGCTCTATCACCGCATGGGGAACTCAGGGCGGTTTCCAAGTAACATCACCAAAACATACAGAGTAAACAGCATAACATAACTTTAAGAAAACAACATAAGCATAAAAATTATCACAATAACACATATATTAAAAATAATCCTGCCTGTTCAGAGCAATTAAAAGGCCGGGCCAAGGCTAGCAGCTGCATTAAGATCACTACTGACGGAAAGGTCATGAGTTCGAAGCCAGCTCGGGTCGGAGTGAACTCCCGACCAAAATTGTTTGGCTTGTTGTCAACATTTGCAACCTGAAAGACAGTTGCATCTGTCAAGTAGGAAAATTAGGTACCACTTTGTGGGGAGACTAAATTAACTGCTTTACGAGGCCATAAAAATCTCCAGGAAGTATGCAAGTATGCAAAGAATGAGGAAGCAACAGCTCCCCTGGTGGCCAGAAGCTGGATAGTTAATAGCCTCTGAGTGTCTATCTATATATGTTGTGTGTCTATGGCATTGAATGTTTGCCATGTATATGTACATTGTAATCTGCCCTGAGTCCCCTGCGGGGTGAGAAGGGTGGAATATAAATACTGTAAATAATAATAATAATAATAATAATAATAATAATAATAATAATAATAGTGCAAACTCAAAATATGAGGGGCCCAGGAATTACGTACAGTGCTATAAGAGGCTAACAGCAATAGCAGGTACGGGTCTGTGGCTGCTCATTTCCGGGGCCTATTAGAGGGATGACCGGGGTAATAGCTAGGAAGTATAATGTTTGGGGCTGGGCTAAAGGTTTGTTGCATTCTCAAAGGTTTGTTGAAACCACCAGGTCTTCAAGCTCTTACGAAAGGAGGGGAGGGATGGGGCCTGTCTTATTTCCCTTGGAAGGGCGTTCCAGAGGTGTGTGGCCACCACCAAGAAGGCCCTCTCTCTCGTCCCTACCAATCGTACTTGTGACGGTGGTGGGAGTGAAAGGAAGACCTCCCCGGAAGATCTTCGAGTTCATGCTGGTTTATAGAAGGAGATGTGATTGCGGAGATGATAATAATAATAATAATAATAATAATAATAATAATAATAATGTGACTTAAGCAATATGCAGTCATTGAATTCTTGACAGCAGAAGGTGTCACCCCAAAGGAGATTCATCAGAGAATGCAAGCTGTTTATGGTGATTGTGTTGATGTGAATACTGTGCGTCGTTGGGCGAGTAAGTTTAAAGATGTTGAGGTGACACCTTCTGCTGTCAAGAATTCAATGACTGCACGTTGCTTAAGTCACATTGACCGACCATCTGCGTAGGGTTCCATACTTCCCACTTTAACAACACAACTGTTCAATGCTAAGGCTTCCTGCCAAAATGGAACTGTAGAGGAGAGTCTACTGAACAAGCCAGTACCTGCCGCATATCAGTACTGCCATCTGTTGAGGAGTTACGAAGGTGGAGGCGTTACTTTTCATTCACCCTCGTAATGCCATCTTCTGCCCAAGGAGTTTTGCAGCTCTACTTTTCAGAGAGATTGGTCTGTGAAAGACAGCATATTGGAGGAAACTATTGGTATGGGACTAGGCCAGTTGATGAGTCATTTATCCTGATGCAAGAGTTTCCTTTTGCATTCTTGCCTCTTGCAAACAGGGAATTACATTTCAGTAATTTTAGATTAGTCAGGAACATCTTGTAGCCTGGGATTTTGCATCCCCTGTGCTGCTTCCCAGGAAGGATTTGCTGTGACGTCGGTTGCAATGAGCGTGTCCTATAAAACGTTGAGGCTGGCAGTTAAGAGGATAAACGAAAATGATGCATAACTCATCATGCCCTCTTGCTTCACTGAATACATGTGGTTTTGCACGTTCAGTAGGGAATGGCCTGCCTTGTTTCACCCTGCCTTTATTAGCATAGCATAATCATTTCCTAACCAGATCAGACTAACTCACTCTTGAGAGCCATTGCCAGGTCTTAAACCATTTTTGCTGAGTAAGACTTTGCTGTTTCCTTGCTTTCCTTCTCACTGGGGCAACGGCATACATATATGGGGCTTAGTCATCTTAGGCAGACCACCCCCTCCTCTCTATTCCCTATTTTTGCAGCCAGTTTGGGTTTGTTTTGATCCTGGGAGAGGTTTAATAGAACCTAGTGACTGAAGCTTTCCTGTTAACACATGGTGCCGATACCATTTGCCATTTTCAGCACTTCAGAAGGTAGGGTTGTGTAGATTCCTGGAGACTAGAAGTTCTCCAAGTCATGTGCTTGGGTGCTTCTCTTTTCAGCTGTTAAAGAGATATTTTCATGCAATTTTTTCAAGGCACTGAAATGCCAAGCTGCTTTCTCTTGAGTGCCTAAGATGCAAGATGGTTTTGTTTGATGCTTCTTTAAAAGCTCAAGGCCTCATGTAAGCCGCCCCAAGTCCCCGTTGGGGGAGATGGTGGTGAGGTACAAATAAAGACGATGATGATGATGATCAGGGGCGGCTCATCCATTACGCGAAGTAAGCGGTTGCAGAACACTTTTTTTTTGCCAGGGGCGCAGAGGCACCTCTGTAAATGCCCCTCAACCGCCACTTGAGGAGCACCCCCTCAGCTCACAACAGCCCTAGCAGTCCGGGGGGAGCCTCGGCTTTCTTGCCTCGCTGCTGGGCGATCCTCTTCCCAAAGGGGCCGGGCCCTTGAGCCTCGCCTAGCCCCTCTCGTTCCTGCTCCACCCGGCCACCGGGTGCGCGAGCAGAGCCGGCGCTCAATCGTTCTCTGCATTCGATCCCTTCCCCATGACCGGCTCCCTTTCCCGATCCCCCGTGCTCCACCCGCCTCCTCTCCTCTCCCCAATCCGCGGGTGGGCCAAGGGGCGGAGCCACCGTGCCTGGCCCGCTTCAGGTCCGGAGGCGTGTCTGAAGACCCCAGCGTGTGCACCAAAAGTCGCCTCTTCTCCTGACTTTCTCTTCAGCCATTGGGACCAAGAGAGAGAGAGAGAGAGCCCCTCCGGCTGGAGGTATCTCCCACCTCCGCTCCCTCCTTTGTTTTTGCGCCTACCTTCAGGAAAGGTGGGCATCTCCATCTCTCTCTCTCTCTCTTGGTCCCAATGGCTGAGGAGAAAGTCAGGAGAAGAGGTGACTTTTGGTGCACACGCCAGGGTCTTCAGGCCCCTCCGGACCCAAAGCGGGCCAGGCAAGGGAGCAAGTGCGGCAAGTGTAGTTACTGGGATGTATAGTTCACCTACAATCAAAGAGCATTCTGAACTCCACCAATGATGGAATTGAACCAAATATGGCACACAGAACTCCCACGACGAACAGAAAATATATATCAATGATTGGTTGGAGGGGGGCGCACCAAAATACTGTTTGCTTACCATTGAAAATTACCTAGGGCCGCCTCTGATGATGATGATTATTATTATTTCTTTCAAGGCTGCCCTCATATTTCTAAGGAACTGGGTACCTGTCCAGAGGTCCAGCCTTCCTATTAGCTTCTCAACTTTAAAACCAACTATGCTTTCAAGCCTATTGCTCGTACAATATAAGAAAGTGTTGGGCACGCAGGTGAGCCATTTTGGACAACAGGCCAAATGTCAATTGATGCCATTCAGTTTTAGCAAAGACTCTTTAATGTACTGCGTATCTTCACAGGCGTGGATACAGATTTTGGACATTTACTACAAAGTGAGTTCTCCCCCTTGCTTATATTCCTGTTCAAAATGGGAACAATCCTGTTCAACATAGGGGGCTCCGAAACCAAGATTATGGCAACCAGACTGATTGATAACTGGCAAATAGGGGCAGAAAACGTGGAGGCTATTACAGACTTTGTATTTCTAGGTGCAAAGATTACTGCAGATGCAGACTGCCGCCAGGAAATCAGGAGATGATTACTTCTTGGGAGGAGAGCAAGGACCAATCTCGATAAAATATTGAAGAGTAGAGACATCACACTGGCAGTGAAGATCCGCATAGTTAAAATAATGGTATTCCCCATAGTAATCTATGGATGTGAGAGCTGGACCTTAGGGAAGGCTGAGCGAAGGAAGATCGATGCTTTTGAACTGTGGTGTTGGAGGAAAGTTCTGAGAGTGCCTTGGACCGCAAGATCAAACCAGCCCACACTCCAGGAAGTAAAGCCCGACTGCTACTGGAGGGAAAGATATTAGAGGCAAAGACCAAGTTATTATTATTATTATTATTATTAACTTTATTTGTACCCCGCTAGCATCTCCCGAAGGACTCGATGCGGCTTACACAGGCCGAAGCCTCAAAACACAATACAGTAAAACATAACACACAATAACAAAGCAAATCAACAAAAGCAAAACAACAACAATGGCAATACATCAAAACATTATTAAAACTGGTTCGGCCGGCGCACTGGGGTACTAGGGTTAAAAGTGCTGAAATGGCAGGAGGCACGTAGGTTTAAAAGTGCGGTGTGCAGCAACGGTTTGTTGAACTAAAGTGCTACTAGGACTTGGGTGGGGATTCCTAGTCTGAGAAAGCACAACGGAACAGCCAAGTTTTTAAATTCCTTCTAAAAAGTTATGGCAGCTGGTTGGGAATCAGCTGCATTAAAATCACTATTTGACTGAGAGGTCATGAGTTCGAAGCCAGCCTGGGCCGGAGTGAGCTTCCAGCCATTTGTCTAGCTTGCTGTCGACCTTTGCAGCCCAAAAGACAGTTGCATCTGCCAAGTAGGAAATTTAGGTACCGCTTATGTGGGGAGGCAAATTTAACTAATGTACGATGCCATAAAAACTCTCCAACGTGCAAAAGAATGAGGAAGTACTCCATCGGTGTCACAAGTGGATAGTGTAGCGACAGCTCCCCTGGTGGCCAGAATTCAAAAAGCATACTCTCACGAAGCTGGAAAGTTAAATACTTACTTACTTAGGTGATCCCTCGTTGGCCAAGTAGGATAGTCTTCCAGGATCAGTATTCTGGTGGGTCCGTAGGTGACTGTGGAGCCCTATTGTTGACCTGCATCTTCTCCTGCAGTGAGGGCATTGGTTTCCAGGTGGAAGGTGGTCTCGGTTGGCTTGACGCACCTTCGTCTTGGCACGTTTTTCTTTCGCCCTCCATTTGTGCCTCTTCAAATTCTGCAGCACTGCTGGTCACAGCTGACCTCCAGCTGTAGAGCTCAAGGGCCAGGGCTTCCCAGTTCTCAGTGTCTATGCCAGAGTTTTTAAGGTTGGCTTTGAGCCCATCTTCAAATCTCTTTTTCCTGTCCACCAACATTCCATTTTCCGTTCTTGAGTTTGGAGTAGAGCAACTGCTTTGGGAGGCGGTGGTCGGGCATCTGGACAATGTGGCCGGTCCAGCGGAGTTGACGGCGGAGGACCATCGCTTCAATGCTGGTGGTCTTTGCTTCTTCCAGCATGCTGACGTTTGTCTGCTTGTCTTCCGAAGAGATTTGCAGGATTTTCCAGAGGCAGCGCTGATGGAATCATTCCAGGAGTTGCATGTGATGTCTGTAGACAGTACCACGTTTCGCAGGCATAGAACAGGGTTGGGAGGACAATAGCTTTATAAACGAGCACCTTGGTCACCTTACGGATGTCTCGGTCCTCAAACACTCTCTGCTTCATTCGGAAAAATGCTGCACTCCCAGAGCTCAGGCGGTGTTGTATTTCGGTGTCTATGTTGACTTTTGTGGAGAGGTGGCTGCCAAGGTAGCGGAAATGGTCAACATTTTCTAATGTTACACCATTAAGCTGTATCTCTGGCATTGGAGAGGGATTGGCCGATGACTGCTGGAACAGCACTTTGGTTTTCTCGATGTTCAATAACAGGCCAAGTTTCTTGTATGCTTCTGCGAAGGCGTTTAGAGTGGCTTGTAGATCTTCTGAATGTGCACATACGACATTGTCATCAGCATACTGGAGTTCTATAACAGATGTTGTTGTAACCTTGGTTTTGGCTTTCAGTCTGCTGAGGTTAAACAGCTTGCCATCTGTCCAAAAGATGATTTCCACTCTGGTGAGAGGCTTCCCATCAACAAGATGAAGTATCATAGCGATGAAGATGGAGAATAAAGTTGGGGCAATAACACATCCCTGTTTGACGCCTGATTCCACCTTAAATGGGTCACTTTGGGAGCCATTGCTGTCCAGGACCGTTGCCATCATGTCATCATGGAGGAACCGCAGGATGTTCACAAATTTGTTAGGGCACCCCATTTTTTGGAGGATAGTCCAGAGTGTGCTGCGATTCACTGTGTCGAATGCCTTTGCAAGGTCAATTAATGCCATGTACAGAGGTTGATTTTGTTCCCTGCATTTTTCTTGGCACTCTCATGCAGTGACGATCATGTCCACGGTTAAATAGCCTCTATGTCTCTGTCTATATATGTTGTTAGTCTGTGGCATGGACTGTTTGCCATGTATATGTGCATTGTGATCGGCCCTGAGTCCCCTGCGGGGTGAGAAGGGTGGAATTTAAATGCTATAAGTAAATACATTGGCCACATAATAAGAAGACAGAAAGCTTAGAGAAGACAATGATGCTGGGGAAAATGGAAGGAAAAAGGAAGAGGGGCCGACCAAGGGCAAGATGGATGGATGGGATCCTTGAAGTGACTGGATTGACTCTGAAGGAGCTGGGGGTGGCCATGGCCAACAGGGAGCTCTGGCGTGGGATGGTCCATGAGGTCACGAAGAGTCAGAAGCGACTGAATGAATAAACAACAACAGAAAAGGGATGAAGTGCAGGTCACTGAATCAGGCGACAGTGTCTGATTCTGAGTGAATGGGAATCTCTTACTTCCCACAGCAAAGAGAAGTATAGGTGTTGTTTCAGGTATGCTTGGAGGAGGTCTGTGAATTAAATGTGAGAAGTCGTATGCAGTACACTGTTAGGATAATTGCTGCTAGTTTTTCCGAAGTAAAAACAATAAAATATGTTAAGTTCACAGAAACAAAGCGGGTGCACACTGCACAGAGTTCAGAGAACCTTATTTTTCCATCTCCTCTGACTCATTTCCCTTTTCTCACAGTAGAGCAGCAATTACGTGAGCAGATCCAATATGGACTAGAAGGAGGAAGTATCTTCTTGGAGTGTGAACCACGATCTCCTCATACATCTGTCAAGTGGCTTATGCAAACAGACGATTCTGACAAACGCAAAGTGGTAAGCCCCTCGTCACGTCTCTACTCGGAATGACTTAACTGTAGTCATATTTGGTCTGTGTAGAGGTTAAAATAATCGAAGAGGACAAATGCAGAAGCTTGTTTCGTTTTAATGCAAGTTGAAACAAAATGGAATTAATTTAAAAAATTAAAATAGCAAGTATCTGGTAGGATTGCTGGCTTTTGGGAGTTGGAAACTATGTGGTTTCTTTCTCAAAAATTATAGCCAGAGATTACTGCAAAATTACTAGACACCGACGTTTTGGGGGGTTGGAACAGAACCTGGGAGATATATAGGCTGTTTACCTGTAATTGTAGTTTCCCGAGTGGTCACCTGTGAATTTGCACATATGGTAATTTCTGCGCAGGAGCAGGAATTACCATATGTGCGATTCACTGGGACCACTATGGAAAAGTAATGTTTGCCATTTGGGGCAAGTTTATATTTCATACCTGTTTATTGATTATTGACCTATATATGCTGTTGTATTTGTGGGCATAGATTACTTTGGTGCCATTTGGGGCAGGCAGCTGCTTTCAGCCTGACTTATAGGATCACAGACCCCTAAGAATTGGGACTGGCCACCAGAGCAATCTGATCCAACCCCTTGCCTTGCAGGAACACCCAATCAAAACACTCCTGACAGATGGTCATCCAGTCTCTGCTGAAACCCCTCCCTCCCAGCAAAGGAGGCTCCACTATATTTCTAGGCCGCCTATTCCACCGTGAAACAACTTTTATGGCCAGAAAATTATTCTTAATACAAATGTCTTTGGATTGCTGTAAGTTTTTCTGGCTGTATGGCCATGTTCCAGAAGCATTCTCTCCTGACGTTTCACCTGCATCTATGGCAGGCATCCCCAGAGGTTGTGAGGTCAAACCAAAAAACTTACAGCAACCCAATGATTCTGGCTATGAAGGTCTTCAGGAAATTCCAAGCTAATCATACCCCACTTCGGGCCTTTTCTGATAATAAAGCAGGGAAGAGGTCATGCCACAGGCTGATCTGGCCGGGGTGGTCCATGCCTTGGTCACCTCTAGATTGGACTACTGTAATGCGCTCTATGTGGGGCTGCCCTTGAAAACGGCTTGGAAATTTCAGCTGGTCCAACGAGCAGCAGCCAGGTTGTTAATTGGTGCTTCCTACAGAGAGAGGTCAACCCTCCTGTTCAGGGAGCTCCACTGGCTGCAAGCCCAATTCAAGGTGCAGGTACTTACCTACAAAGCCCTAAACGGTTTGGGACCATCCTACCTGCGTGACCACATCTCCGTCTATGAACCCACGCGTTCTCTTCGCTCATCCGGAGAGGCCTTGCTCGCAATTCCCCCTGCATCCCAGGCGCGGTTGGTGGGGATGCGAGACAGGGCCTTTTCTGTGGTGGCCCCCCGACTCTGGAACACCCTCCCCAAAGACATTAGACAGGCCCCTACGTTGGCAGTCTTTAGGAAGAACTTGAAGACTTGGCTGTTCCAATATGCCTTTCCAGAATAGGAAAACTCCCAACAACCTGTCCCAGAAGCACTTTATTAGACTTTAAGATTGCTTGCACATTGCACTTACCCTAAAATCCGACATACCACCTGTCACATCAGCACTTTTAATCTGTACCCATTACATTTGGCCCAGCCCAGTTTTATTGTGTTTGGTGTATTGTTTTATTGCTCTGTTGTTTTGATATTGCTTTAATTGTTTTGATTTGCTTTGAGTTGTGTATTGTTATGCTATGTTTTTGAGGCCTTGGCCTTTGTAAGCCGCATCGAGTCCTTCAGGAGATGCTAGCGGGGTACAAATAATAATAATAATAATAATAATAATAATTCTGGACCTCTTTGAGGGAGAAGCAGTACATTAATGTATCTATAACAGGGGTTCTCAAACTTTTAAAGCTGCGGAGCCCTTTTTGAATGAAAAGTTTCTTGTGGAGCCCCAATAAACTTTGGACACAGGGGCCGTATTACATTTCAAAATTTGACAGATGGGCCAGTGACAGATGGATGGAGAATGTTTGTGTGAACTAATGGGGGGGAAAATTACTATGCACAAGACACACACCTTGTTTGCAGTGCAAAAAAAAAGGAAAGAAAGAATACAATTAAAATGAAAAAACAATTTTAATCAACATAAACAGTGTTTCAGAGGAAGACCCCCAGGGCCATCTAGACTTTGCAATAATAATAATAATAATAATAGAGGCAATTCCAGGGGCCATCCAGTCCAACCTGTTTGTGCCATGCAGTAAAACCACAAATCAAAGCACTCCCAACATATGATCATCCACCATTTGAAATAATAATAGTAATAATAACCATAGGAACAACTCCAGGCACCACTTAGTTCAACCTGTTTCTGTCATGCATGAAAAGCAGTCAAAGTACTGGCAGGAAGGCCTTGCAGGCCATGGTGACGGCGGGATGGCCCCATAGGCTCCCTCACAGGCTGCCAGAAGGTCTCTTTACCAACTGGAAGGCCATCTCCACTGGCCAGAAGGCTGCCTTGCTAGCAGAAAGTCTTACAGGCTGCACTGGTGGCAGGAAAGCCCTCTTGCTGGCAGGAAGTCCTCGTAGACCATGCTAGCGGTAGCTGGGCTCCAAAGGCCGTGTGCTTCCTAAGCAAGGTGGGGGGTGCCTAAGGGCTCCATGAAGCAGTTTGAGAACCGCTGATCTAGAAATATACTAAAAACAGCTTGTTACCCATTTATCATTCTTTTCTGTTCCAGTTGTCCCGAGATCGTGTGCTGCTACGAACCCCTCAGGGGGTGCTTTTAGGACCCGTGACGCCAGCTGATGGTGGGCTCTACCAATGCATTGGCACCGAGAATCGCTTCCGCCACACTCTCCGCCGCCTCCGTCTGCATGTCCTTCCACGTGCCTTGCTTGAGGGAGCCATGGCCCAGGAACAGCCGCCGGCCCTTGGCATCTGTGAGAGCTATTGGCAACAGCTCCACAGGGGCCAGGACACCAGCCGTGGTCGGAGTGGCCGCCAGTCCCACAGCGGTCCTAACCTTTGGGACTTGGAACAACAGGCCAATTGGCAAAGAGCATTACAGCATTCTCTGAACTGGACAGCAGGAAGTGCCCAGCACTCCCAAAGCAGCAGCAGCCTTCGTCGGCATCAACACCACCATCACCACCGCTCCAAGGCATGGACAGGCCACCGTTCCCCCCCTCGAAGCTGAGTGGAGGGGCAAGGGGAGTTGGGGGGCAGAGAAGGGTCTCTTGACCCATGGTTTTTTTGTGTACAAGAGTGACATTCCAATGGACTCTTCTTCAGAGAGCTAGGTGGATATAGACATGGGGAGAACCTCTCCCTGCATCCTTCACCCCAACCTGAGGGGACAACACTGTTGCTAACAGGGTGTGTTGTGTTGTGTGTCCAGGCTAATTCCAGGGTTTTGCAGGACCAGGGCTCACTGGCTTTTTTCACAGATGTAAATATGAGCAGTGCTGATTCCAGGGGCTTTGGTTTTAGAGTCTATTTTTTACAGTGTTCATTCCTCTTTCCCTACAGCAGGAAATTGGTGTGGCTTCCTTCAACATTTTTAACCCCATGATTTTATTAACTCTGTATTGCAGGAACTGATTGCAGAAAATAAAAAAGTGCTGACTTCTTTTCTAAACAAAACGTCAAAGGCCTGATCCTTGTGGATGAATGTCTTGCTGAGAATAGTGAATGACATCAGCAGCCAAGGATTTTTTTTTTAAAAAAAGTAGCTTGAGCTAACATAAATCTTGACTATAGCAGAAAGCATTAAACCAAACTTCAGTGGAAGTGGAAAGCTCCGTACTTGTTTTTTTGTGGCCAAATGAGCAAATATAGCCAACGTATATGAAGCTGCTCTCAATCAAGCTACAGTTGATTGTGTATCCATTGCCATTCCAGCTGAAACACAACAATCAGCAATAGTGTGCAGCTCCTGGGGGTCACTTCCAGTGGTGGTTACAGCAGTGATGTCTCTTAGAATGAATGCATTTTTCTCTGTACATTGGAAACATTTTCTCCTGTGCCTTTGTATATCTACTGTTTTGTTCAGGAGGGGGCTGGAACACCTGACAGTCTTATATTTACTGGTGAGTTTGCTTTCTCCACCTTTCCCACTCTGATTGGAGAAGAGAGACCCTCTACTTGACTAGCTGCTTTCCTCCAGTCACTGGCAGAAGTTGTGTTTAAAGGAATGGGTGGATGACAATTCCTAGTATTCTTCATTGCACACTATGCTGCTGAGAGGTGGTTTGTTATCATCAACACAATACATGATTAGCATACCTGACACTTTTAAATGTCACTTAGCTGACTTTGGTGGAAAGTACTGGCAACTTTGAAATTTTTTAAAGCCACTGAAACCTGGGGCTGTCAGTTGCTAGTAGCAGTGGACTTCATATATTCATTTCACAGAGTGTGAGCTAGTGTGCACTGAATGAGGAAGGCTCTTCTGATACATACTCTTCCCAGGCCACCTGAGATTTTGTTATCTGGAAGAAGCTACTGGGAGTTATACAGGGTGAGGCAGCATAACTTCCTTTTTTCAAAACTTAATAATACCCATTGTATGAATCAGAAAGAAATTATAAGTAGGCGCATACCTAAAGTTTTATTTTACGTAGTTTTGAAGATCAAATTAGGTAGGTGACGTCCCCCATTCTCCATACACTGATGTTGGCGTTTGTCATAACTCTTGCCAGCATAACAGGCATTATGTTGGCAATTTCTTCCTGGATGTTGGTCCTCAAATCTTGTAGGGTCACTGGACGGTTCACATAAACATTTGTCATGACTCTTGCCAGCATAGCAGGTGTTATGTTGGCAATTTCTTCCTGGATGTTGGTCTTCAAATCTTGTAGGGTCCTTGGACGGTTCACATAAACACGGGATTTCAAAAAGCCCCATAGAAAAAAATCACAAGGGGCCAAATCTTGAGAGCGGGCCGGCCACTCCAAATCCGCTCGAAAAGTAGGCCTCAACGGCAAAAGTGCGCTCCTCGCTGTTCCCACGCATGATGGCGACTGAAACAAGACAAAGCAGCAATTTCTTCCTGGATGTTGGTCTTCAAATCTTGTAGGATCCTTGGATGGTTCACATAAACACGGGATTTCAAAAAAACCCCATAGAAAAAAATCACAAGGGGCCAGATCTGGAGAGCGGGCCGGCCACTCCAAATCCGCTCGAAAAGTACGCCTCAACGGCAAAAGCACGCTCCTCACTGTTCCAACGCATGATGGCGACTGAAACAAGACAAATCAGCAATTTCTTCCTGGATGTTGGTCTTCAAATCTTGTAGGGTCCTTGGACGGTTCATATAAACACGGGATTTTAAAAAGCCCCATAGAAAAAAATCTGGAGAGCAGGCCGGCCACTCCAAATCCGCTCGAAAAGTAGGCCTCAATGGCAAAAGCACGTTCCTCGCTGTTCCAACGCATGATGGCGACTGAACTGTGTCAGGACAAAACTTTATACTCCCGCCTCTCGAACGAGACCACTAGTGCTCCGCTACGTCTTCAACGGACTGAATGGCACGCATTTTAAAAAAGGAAGTTATGCTGCCTCACCCTGTACAACCTGGTAATTTCCTATTCATCTCCTTCATTTCTAAAATGCTACCTAGTGTTAAGGTACACTGAAATACTTCTTTTCTTACTTTTCTTCACTGTAAAAGTGGTGCTCATTCCTATTTTACAGCCAGTCGTTGATAATTGGGAAGCAATCTCTCCTATTCCTGACCACTTGTATTTTCTAAGCAGCTTTGGAGAAACTATCAAAAAAAATTACAGGTATACACCATGTCTTCTGGAGCCCCAGTGGCGCAGTGGGTTAAACCCCTGTGCCGGTAGGACTGAAGACCAACAGGTCGCAGGTTCGAATCCAGGGAGAGCGCGGATGAGCTCCCTCTATCAGCTCCAGCTCCTCATGTGGGGACATGAGAGAAGCCTCCCACAAGGATGATAAAACATCAAAAACATCCAGGCATCCCCTGGGCAACGTCCTTGCAGACGGCCAATTCTCTCACACCAGAAGTGACTTGCAGTTTCTCAAGTCGCTCCTGACACGACAAAAAAAAAAAAAAACACAAAAAAACCCCATGTCTTCTGGAACCGTTCTAGATCTCCAAGAAGCAGTATCTGAAGGAAATATTAAGGCTTTCCATGAAGACATAAAGGGCAGAAGATAGGTACACAATTTTGTACATTTCTTAATTTTTAAAGCCATTACAATGGTACAATGGGCACAGCTGTTTTATATTAAATTTAAGTCTTGGGTGAATTTCCAACAGGCATGCTGCTAGCAACAGATAATTTTTGTAAGGCCAGCATCCTATTTACCAATGCAAACAGTGGAGATGCAGCCGCTTGCTAGTTGCTAGGGGAGCAAGCAGGGCAGTTCAACTCCAATGAGCACGACTTTCAAAGCTGCTACATCTGGGTGACTGATTCCTGTTTGAGTCACCAAAAGGATTTCACCCCATGAATTCCAATTCCTCCTCTTTTGACATTCGGCTTCAACGCTGCTTATGAGGTGCGTTCGCAAGAGTAAAAAGTCCCCCAGTTGTTTTAGGGGCAAGCCCAACAAAACACAAACAACTCATTAACCTCTCTCTGTCTACACCTTACTATTCTGCTGTCTTCATCTACTAGTCCTACTATTCTCTGGCTAACTTTCCGATTCTGAAATGTTTAAAGACGTATTCAGCATTCATTTTTATAACTAACACATTTGCTTCTCAAGTTTATTCTGTTTGTCTTACCAACTACCTATCTTGCCTGCAGGCAAATCTCTCACGCTTCTGACTGGGTGAAAATCTGTATGCTCACGCCCACACTTTCAAAACAAGACAAATCAGCAAGCCAGAGCTACAATGTTTGGACCGTTTTCCTGCCATGTTGTAGAAATGTACAAGGGGAGCAACGGGCAAGATGTGTAAACAGCACCATTTAAAAGAGTGACCAAATGACACCCCTGACTAAACAGACGGGCTCCAAGCCAAAAGCTAAGCAAGTTCATTAACCTCCAAAGTTTAATAATAATAAAAAATCATAATACAATAAAATAACACGCCCCTCCCTACCCCTCAACAGCCCACCCTCCTCTGCTGGAGAAAATAAAGGAAAAACACTAAAAAGAGAAAGACAAAAGACTTTAGTGTCAGAGCCTGAGGCAGCATGGGGCAAGGAAAGTGAGGGTGGAGTAGAGGCTGAAGTGGAACTATAAGGTCCCTTGCCCTTTCCACCACCCCAAAGATCAAAGTGGTTGCCCAAATTCCTATAAAACCCAACAGGTACCAGAGGAGGATAGGAGTGTTTGGGGAGAGTTGCCCAGCTGTCCCATAGGAGGGGCTACCCCTGCTGAATCCAAGAGGTGCCGGGACAATGAGCCTGGCCCTCGGGGGGTGGGGGGCTCCCAGCTCCTCCTGGCCGAAGCCAGGCTCTGTGGCTAGTCCCAGCACACACTGCTACCACCCCGAACAGGTTTCCGCGAGGCTCACCTTCTCGCAGCAAGAGGGCTAGCATCCTCTGCTGCCTCTGCTGAAGGGAGCCGGCGGACTCTGTGCGCTGGTGACCCCTGCAATGCCTCTCCCCACTTTCGAGGTATCAACAGTACAAAAGGAGGAAAAAGAAAAAGAAATATTAACATCGTCTGAAAATAAGTCTGGTGCGGGGCCAGTGCTGAATCCTAGGTGGGGGTTGGGGTGGGCGAGTTGTAGTCCCCATCTTCTGGGGCTGGCTACCCTCCCATGCAGAGTGCTAGTCAAACCAACAGAGTGACCCGGGGCTGCCAGAGTCCCTTGCAGTGCAGTATAGTCCAGAAGGAGGAAATCCAGGCATCATCTAGCCGTCACAACTGTGGGGGAAGAGGAAGACAATTACTATCCATGATACAACGGTTCACTTGATCGGGGGCAGGAGAAGCCAGTGAGCCAGTCCCCTCCAGGGCTGTATGCCCATCACGTATCCTCCTTGCCACTCACCCCAACTCCATTGTGGCTGCAATCTGTGCCTGCTTCAGGGGGAGCGCAACCCTGGGGCAGCCCTTGCTCTGCCCCCCGGATCTTCTTTGGCTCTAGTTCCTCCTTGGGCACGGGCGGGCAGTCGCCCCGCTCTGTCTTACGCTTCCGCCGTCGCTCTGAGTCCCGCCCTCGCCCCCGGGTGACACGCCGCTCCGCTTGTTCCAGCTAGAAAGGAATGAATAGCCAGGATATAAATGGTACTAGTAGTAGTCATTTTATTGATTAGCCCTTAGGCCATATCACAATAAGAAACAGAACAACAAGGCCTGACAAGATCTGATCACACTCCACGTAGTAAGTTAAAATAAGACACTTAGAACAATACAGTAAATAGATATGATAAGACATGATAAAACTGATAAACTGATCAAGCTGAGCATACACATCACACTTCATTATCACCCCCACAATTCACTCCAATCAGCCCTACATATGTGGTTCTCAGACGTATTGTTTTGCTTAAGTACAGAGCTGTTTTATATGTTATTTTTGGGTCTTGCCCACACATAAAATATGTTGTTCTGATGTGAGAATCCCAATACATTGTCTGTTTGATATATGGACCAAGGTGTAAGTCTCTCACCTTTTGATACAATTTGCAATCAAATAATATGTGTGCTATATCCTCAATTTCAGGTGCCCTGCAGATACAACTCAGTTCATTATAAGGGATGCTGTTAAATCTCCCGTATCTAACCATTGTCTCTAGCTGATCAAATCTGGCTCGAGTGAATATCTCCCTAAGATGTTTTGGTATTTGCATTTTTAGGTAGTTAGCAGTTTGAAAGGTACGTTTATATTGACTCAGCCATTTTAGGTTAGCAGTCTTACTGAGGGTGGCTATGTCTTTTTGTGCTTCTATATCCAAAATTCTTTGTATAGCACCCTTTCTTACTTGGTCATTTGAGGCGCAGGAGACAGGAAGTCCACAACTTCTTATATAATTTGTCAGTTGTGTAATCCAGGAGGTCAGTAGTTGGGATTTTATCTGTTCTAGTAGGCACAATTTTGGGAGTTTATCAGGCTCCATTACATTGATTTTACACCAGTAATTGTACGCTCTAAGTTTAGACTGTGCATTGATTGCGTAGATTTCCAGTTCTGCTCTCACTGCAGCAGCGGAGGTCCTTTTATCTACTCCCAGTATGCTTCTCAAGTGCTGGGATTGTGCTTGTTCTATTACTGAGATGGAACTTAAACCCCATACTTCTGCTGCATATAAAAGCATAGGTGTAACCTTAGCTTTATACACTTTAATTATTGGGATTAGGGTACCTGGGTAGCTATGTGTTTTTAGCTTAAGTATTAGATTCAGGCTAGCCTTTGAACAGCTCTTTCTCACAGCCCAGATTCCCAGCCCACATTTACCAGTTTCCTTGACCCTGTAAGAAATCTAAAACTTTCTAAAAATATTCCTAATGGTGGCAATAACCACAAAACAGCAAACATATTTGAAGTGTGGCTAAAAGCACATGTGGCATTTCTTGAGGTAGAATACCATTAAAACAGTCGACAGCATAGGAATGCTGCAACGTTGCTCCTGTGTGAAATTTTCAGAGATACTGTGGAATACGAAAAACCCTTTCAACCACAAAAGGCTACTTCCAAGACAATATTTATGTGATTCATGTGCTTATGAGGCAGTTAGCTCCCATCTTGGAAGAAAGTAGTTATGTGCCTTCAAATTGTGTCCAACTTATGACAACTAAGATGACACTATTATGGGATTTTCTGGGGAATGAGAGTATGATTTGCCCATGAATTCACAAAAGGTTTCAATGGCATGACTGAGGAATTGAACCTTATACCACAGTCTTAATACTCAAACCACAACACCACACTGGCACTTGGGAAAAAGGTCGGATAAAAATTCAATAAATAAGCTCGTCCTGTTCTGCTGTTAATTATCAATCAGCTCCCCAGCATGACATATATGATAAACTCTGCTCCCCTAACCTTTATATACCCATATATAAGACTCCAATATGTAAGATGAAATTTATGCAACATTGGCAAAACTGCAACATTTGTTCTAGTGGACTATAAGTTGATCTTTACAATGATGCCACCAGAAACCACTTCAAAAATGATAAATGATTATATTGTAAAGAAATGGGCATAATTTTGTAGTAAGGTGAGTTTTTTTTTTGTCGTGTCAGGAGCGACTTGAGAAACTGCAAGTCGCTTCTGGTGTGAGACAATTCGCCGTCTGCAAGGACATTGCCCAGGGAACGCCTGGATGATCTGATGTTTTTATCATCCTTGTGGGAGGCTTCTCTAATGTCCCCGCATGAGGAGCTGGAGCTGATAGAGGGAGCTCATCCGCCTCTCCCCGGATTCGAACCTGCGACCTGTCGGTCTTCAGTCCTGCTGGCACAGGGGTTTAACCTACTGCGCCACCGGGGGCTCCATAAAGTGAGTTAAAATGCATTAAAAATACCTTAGTTCTGAGTGATAATAAGCCAGACAGAAAGTCCTTGAAACTCTGTATCATTCCATTTTTACCATGTGTTACTGAGAAGTTGTTGCAAGGTTGCAACTGAAACTCCTTTTCTGCTATTTCTGTTACAGAAGGGATCACAATTAATTCAAAAACAGGAAAGGAGGAGTTTCACACACAAAGGGGATATCTGTCAATGGTTATGTTATATCACAAATAAAAAGCAGCTACTCACATCCAGCAGCTGGTGGAATTTCTCAACCTGAGGGGCATAGGCTGCCTGGAGCAGGCGCCAAATGCTCTGGCTTTCATCTAATGTCACCTCCAGAAGGTCGCCCTCCATTAGCAGCTCCTCCAAGGGAAGACGGATGGTATTGGGCAGCTCCAGCACAGGGCCCTGCAGCTGCGGCAGGTAAGAACCGAGCACCTCCAAGTCTGTGAAAAAGGCACAAGCACAACTGAAGGGAAGACCTAGGATCCTCACCCCCGTGCACAGAGCGGAGATTCATCCTCTCTCCCCCACCCCCACCCCCACTGCTGTTCTAACTAGGCATTGGAAAATTGGAATAAGGTTTTCACTGGCTGCCGTTAAGTTGCCAAGCCAAATTCAAAGTGCAGGTTATGGCCTATAAAGCCCTAAACAGTTCGGGCCCCGCCTATCTTCACGATCGCATCTCCCCTATGAACCTGCGTGAACTTTAACATCTTCCGGGGAGGCCCTACTTTCGCTCCCACCAACCTTCACATGCACGGTTGGTGGGGACGAGAGAGAGAGGGCCTTCTCGGTGGTGGCCCCCCGTCACTGGAACGCCCTTCCTGGGGAAATAAGACAGGCCCCATCCCTCCCCTCCTTTCGTAAGAGCCTGAAGACCTGGTGGTTTAAACAAACCTTTGAGAACGACTAGTTCTAGCTCTGCCCCAGATGCTGTTGAAATTGGCCATATCTTTTTCTACCAATTACCCAGGTCACTCTCTTCTATTAGGCCCTGGAAATGTACAGCCATAGACTCTACCTAATTTCCTGGGCCCTCTAAAATCGCATTAGCCCGGCCCGGCCTTTTAAACTGCTTTCAAAGGCAGGATTATTTTAAATATATGTGCTATTATGGTTTTTAATACTTATATTGTCTTGTTAATTTTATGTTTATGCTGTTTTCTTTGTATGTATTGGTCATGTTACTTGGAAACCGTGTCCCCTTGGGGAGATAGAGCGGTATATAAATAAAGTTTTGTTGTTGTTTTGTTGTAAGGTCACTTCCCATCCCTGTAAGCGAAATGAAAAAATCAGACTACATAACTTTAACAATGGAAGGATGTTACTTGAGCAATACCTGAGGGAGGGGAGCTGTTTTTTTCTGGAGCAGTGGAGTCCCCATTCTCCACTGAAACCTGGAAAAGGAAGGAAAGAAAAAAAGGAGAGATTAAAAGAGACTGCTGAGCCAAAGATGCAATCCTCGTTAGAATACCTCATTCAAACAAAATGGCATGGATGCCAGCACCTACTAAGATTTCTTTGAGGCTACAACTCAATCAGACAAAGGCAATACATATAACATATACTGGACACAGTGCCTGAAACCTCTAGAACTTCTCTCACTAACCCAGAGAATAGCTAATTTGATGTGTTGGCCAGAAGAGCAATGCTCTGGCAGTAAGACATTTGACAGATGGCCTTCTCTGGGTGAAACAACATCAGTTTACCTGAGTTTAAAAACTTTAACCACTGATATTCAAAAGACTGCTAAGAATAACTGGTACATCAAGCAGTTAAGGCTGGTTGCTCTGGATGCACAGAACAGATCAGTGGGCTACGGCCTACTCCACTGCTGCTGCATCTACAGTCCTGCTGATTTTGGGGAAAAGAAGTTCGGCTTTCCCCCTAAGATTATGAAGGACCCCCCCCCTTTTTTATGCTCTCAGAAGCTTCTAGGAAATGACATTATTCTTAAAAACAAGACAATCTGCATGCACTTGGTTCATCTTTTTAAAAAGCATTCCACCTTAAATATTTCATGGATCTTAGAGTGAAATTATCTGTTGCCAAGTTGTTTTCTTGGGGGGGGGGGGGGGGGGGGGCACACAAAAACATTTTGTGCTCACTTTGTACCAGGCCATCAAATGCTAATCAAGGTAGTCAGTTGAAACATTCACACCTAGCTCCAACAGACAAGAGTTCTTTGTCCCACCCTGGTCATTCCACAGATATATAAACCCACTTTTCCTAGTTCCAACAGACCTCACTACCTCTGAGGATGCTTGCCATAGATGCAGGCGAAACGTCAGGAGAGCATGCCTCTAGAACATGGCTATACAACCTGAAAAAACCTACAATAACCCAGTGATTCCAGCCATGAAAGCCTTTGACAATATATTTTGTTCTCTCTCTGTGTGTGTAAGCAACCCTTAGAAGAAGGGTACACAGACAACAGAATGAGAAACCTTCAGAAACAGCTGAAGGACAAGGTGTGTTGACTCAGTGGCCAACTTCCACAGAAACTTGGCCATAGAATCACACTGGAGGGTCTAGAAATTCCTAGATAAAACATTTAAATAAAATCCACAGAAGTACATTCCTCAAATGTGGAGAGCTGACTGTGTATCATAGGCTCAGCAGCAAGGTTGTTGTTGTTATTATTGTTGTTGTTGTTATTATTATTGCATTTGCTGAATCTCACATATTGCTTGGCCAGACAACCAAATCTTTGATGTCTTCTCTGAGAACTCTCCTAACATCTCATATGACATCTCCAACTAACATTTTTGTTGTTTATTCGTTCAGTCATTTCCGACTCTTCGTGACCTCATAGACCAGCCCATGCCATTGCTCCCTGTCGGCTGTCACCGCCCCCAACTCCTTCAGAGTCAAGCCAGTCACTTCAAGGATCCCATCCATCCATCTTGCCTTTGGTTGGCCCCTCTTCCTTTTTCCTTCCATTTTCCCCAGCATCATTGTCTTCTCTAAGCTTTCCTTTCTTCTCATGATGTGGCCAAAGTACTTCAACTTTGTCTCTACTATCCTTCCCTCCAATGAGCAGTCAGGCTTTATTTCCTGAAGTATGGACTCGTTGGATCTTCTGGCGGTCCAAGGCACTCTCAGCACTTTCCTCCAGCACCACAGTTCAAAAGCATCTATCTTCCTTCGCTCAGCCTTCCCTATGGTCCAGCTCTCATATCCATAGGTGACTACAGGGAATGCCATTGCTTTAACTATGTGGATCTTTGTTGCCAGTGTGATGTCTCTACTTTATCAAGATTGGACATTGCTCTCCTCCCAAGAAGTAAGCGTCTCCTAATTTCCTGGTTGCAGTCTAACATGGAATACTTTAAATCAATGCTTCTGATGTGAGATACAATGTTATAAACTTTTCTTTAAAATGTGTAAGGTTACATATTTGTGCTATATTTTAACAGTATGGAATGTTAAGATATATTGGGAATATAAAATATTAGGCGACTTAATATCTCTCAAGAGAAAAAGACTAGGCAGACCCAGGTCACTTAGGCTCAGAGGAAAGGACACATGTTTAAGAGGGAGAGGTACAAGTTTTAGGAATGTGAGGCAGATGAGAACTGGACTTAATTAGTCAGGATTTGCATATTAAATAAACAATCTTTGAAGTTATTTCATCTCCTGGCTGATAAATTACTTTTGTACTATGCTTGAGAAGTGATATTAGAAAGCTCTAATATCTAATATCTAATACCAAAGCCACACAGTGTCTATGGTATTATTTATTTATTTACAGTATTTATATTCCACCCTTCTCACCCGCAGGGGACTCAGGGCGGATTACAATGTACACATATATGACAAACATTCAATGCCAAAGACACACAACACATGTAGACAGTCAGAGGCCATTTAACATTCTACTTTTCTGGCCGCCAGGGGAGCTATCGCTTTCATCGTCTATCTTGCAACACTGATGAAGTACTTCCACATTCCCAACATGCTTTGCTGGAGTCTTTTTTAGGTGGTACCTAATTTTCCTACTTCACAGATGCAACTGTCTTTCGGGTTGCAAAGGTCGACAACAAGCTACACAACTGGTCGGAAGCTCACTCTGACCCGGGCTGGCTTCGAAGTCATGACCTTTTGGTCAGAAGTGATCTTAATGCAACTGACACTCAGCCAGCTGCACCACAGTCCTGGTGGTAGCAACAATTATTCAAGTGTAGTGGTGTTCAAGAGGGAAAGCAAATCAATAAAATCCCACACAGGAACCAAGAGTAGCAGTGGAATTAGAGAAAGCCCTAAAAGTAAGATTCCCCCTCCTCTAATGTGCCAGGAACCATCACATATTTCTGCCCAATGAATTCATTTGTTTGTTTCTTTCTTAGAAACTCTTCAGAGACCAACATTTTGAGCAGCATGGTTTTAAACCACATGGGAAAAGTGAACATTATTACTCAAATTGGATTTTCAAGACAATGCCACTCTCCAGCACTTTAATGTCTATGCAAGAGGAATCAAGAACCATTCCTTCACATCCCTTCCAAGGGAAATAGGATAGGCCCCATCCCTCCCATCCTTTCGTTAGAGCTTGAAGACCTGGTGGTTTCAACAAGCCTTTGAAAATGACCAGTTCTAACTCAGTCTTACACATTGTCGAATATGGCCTTATTTTTCCTACCAATTATCCAGATCATTTCCTCTAATCGGCCCCGGAATGAACAGCCACAGACCCGTACCTAATATTATTGTTGCCTGCGATAGCATTGCACTTAATTCCCGGGCCCCCTAGAATTTTTGGGCTTGTACAAATCTTGGCCCGGCCTTTTAAAAATTTTAATTGCATTGAACAGGCAGGATTACTTTTAATATGTGTGTTATGGCGACAATTTTAATGCTTATATTTTGTTTTGTTAATCTTATGGTTATGTTGTTAATCTTATGGTTATCTCAGGGAGATGGAGCGGTATATATATATATTTTTGTCGTGTCAGGAGTGACTCCTGGTGTGAGAGAATTGGTCGTCTGCAAGGACGTTGCCCAGGGGACACCTGGATGATTTAATGTTTTTATCATCCTTGTGGGAGGCTTCTCTCATGTCCCCGCATGAAGAGCTGCAGCTGATAGAGGGAGCTCATCCGCCTCTCCTCGAATTTGAACCTGCGACCTGTTGGTCTTCAGTCCTGCCGGCACAGGGCTTTAACCCACTGCGCCACCGGGGGCTCCATGGTATATAAATAAAGTTATTATAATTATTATAATAATTATTAATATTACTACTACTACTACTACTACTATTATCCTTTCCTCTTGTCCTTTCCATTATAAAGCAGAAAAAATTCTAGCAAGCTTATATCATACAAAGTATAAATTCATTATTTGGAGCACAGAAGCTTGACACTGTTCCAAATATCAGCATGCGGTGCATATTAATGTCCCCATCCGTCTGTATTGTACCACACACTGTGCATTTCCTCTGGGGTGCCTGCAAGCCCAGCCTAGAAGGCAAGCCAAGGCTTCCTGCACTTACCTTGGTCTGTTCATTGCAGCTGCTCTCTTTGAGTGCACTTCCTTCCTTGGCAGAGTCCCCAACCAGCCTCTGCCGCAGCTCTGCCAGGCGCTCCAAGGCCGTAACAACATCCGAGGAGGCGAGGAGCTGACGAGCACGGTCCTGCCACGTAATAGCTCGCTCCGTCAAGCACTGCAAAGCTTCTCCCTCAGGCAGCCGTACAGGGAGCTTCTGCAGGGCCACGAGCAGGGCCAGGATTGTTTCCAGACGAGGCCGGCGAGAACGCTGGCAAAGCGGGCACAGGAATTTGGCATCCCATTCCCACCATGCAGGAGCAGGACGGGGGCTGCCCAAGTGGGGCCACGCCACACAGGTGGGGTGGAACCAGTCCTGACACAGTTCGCACTGCAACATGGCAGGGCTTGGAGGCTGGGAACACACACAGTACTGGCCTCCCGGAGGACTGTGTGCTGACGGCACGGGCTTCTGGGCATTTGATTGGCGCAGGCGCAGCATCCCTGCTTTCTCCTTCTGTTCCCCTTCTTTGAAGGCCAGGATCTGCTGGGACACGGTAATTGGTCGCAATTATACACAATTTTAATCAAATTCATTTTTTTCACAAGAAAACCTCACTTCCCTAAACAAGGCAGATTAGAAAAAATCCAGCCATTCCCTCAAATTTAATTCTCCAGGCATACGCTAAGTTCTTCTGAAGTCAGCCTTTGCATCCTAATAGTTCTTTCTTTTGCTCCGAATGAAGCAGAGAGTGTTTGAGGACCGGGACATCCGTAGGGATACCAAGCTGCTTGTTTATAGAGCTATTGTCCTCCCAACCCTGCTATATGCCTGTGAGACGTGGACTGTCTACAGATGTCACATGCAACTCCTGGAACGATTCCATCAGCGCTGCCTCCGGAAAATCCTGCAAATCTCTTGGGAAGACAGGCGGACAAACGCCAACGTGCTGGAAAAAGCAAAGACCACCAGCATTGAAGCGATGATCCTCTGCCATCAACTCCGCTAGACCGGCCACGTTGTCCGGATGCCCGACCACCGTCTCCCAAAGCAGTTGCTCTACTCCAAACTCAAGAACGGAAAACGGAATGTTGGATGACAGGAAAAGAGATTTAAAGATGGGCTCAAAACCAACCTTAAAAACTCTGGCATAGACACTGAGAACTGGGAAGCCCTGGCCCTTGAGCGCTCCAGCTGGAGGTCAGCTGTGACCAGCAATGCTGCAGAATTTGAAGAGGCATGAATGGAGGGCGAAAGGGAGAAAAGTGCCAGGAGGAAGGCGCATCAAGCCAACCCCGACCAAGACCTCCTTCCACCTGGAAACCAATGCCCTCACTGCGGAAAAAGATGCAGAGCAAGAATAGGGCTCCACAGCCACATATGGACCCACAAGAATACTGGAAGACAATCCTACTCGGAAAACGAGGGATCACCTAAGTAAGTAAGTAAGTCTTTTGCTCTGCCTTTGGAATTCCTAAACATTTGCCTGAAACTCTTAACAATACTGTCACAAAACTTTTTTCCAAGCTGCAAGATTGCACTGGCAAAAGAAGACTCCTCCTGAACTGATAATGATCCTAAACCTGCTCTGTTCATAAGAAAAGAAGTTCTGATTCCTCCTCCTGCCCTAACTTCCTCCCAAGCCAATCACTCACAACGGAGCCAGGGTCCCTGAGGTCTTGTGCAGAGAGGCCCAGGCTCTCTGTGTCGGATTTGTACAGGCTCGGCTCCTTCTCCTTCTGCCACTTCATGCGCTTAACGCTGTCAGAGTCCGCATCAGCACACGGGCACAGCACCTGGAAGAAAGAGGCAGAGAAATGAACCAGAGATCTGAAGGACAATGCTGCCCATCTCCCGTTCTTAAGGCTCACAACTGACCTCGAGCAATGTGTAACAGGAGTTCTTCTTGAGGAAGGTCTTGGAGGCCTTTTCCCGCCAGGAATGTGCTGTCGTCACTTGTAGCTCCAAGTAGCGCAGTTCTTCAAGATGCACGGGCAAATCCCTACCCACAGCCACAAGTCCCTCCAGGTCATCCAGGCAGGGATAATGGTCTCCATTCTGTAAAGAGGAGACATATTGAAGTATTCTGGAACCCAGTGACAAACTTACCCACAGTTAACCAGGCTCTCAGGGTTACAGCCCACCTGGATTTCCTCCACATCAGCAATCCACGCCTGGGCCTTAGACAGAGCTTCTTTGAGGGACAGGATGTTGGGCAGATGGACCGGGATGTTCTCTGCCTCCTTGATGATGGCCTCCAGTGTGGCTGGTGGGTGCTTTTGCCTGTGAATAATTGGGATAAGGGAGCTATCAGATTGGGCTTTTCATGGGCACGTATGTGTATTCTGCTAAGAGCACTGATCAAGCACCTCTGTCCCCAACTAGAGCAGCCAAGTCTCACCTGGCCTCCAGGCACATTTGGGCTTTTTCCTCCCATCGTTGGGCAATGGTGAGTAACTCCTGCAGCTCAGCCATGGCCTTCTCCACAGCTGGGCTGGGAGCGACTCCGCGGCCAGAGGTGATGAGTGCCCGCATCACAGACAGCGTGACTTTATCCTGGGGTGAACGCAGAGTCTGCTTGACCTCTTCCAGCCAGACAGCCTGTTGCACCTGCTTCTCCAGTCGTTCCATCTCCGGCACTTCCACCCCAAGTTGTGTGCCCTGTGCCAGCAACTTATGCAGCTCTGGAGAGTTGCCTGGGAGACCCTGCAGTGCCTCCTGAACCTCTGCTTGAAAAGCCTCCACTTTCTCCAATACGCTCTGGAAGATGACAAGTAACTCGTCAGAGACAGATCTCATGCCTCTTCAAGCAATCTCTTCCCATTACTTTACACTCTACTCTGCTTACCTGGACATCCTTTATCTGGTGCATAACACAGGGCAAGTTGTTCATTTGCTCTAGGAAGGCACGCAATTCCTCCACTGTCATATGGACCGATGGTTCCCTGTAACAGCCAGCAGGAGAAAGGGTGGGATACAGTTTGTAGCTATCAGAGGAAAGGGCAGAAGGCCTCTGCCCACAGGCAAGCGCCAAACAGATCAAGGTGAACATAATACAATACACTTAAATCAGCAATAAACCTCTCTCAACGTTAACTGTCCAACAAAAACCACAGTTGGGGCACACTTTCAAAAATGCCACCTAAGCTACTGTCTTCTTAAACTGTGGGTCATTACTCCAAATGGGTTCCCATTGGCTTATTTTTGGGGGTTGCAAAACAATTCACAATAGGAAAAGGTATCTGAATGCCATCTAGTGGTTGTTTTAGATATGTATGTACCGTATATATTCGAGTATAAGCCGGCCCGAATATAAGCCGAGGCACCTAATTTTACCACAAAAAAACTGGGAAAACTTATTGACTCAAGTATAAGCTGAGGGTGGGAAATGCAGCAGCTACAGGACAATTTCAAAATAAAAATACATACTGATATAATTACATTAATTGAAGCATCAGGAGGTTAAATATTTATTAAAATTTACATAAAACTGTAAGATAAGACTGTCCAACTCTGACTAAACCATTATTCTAACCTTCTTCAATGTACATATGTTTACGTATCCTTCCAATAATAATAGAGTAAAATAATAAATGTAATAATAATAAAATTACAATTAAAATATTACAATTAAAATTAACCTATAAATGCAATAGTAGTAGTAGTAGTAGTAGTAGTAGTAGTAATAATAATAATAATAATAATAATAATAATAATAATAATAATATAGTAAAATAATAAATAACCTTGACTCAAGTATAAGCCGAGGGGAGCCTTTTCAGCCTAAAAAAAGGGCTGAAAAACTAGGTTTATACTCAAGTATATTCAGTAAATGTTAGCAACAACATGCAGTGTTTATAGTGGACTCTGCAGAAGATGCTTCAGATGTACTTCATAAAAAGGAAAAATCAGCCTGTTAAAAAAGCCCTGCAAATGCTGATTTGTTATCAGTAAATGCTTGATTTTCTATATTTCTACCCATATACCTGAGGTCACATAAAAGTTTATTGGGTGGAAAGAGATCTTGGGTGGAAAATGTTTAAAAAGTCTTGCCCTAAGCTCATTCACAACACTGAATTAGATAAATAGAAAGGGTCATATTTTCTTGTGCTTACCCTGTTTCTTGGCTGCTTATCAGACCCAGGGCTTCGGAGACACATTTCTCTGCTTCACTCAAGCAGCTCTTGAGCCGGTGAAGCAGTTCATTCTCTGGAAACTTCCTCTCACGTGCTTCCGACTCCAATGCACGTAGTTCTTCCAAGGCTGCAAGAACAGAGAGACCCAAAGTAGGCTCAAAAACTATCCTACTGTCCCAGCTGCACAGCCAGTTACTATGATTTATTGCTAGCATCTCCCAGAAAACAATGAAGGGAGACACATTAGGAGTTACTGAGCAGCGATTCCCAAACCTTTTCGATCATGTAACCCAGGGGTCCTCAAACTAAGGCCCGAGGGCGGGATACGGCCCTCCAAGGTCATTTACCCGGCCCTCCCTCAGGGTCAACCTAAGTCTGAAACAACTTGAAAGCACACAACAACAACAACAACAACAACAACAACAACAACAACAACAACAGCAATCCTATCTCATCAGCCAAAAGCAGGCCAACACTTCCCATTGAAATACTAATAATTTATATTTGTTAAGATTGTTCTTCATTCTAATTATTGTATTATTTTAAAGTGGGTTTTGCACTTCAAATAAGAGATGTGCAGTGTGCTTAGGAATTCATTCACATTTTTTCAAATTATAATCTAGCCCTCCAACTGTTTGAGGGACTGTGATCTGGCCCTCTGTTTAAAAAGTCTGAGGGCCCCTGATGTAACCTTTCAGAAGACTTTCCCTCTCCCGTGGAACCTAACTCTTTCCCTGATTTTCCCACAGAACCTTAACTCTGTACCTAAGCTTCGTGGACCCACAAAAATCTTCTTCTTTCATCTACTCCTATTGACTGGGTGTTTTGTATAAAGTAGTAGGTTTGGAAAAATATTTGAAATATAACCACAAGCATTTATTTTGGTACAAGGAAATATTGGGTTCACACATAAAGTAATGAATTAAATAGTTTCATTTTTGTACTTTAAAAAACTGTGAAATTAGCTTTTATGTCCGGTAGCTAAATACATAAATCCACAGCAGCATCCAACTTACTCCTAAATTTGTTTATGGTATAAGCACAAGCTAAAAAGCCTGATTTATATCCACAAGTGGACACGAAGGGGAGCATTGCTCGGATAACCTTTCTAGTTACTGACAGCTATACATCAGTCCTACCTAAAAGTCATTCAATGACACAGATTCAAATTTCATTTTTATAGCATGGAATCACTGAAGAACAGTAAGATCTTCACACTCTGAAATCGACTTTTAAAAAGATTTTGATGATTTTTCACAGAACTCCTTCCGATGTTTCTGTGCATTCTTCTCATTCCCAACCATGTCATCAACCCCTTCTAACCTAAATGTCCTTGTCCCATCTCTGTTCTTCTTATACTCCTCTTTAAAAAAGAGCCAGCATGGTATTTACAAGGATGTTATGCACTTCCTGCTCAAATTGTACTTAAGCAAATCTAATATTAAATCGGCAGAATTTTGAGATATACGAGTGCTTTCTTTGTCTATTTTATTTATTTATTTAATACATTTCTATCCCACCCTTCTCCCCACTCAGGGCAGCCTCACACAGGCATCAAATGATGCTAAAAACATATATACCATAAAAATTACAACTAAAACAATAAAAACATTGTCGAAGGCTTTCATGGCCGGAATCACTGGGTTGTTGTAGGTTTTTCCGGGCTATATGGCCATGTTCTAGATGCATTTTCTCCTGACATTTCGCATGCATCTATGGCAAGCATCCTCAGAGGTAGTGAGGTCTCACTACCTCTGGACGCTTGCCATAGATGCAGGCGAAACGTCAGGAGAAAATGCCTCTAGAACATGGCCATATAGCCCGGAAAAACATACAACAACCCAATAAAAACATTTTAAAACATTATACGAATCATCAATACATTCATTTAACAATAAATTAACGCAACAGGTGAAGGAAAAAATCAATTGGCTCATTAAGAATCCCGGTCATACATTAACTGAGGCATCAGGGGGTTAAATGTTTTTGAATATTTACATAAAACTGTAATTTAAGACAAGACTGTCTAACTCTGATTAAACCATTATTTTAGCCTGCTTCAATGTAAATGTGCTTATGTACACACCTTTCCAATAATAATAGAGTAAAATATTAAATGTAATAAAAATAATAACAATAGAGTAAAATCTAGACCACATCTAGACCACAGAGTCATTTCATTTCCTACAAGACTGAAGATTCATATACTCTCCTACAAAATCAAGTAGAATAAAAGAATCCAGAAATGAGGGCACTTACTTCTCTTGCGCCCATCTTCCACTTCTAAAGCAATTCGAACTTTGTTGGCCCATGTGTCAAAACACTCTGCCCGGACCTTCAGCTTGTGTAACATGGCTGGTAATTCATCCAGAGTATACCGGTACCTGAAAAAAGGAGAAGCAAAGAAAATTCTGTTCACAGAAGTCTATTCACCACACCAACTCAAATTCAGACCAATAAGTTTCATTCTTACACGAGAACATCTCTTTATTTTTAAAAAAGCCCTGAATACCAACCCATCCATCCATAAATTATAGATTTCCTTTAACAACAAACCTCCTGATGTGGCAGATCATGAAAGCTGCTACATTTCACCTCAAACTTAGCAACTCTTATCTGTATTAATCTATTTTGTAATGATTTCACTCATAGAAAAGCTGGAAAATCTTCACATGGCTACAACGGAAACACCCAAAACGTTTGGCCCAAAGAGATGCCACAGTCTTCAATAAGCCTTCCTCTACCATGAGTGCATTTCAAAGTAATAACTTTAAGACTAAGCACCAATATATGTATGAATAAATAACTGGGTCGGGGAGCAATAAGCTGGGAACATTGTGCCCATTTTGCGTGTGAGATGAGTGAGTATCTATGTTGCGGTCATTCCTGAGAGCAAAACTATTTCAGTGATAGGGAAGTTTGCCCCCGATCTTTGGGAATGAAACCATTTATACTCGAGTATAAGCCTAGTTTTTCAGCCCTTTTTTAAAGCTGAAAAAGTCCCCCTCGGTTTATATTCGAGTCAAGGTTATTTATTATTTTACTCTGTTATTATTATTATTTTTATTACTACATTTATTATTTTACTTGATTATTATTATTATTATTATTATTATTACATTTATTATTTTACTCTATTATTATTAGTATTATTACATTTATTATTCTATTATTACTGTTATTATTACATTTCCATTATTTTACTCTATTATTATTGTTATCATTACATTTATTATTTTACTCTATTATTATTGGAAGGATACGTAAGCACATTTACATTGAAGAAGTTTAGAATAATGGTTTAATCAGAGTTGGACAGTCTTATCTTAAATTACAGTTTTATGTAAATATTCAAAAATATTTAACCCACTGATGCCTCAATTAATGTAATTGTCTTTGTATCTATTTTTATTTTGAAATTTATCAGTAGCTGCTGCATTTTCCACCCTTGGCTTATACTCAAGTCAATATGTTTTCCCAGTTTTTTGTGGTAAAATTAGGTGCCTCGGCTTATATTTGGGTCGGCTTATACTCGAGTATATATGGTATTTATATCTAATTCAGTGCTTCTCTCCAAGTTTTTGAAATTGCCTTTCCCTCGCCACAAAACGTATTCTACTTTCTAACTCTCCCAGCACAGCACCAATACATCCCATGCATGTGGGAACAGAGGCTTCTGCATTACATGCAGACAGTATTCTACAGCATGTAAGGATGAGAACAGGACTGTAGGCTGACATTAAAACATGAAAGCCATTGATTCCGGTCAGCTGGCTGCTAAAGAGTGAAAAACCTGAAAGGGACAAGTGGACACAGACTGGTAAACATTTTATATATGTGAAATGGGGAAAAAAGATGAAAAATATCAAAATAATAAAATATGCTTATTATAAATTAATATAATATATTTAGTATTAAGAAATAAAATCTACTCCAAACTACAAAAATTAATTATGTGAAAGGATGATGCATTAACTGTTATAATTACTTCCAATTCATTACTGGTTACATTTATTACAGTGTGCCTTTAATTCAATACAGAAGTTGAAATAAATTTGGATACTGTGATCTTTAAATTAATTTTCTTGGTAAAATAGAAAAACAGTAATAACAAGAAAAAAGAAGTGTGCTACTCTGATGGATTGAGAAAATCTGCTCGCTTCATCTCTCCAAATACCTATCCTAGTTATATGTCACCTGGTCATGCCCAGCATTTTTTAAATTTTTTATTACATTTGGCCCTACCATAGGTTTTCAATGCGTCATGGTGTTATTGTTACTGTTTATTGCTTTGCTTACGAGTTTATTTATTGTCTGTATTGCTGTTGTTGTTGTTTTACTGATGTACTTGGGCCCGGCCTCTTGTAAGCTACACCGAGTCCTTTGGGAGATGGTAGCAGGGTATAAATAAAGGTTTATTATTATTATTACAAGGATTGGAAAACTAAGGCACTTAGCCATCTCATACTAATTTTTGGGGCTAATGTTTTTTTCCCCCTGAGGTATTTGAATGCCCCCCTCCAATAGAATTGGGAAGGCCATGGGCAACCTGCAAGCTCCACTTCCCCCACCCCAGCCCTAAAGCAATAGCAATCATGGCTGATTTTTCTAAAAAAAATCACACAGAAGATTAATGCTAAAATAATATTTTAAAACCCAAACACCACCAAACCTGAGCAAAAAATCAGCCAGGCTTGCAAACACGAATAAAAAAGGATTTGTGAGAGCTCTCGGGCAGTATTTAATAATAATAATAATAATAATAATAATAATAATAATAATAATAATAATAAATACTCCTGACCTAACAATCGTGTTAAAAAACAAAGTATGGATCGCTGGGTTGTTGTAGGTTTTTCCGGGCTATATGGCCATGTTCTGGAGGCAATTTTTCTCCTGACGTTTCGCCTGCATCTATGGCAAGCATCCTCACTACCTCTGAGGATGCTTGCCATAGATGCAGGCGAAACGTCAGGAGAAAAACTGCCTCCAGAACATGGCCATATAGCCCGGAAAAACCTACAACAACCCAGTGATTCTGGCCATGAAAGCCTTCGACAATACAAAGTATGGATCGTTGATGTCGCAATCCCAGGTTATAGCAGGATTGCAGAGAAACACCTGGAAAAGCTGGCACGATATGAGGATTTAAAAATCGAACTGCAAAGACTCTGGCACAAACCAGTAAAGGTGATCCCAGTGGTGATCGGCACACTGGGTGCAGTGCCTAAAGACCTTGGCCTGCACTTAAACAAAATCGGTGCTGACAAAATTACCATCTTCCAGCTGCAAAAGGCCACCTTACTGGAATCTGCACGCATTATTCGCCGATACATCACACAGTCCTGGACACTTGGGAAGTGTCCGACATGTGATCCAATTCAACAGCCAGTATAGTGTCTGCTGTGGACTCATCTTGTTGTGTTTCAAATAATAATAATAATAATAATAATAATAATAATAATAATAATAGGCTCCATATATATTTTGCTTGCTTTGTTATACCATGTTTTTGTACAATAATAATATAAAACTTTATTTATACCCTGCCACCACTTCCCATAGGCACTCCACTCAGGGCGGCTTACAAACAGCACATGATGGTACCATACAACATATAAAATGCAATGCATCAACATATAAAATCAGTAACACATTTACATAAAACCAGACCTATAAAATTAATGAAAGCAACATCTATTAAATAGAAAATTTGCAGTCATAAAGACAGAAAACTACTTCACATAAAGTACTGTCTCCTTCTTCCTGCCCACCTGAGATATTGTCTGCTGCTGGGGCACTTGCAGAGGTCGTTGATATGGTAGAGGCAAACAAGACAATCTGGGCAGTCATAGCAAGCAAGCGCTGACAGAAAGCACGTCGTCTTGCATTTGTCACACTGTCGCTCATCATCTGGAAGCAACTCAAAGGCCTCTCGCTCTGCTTCTGTGATGCCCTGAATGAGAAGGAACACTGATGAATCTCTTGGCCTTCAACATAGGCCATACCTGTATTTCCTCAACACAGAATGGATGCCTACCAACCAGAGCTAGGAAAAATTTCTGTTTTGGACTACTACTCCCAGAATTCCCCAGGTAAAAAGGATTTTCCAAGCTATGTCATCATCTCACTACCTTGTCAAGGAGAGCCTTGCGCAGTTTACGCTCTTCTTGCACCAAGATAAACATCTCTTTGTGCACAGCAGCTGCCAAGTTCAGGTCCAGCCTCTCAGGACAAGCAGCCATCTTGCAGATGAGCTCTTCATGTGAGAATACACAGTAGCGGCGGAGGCGGCGGTAGTGCTCTATGCACTGCCGACCAGCTGGTAACTGAACATTAGATAGAGGGGGAAAAGAATGATGATGATAAAGAACTTTATTTCTACCCTCTGCCCTTTCTCTCCATGGCACTCAAGGCAGCTTACAATAACACAACACAACCCAATAAATTTAAAAATATAAATACAATAAAATATAAATACAATGAAAATACAATGAAAATACTCTTACAATTAAAATTACATTTAAAACAAATACCCTCATTAATTTCACACAAAAGAAGACTAATAATCAGATACAATTGTGGTATTTGGCTCCCAACCGTGCTAGGTGCCACATGAAACATCCCAAGGTCATACAAAGCATCTCAAGCTAACTATTACCAGGTCCCTTTAGGGAGTTGTCATTTGGGAGTTGTAGTTCCTGGGATTTATAGTTCATCTACAATTAAAGAGCATTCTGAACTCCACCAACTGAACCAAACTTGGCACGCAGATCTCCCATGACCAACAGAAAATACTGGAACTCATTGACCTTGAGTCTTGGAGTTGTAGTTCACCTACATCCAGAGAGTACTGTGGACCCAAACAATGATAGATCTGGACCAAACTTGGCACACAGACCGAACATGGGTAACTGTGAACACTGGTGGAATTTGGGGAAAATAGAATTGACATTTGGGAGTTGTAGTTGCTGGGATTTATAGTTCACATACAATCAAAGAGCATTCTGAACCCCACCAATGATAGAATTGGGCCAAACCTCCCATACAGAACCCCCATGACCAACAGAAAATACTGTGTTTTCCAATGGTCTTTGGTGACCCCTTGGACGCCTCCTCGCAACCCCCCCAGGGGTCCCGACCCCCAGGTTGAGAAACACTGCTCTAGGTAATGCCTCAGTCCCTCTGGTCTAAGCTCACCCAGTCAGCAGTGCAGAAGTTGACAGCTTCAGCAAAGTTATAACCCTGGTTGAAACCGCTGTGGTAGGCTCTAGGGAACGTAATGACAAACTCTCCTGCACACTGATTGGTCCGCACAACCTGTAGATGCAAAATAAGAAAGGATGAGATTGGTGACTGGAAAGCAGGGAAGGAAGGGCAGCGAAATTGCACCCACGCGCTCGTACTCACTGGTACGCCGTGAGCCATTAGCGTGTTGGGGTTCATGAGCGTCACTAACTGATGCAGCAGGTCCGGCTGGCTCTCAAACAGCTCTGGGGTCAATTTCTTCATGACATCTTCCAGATGTTCGGCTGCAAAGGAAGGGACCCCATACCACGTCTTGGGCTCACCCCTAGGAAAAGGAAGGCCAAGTCAGGAAAGACAGCCTCCATTTGTTCTCAAAATTGTGGGAAAACCAGGAAGAGCACCCAGTCACACTCAGCAGTGAGAGCTTTTCTTTACCCAAAGATTTATGTTTATTAGTGAGCAGAAGGCAGTTCCCACTAAGAATGTACAGGACGTGGATCATACATTTACTTAGTCCTCAAACTTTTTAAACAGAGGTCCAGGTCACAGTCCCTCAAAGTGTTGGAGGGCCAGATTATATATTTTTAAAAAAACACAAATTAATTCCTATGCACACTGCACATATCTTACTGGTAGTGTAAAAACACTTTAAAACAATACAATAATTAAAATGAAGAACAATTTTAACAAATATAAACTTATTAATATTTCAATGGGAAGTGTGGGACTGCTTTTGGTTGATGAGATAGGATAGTTGTTGTTGTGTGCTTTCAAGTAATTTCAGACTTAGGTTGACCCTGAGTAAGGGCTGGGTAAATGACCTTGGAGGGCCATATCCGGCCACCGGGCCTTAGTTTGAGGACCCCTGACTTAGCACATACACATAATTTTTCATACAATATTGTTTTCCAAAGTGGCTCACATCAAATGTTTAATGAAGTGAAGAAGAATGGGGGGAAGTAATACTATAAATAAACACTGGAGCTAGTCCTTTCTGAATATTTTAAAAAATACAATGGAAGATCCTTTGTATTAAAAATCTTGAGCCATGGTCCTCTTAAATCCTGCATAGATGCCACAAAACCGATGTTTGTTCACTGTTTTTACCCCTATTTATAACCAAACAACACTTAAAACCTTTGCACCATTTTTCCTACATCTAACAATTTGTACTCAGGAAAGGGTGTTAAAAAGTCTGAGAATTCTACACAACAGCTTTCCACTCTGGAAACCCCAGTATCTCACCAGTGGAGGTAGTTAATAGAGTAGCTCCAGTGATCCTCTATATGCCAGCAGAAGGCAGAAAACACCATGCCCACATACAACCACGGGACCTTCATGCCTGAAATATCGGCATTGATGTGGCAGAGCACCGACTGTTTCAGGACTGGCATCACATTGAGATTCCAGCCACTGGCTGCATACTCCTGAAATGATAGACAACAAATAAAAATGACGCTTAGGCCAGTGGTAAGGTTCCAGCCTTAAATTGTAAGGGAGTGGAGTGGGAAAATTTGAAGCAAGTGGGGAGAAGTCTGCCTTCACTAATACAGTACATACCTCTTCCTCTGGAGAGAGCTGCCTTTTGCCATCATTAATGGGGAAGCCACTTCCAAATTCCTTGGAATGGATGTCAGCACCATATTCGACTGTTACATCTTCCTCAATGCTGTTTACCAATCGCCAGAACTCCTTTTCTACCAGCTCTGTTGGCACCATCTGAGAAAGGCAGTGGAGACAGAGGTAAAAAAATCTGCATGGAAGAACCTACAAAGAACAACATGTTGTCTCTCTTTCAACATTGTGACTTTACCACCCTCTCCTAAGTATTCCACATATTACAAGCCCATGATACGCCACATGCCTAAGGGTACTGGGACTCACATGCACAGGCATGTTGAAGTAGTCAGCCTTGAAAGAATCTGCCATCTCTCCAAAACTCTGTAGTGTGTACTCCCGAGTAGCCTGCTCAAACCCAAAAGCTTCTGGAGGTCGCTTACATTCCTAAAGATAGACAAAGGTAAAAAACATAGGCTGAAGAGTTCAGAACCAAAGGACTGTTCTGCCACTGCCCTGATTCCTTAACCACTTATATGGCACATTCCGAAATTCTCTTGTAACCAATTCTTCTACTTAAATCAGGCACCTCCATCTGTATCCAGATAACCATAAAAGGCTTCCCAATAAAAGAAGAATCATCAGGGTTGCTGGAAGAGGCAAGTAGAGGCTCCTTACCGCCATGACGCATTTGGGACACCGCCAGACCCCTTTTGGAATTTCGGGCAAGGGCGGCAATAGGCAGAAGATGTGATAGTTGTCATCACATCCATCGCATAACAAGAGCTTGTCGTCTTCATCTCCCCGTGCACATATCCGACAAACATAAGACTCAATCTGAAAGAAAGAAAGAAAGGAAGGAAGGAAGGAAGGAAGGAAGGAAGGAAGGAAGGAAGGAAGGTAGGTCACAGAAATGAAAACATACAATGGGATGGCTCAATCTGAGAGCACCCAGTTGTGGTTGGCTCAAAGGAAAGTGTAATGAAAGGGCTCCTAAGAAGCAGCTCAGCCAGAGATAAACTGAACTGGATGATCTCCTCTTCCAGAATACCTCATGCAATAGTATTTATTCATTTATTTCCTATATTTATACCCCGCCCTTCTCACCCCCGAGGGGGGACTCAAGGCGGCCTCACAGAAGCACCATACGATGCCAACATCATAAAAACATGCTCAAATTTGATATATATTTTTGTTCGCGGAAGTTCAGGAATTACAAATAAACTGATTAATTATTGAAATACAAAGCAATTTCCCCCACTATCCTTGAGCATACCATGTTAGGGGGAAAAATTAGCAAATGAAAGCAAAAGTTACTTCTAAAGCAAAGCTGTTTTTACAAAAACCATGGAGATTTTGTGGTCATTCTATTAATTATTCACAATGACCATATTTTATACACTTTAAAATTCACTAATAAAACCATCAAAACTCTGTTGTCCTGAAGTACTCCATCTATCAGTATATTTAAAACATATCCACAATGGAGTCCTTTTGGGTAAGTCTCTAGCTTAACATGTAACTGTAAAGTGATGGTATTATTATTATTAACTTTATTTGTACCCCGCTAACATCTCCCGAAGGACTCGGTGCGGCTTACAAAGGCCAAGGCCCCAATAAAACAACAGCATAACAAATACAACACTAAAACTCATAAAGCAAATCAATAAACATTAAAGCAGTAACAATAAAAACATTAAAACAAACATTAAAACAAACACAAATGTACAACATTGCTAATTCAATGTTGTACATTTGTGATAAGCCAGAAGTTATCACTGGGTTGAACGCAACCGGGCTGGTGGAAGTGGACTTCCTCTTGTTTCCCACAGAAGCTTTTCCAGCCTTCTTGAAAATACACAGAACTGCACTGAATGGGATAAGCAGTGAGATGGAGAGAGATTCCTGAAAACTGCAAAAGCTATTTCTGTGAATATTTTGTGCATTGAAGGCAGGAAGATCCTGTATCAAGTCTACCAAGATTTTTTTGTGTGTGGTTACTCACATGATACGGACAGATTTTAGTCCAAGAATGGGCTTTATAGGAATTTCTAGCATCCATGAGGCAAGGAGACATTACTGCTTTGCAATTTTAGAGAACATATGTATAACGGCATCCTAAGTTAAGCATATGCTTAAACATTCTCAATGAAACAAATGGGACATGAGCCATTTCAAGTTCCAGATTTAGGGAAAAGGCAGAGTAAAAACAAACCAATACAGTATGTAAAAGGGCTTAATTTGATCTCAAATTCCTCCCATTATATTCTCTTCTGGTTCACTTTCTACACAAAATGATCAACAAGGCCAAAGTAAATGTTTGCTTTAAGGCACATTGTTATATTGAATGTTTCAGAAATACATGCATATTAAGTATGTTTGATAATCTGTATAGCATGCATAACATAATCTGTATAACATGGAAGAGCATGAAACATGAGCTTGGCCACAAAAGGGGAACACACAAATGATTCCACTTACAAACTGAGTGTTGTGGTTGCGACGCAGACGCATTGTCATTTTGGTGCAAGGTTCTGGACTGTGCCTTAGTTCCTCTTTCACATTTGCATAGCCTCTGGGCGAGGTGGGCTCAAGCTTCGTCTCTGGAACAGGAGTCTCCTCTTTCACTATCACTGTTGGAGGGCATTCGGGCATCTCCTTATCTGTATTAGGAAGAAATAAATTTAGAACTCGGAAGGTTGGCTCCTCCAGAGGCTCCCTAAATGCAGGACTAGCTCACCTTTCTTGCGCATGTTCTTGTCCTTGGCTACAAGCCCCAGACCCAGCATCTTGGGGCCAGCACCATAAATCTGCAGTTTTTTCAGCTCTGGGTTCTTCTCAATGTCTTCTTCTGTTGGCTCTGGCTGTAAAGAAAATTTAATTGTGATGGGGGTATCAGAATAGCAATCTTAAACACTGCATCCCAGAAACTTTTAGAAAGCAGAAGCAAAGGGAAGCAATAGGGCAAAGACTCAGCTGGAGAGGAAGAAGAACTGCTGCAGACCTAGATAATAACAGAACAGTGTGAGATGTAGTTGAGCTCGTGTGGCAGAAAACTCATCTTGCTGGGAAGCACAATTCTCAGCAAGATACCCAAGAGGCTCAGAATCCACTGTAAAGTGAATCAAAAGCAATGCATGTTGGGCATTACATTTCCTTAGGCCACATCTCCTGTTGAATTTGGGCCATGGATTTCCATCCATGAAGCAGGGCAAGCAAAAAGAGTAAGAGAAAGGCAGGAGAGTGGACAGAACAGGAACAGTACCCATGCTTGAGGCGCTCGCTCCAGGAACAGAGCTGGGGCGCTGGCAGGATCAGGGCACGATTCGGATTCCTGTAGGAGGGCGACAAAATGTGTGGGGAGTAGGGATCAACAGCAGGCCTCCAGGAATGTTAATGAGGGAATAACCAAGAAACAAAGGGTGGAATTACTGGGTTGTAATGATGAAGATGGTTGGAGGTTTCTAATGTCATTTGCTTGAATTTAAAAACCTCTAATCAGAACTAACAATTATAATTCAGTCAGAAAATAATTAAGATAAACTACACTAGAAAGCCAGCACATGGAAGAAAGTTACATTTAGGGTTCCTAGGAACTTTCTAAACATTTCAGGAGATAAATAGAAAATTGCAATCCAGTTGGCCCTCCACTTTTCCGGGTTGCACTTCTGTGGGCCACTTCTGTAGTATGCTCCTATGCTTATCTTCCAGCAGAGGTTGATCAGCAAAGACACAGAAAGGTGTTGTCTCAAGTAATAAAAAAGTGTACTTTAACGGCAGTTTTCTCACTTTTGCATGATCCTGCACCTAACCCCAACAGATGTGACTGCATTAGCTACTGTTTTACCAGAGAGCAGAAGCAAAACAAAAAAGATTTGGAACAAGAAAGTCTAAGAAAATTTTTGCAAACTTACTTCTTATACGTCTCTAAAGAAATCTACTTAAGGACACTTAGGGTTAATTAAATGGGTTTTTTTTTACTCCTGACTAGAATAGAATTATTTACTCAAGTATATTTATCTAAAATTGAGTCACCATTCAAAAAATTATTTGGTGGACTTACATTAATTGGGATTAACCAATATTCCAGAAAATAAGCATGTCAGATCTCTGCATGCGCTCTGACTCCATCTTGACTGTGATGGTTTCAGTTTAAAAAGTAGAATTTTGCCTAACGTTTCAATGAAAACCTTTGTGGATACAGTTGGAATTCCAATCACTACCTCTGAACGGGAGCACGGAACATTAATGGTTATTTTAGATCAGGGGTCCTCAAATTTTTTAAACAAAGGGCCAGGTCACAATCCCTCAAACTGTTGGAGGGCCGGATTATAATGTGAAAAAAACATGATTGAATTCCTATGCACACTGCACATATCTTATTTGTAATGCAAAAAAAACCCACTTTAAAACAATACAATAATTAAAATGAAGAATGATTTTAACAAATATAAACTTATTAGTATTTCAATGGGAAGTGTGGGCCTGCTTTTGGCTGATGAGATACGATTGTTGTTGTTGTATGCTTTCAAGTCATTTTAGATCTAGGTTGACCCTGAGCGAGGGCCAGGTAAATGACCTTGGAGGGCCATATCCGGCCCCTGGGCCTTAGTTTGAAGACCCCTGTGTTAGATTGTAATGTGAAGGATCTAATCTTGAGCACACGTTATAGCTCCATGTAGTTCTGGTCCCTGAACACTTTGCTGTGATAAAGACACCTGTCACCAAAGGCTGGAGGGAAAATAAACCAAGAGACCAATCATCAATTTAACTTTCAGCCACTAAGTTCACACACCCAACACATCCACAGAGGACTTTTGAACCAAGTATGGGCATGGGGTGCCTCAAAAAATTCAGCTGCTTTTCCATGCTTTTGCTTACCCACTGAGATATGATGAGAACATCTCACTTGGTATTCTTCAACTATCTGAAATATGACTGACAAGGCTTCTCAGAAAAGTAGCTTTACTGGACTATCACCTTAGACTACTTCTTTCTCTCTTCAGTGATATTCCGAATCCCTTCCCTTTACTGAAAAATAGCTGCGCAAGACAACCCTATCTAAGCAGTCCTTCAAATAGGAATCATTTGCACTGCTCTTCTCTACCCAAAGATTCCTTTATCCATCTAATCCCAAAACAACTGATTACAGGTAGATCACAAAAGTGTGTTTGTTTGTTTTTTTTCCATTCAAAACACAGATCTATACTTTGTCCAGCTTATAAAGATGGCACAAAATATAAAATAATTTCACCTTTCTTTTACAGTTGTTACATTTTGATCTGAGTCACATATTTTCTGTTGTTGATTTATGTTGTTCGGGGCCTTTAACTTCAAATATTGTTTTCCAACTCTTGACAACAGTGTCCAGTTTGTATTATTTTATTCTATGCTGTTTTAAATGCACCTGCTGAATAAGGCTAATAGCTAGATTTGTTTAAAATTCATAGACACAGTGCTTCGCTCCAAATGTTCACAGTAATCAAAAATAATCATCTTATGAAGTCAAAAGTAATCAGATATTTTATCCCACGAGAGATGCAAGCTGAAACACTTCTTTCTGTGGGAAGGATGCATGCCAGCAGGACTGTGAAAATAATAAGGCAATCTGCAGAGTCAAGGAGAGTAGCATATACTGGGAGTGATGGGCTCACCTAACCTTAAAAAAATTAAATTAGAGCTCAAATTGTGCTCTAGACTCACCTCTTGCTGTAAACGCTTGGCTCGGCGTCCGTAAGTGTTGAACTTGGAAGGCTGGACTGACTGGCGTAAAGGGATGCTGTGTGGCTTATACTCCTTGTCCTTTTCCTCATTGTCAAATGGGTGGGTATTGCACTGTTTGGAGGGAGAACAGCTTTAAGACTAAGTCAACATCCTCACTGTAATCACCCTACCCCTATGGGTCAGAGGAATAAACATCACCCAGGCTTTGCCATGGCAAAACAACACAGTTAGTGACAAGGGCTCAACAGTTTCCACCATCCACTCTAACAAATCATTCCCTTCCCATAAAAAACCCCAGGAGGCTTGTGTTCAGAAGAATCCTGTGAGTAATAGGAAATAGAAGGTAACTGAAAGTTTTAAAAGTTTAAAGACAAGTGGGGCCAAAAAACTCACCACCAGGTTGGCACCCGACTGGTACATTTCATAAGGGTAGATAATACGCTCATAATGGGAACGAAGAAGAGAGCCAATGTTCTTTCCCGACGGATAGGAAAGGCGCTGGGCCACTCGCGCCCATCGGCGATCCTTGCAGATGGCTTCATATCCACCTTCTTCCATCACAATCTGGCACACAAGAATGCTGAGAAATAAGAATCCTCCCAACAGCGAATACTGTGCAATCACTATACAATCAAGTATCATACATCCCTGTGTGCTATACTAATACAATTCACAACCCCTTGCCCCAATCATGACACATAGTTTCCTTCATACCAATTCTGATTTCCTTCACCCCTACCAATACCTTTCTGATTTACCCTGCAAAAATGCTTGTTAGGACTAGTTCTACCACTCTTTCCAATGCTTTAATATTAATTCTCATGTTTGTCCAACTTACTCTGCTCAGGCTGTACAAATCAAGGATTCGCCTCTCTACGTTTGGGATTTTCAGTGCAGACCCTTGAATCTCCCAGAACTTTGCAATCTGGTCTAAATAGTTCAACTTTACCCTGGTCTGGGCCTAGAGATAGGAACAAGACAATTTTCATTAAGTAACTCAAATCAGAAAAGACATACAATAGTTTTCCATATATTCATGTGATGTTTCAGTTGACCTCAAGTTTGTTTTCACGGTACTAAGATGTGGCCAGAGTTGGCAATGTTAAAAACAACTTATGCATACAGCAATTCGAGCAAGCATCTGTTTTGGTTTCTATGCATCAGCTAGAAGCTAGCAAAGTTTCTTTTTTAACAATTTGTTCCTGTAATTGCAACTGTCAGTCTCCATGTTCTGTGAGAAGGCTTCTTTTGAAAACCAAATTTTAAAGGGAAATAATTACATTAGCAAAGAGAAGTGGTCCTCTAGATATTGGAATACAATTTCAATTAGCCATCACTATTTATTTTATTAGCTAGGGAGGGCAGGAATGGCAAACCAACATACAAACAAACAAAAACAAAACTTTATTTATATACCGCTCTATCTCCCCAAGGGGACTCAGAGCGGTTTCCAAGTGACATAATCAATACATACAAAGAGAACAGCATGAACATAAAATTCACAAGACTAAATAAGCATTAAAAACCACAATAGCACATATATTTAAAATAATCCTGCCTGTTCAAGGCAGTTTAAAAGGTCGGGCCGGGCTAGTGCAATTTTAGAGGGCCCAGGAAATTAGGTAGAGTCTATGGCTGTACATTTCCAGGGCCTAATAGAAGAAAGTGACCTGGATAACTGGTAGAAAAAGATATGGCCAATTTCTACAGTATCTGGGGCAGAGCTAGAACTAGTCGTTCTCAAAGGTTTGTTTAAACCACCAGGTCTTCAGGCTCTTACGAAAAGAGGGGAGAGATGGGGACTGTCTTATTTCTCCAGGAAGGGCATTCCGGGGGGGGGGGGGGGCACCACCGAGAAGGCCCTCTCTCTTGTCCCCAGCAACCGTGCTTGTGACAATGGTGGGAACGAAAGTACGGCCTCCCTGGAAGATCTTAAAGTTCATGCTGGTTCATAGAGGGAGATGCGATTGCGAAGATAGGCAGGGCCCGAACCATTTAGGGCTTTATAGGTCATAACCTGCACCTTGAATTTGGCTTGGCAAATTATCGGCAGCCAGTGAAGCTGTTTTAAAAGGGGCATTGAAAGTAGGAACACAGATCATGGGTCAGAGTTGCTTCTTGCTCTTCCAACCCTTCAGTAGGCCACAACGGGGCATGGGCAGTTACCAGGATGAATACTATAAGCATTGAGAGGTCACCATCAGTTATTCCCCCTGACTCCGCTTTCAGTGTGTGGGGATCCTGGAATATTATTTTAGTTTCAAGAAAGTATTTTTAAGCCAAGGGATTCCCCCCCTCCACACACTAAATGGGGCCAAGATTAATCAAGACATGAGGTCGTCAGGCAAAACATTCAGGGGCTATATATTTCAAGTACATGTAGTTAAATTTGCCTTTACACAGCACAGCTAAGACTTATCAAGTCTTTTCCACCTTAATATCCATTCACAAGCCTTCCAATAGAACCTACAACATTTTTATCCAAAAATCAGTCAACTGTGTTAAGTGGTATTTACTTTCCATGATAGGTTTGTTTAAAATTGTGAACTAAGATCCTTTATTTCAGTAAAATGCAACTCAGTTTTAACATGTAAAAACAAACTAATTTTTGGGAAATATAAGAATAAAAAACAAGATAATCCAAACCAAAACTTCCAAAACCCAAAATATACCACAGTCTAGAACAGGGCTGCTTATACTTTTTCGACTCATTACCTCTTTACTTCCAATAATTTATTTCATGACCCCTTCCTAACCAAGAATTTTTTTTATACAAACCTGGGTATATAGGTATCTAAAACAGGTATAGAAATAAAACATTAAGTGATAATAAATCAGCATTTTATAGGATTGCCAAACAGGCTGATTTCCCTTTTAATGAAGTACAGCAGAAGTATTTTCTACAGAATCCAATGTAAATGCTGCACATGGTTACTAGGTGGCATTCAGAAATCTTTTACCATTGCCAAATTTTCATGACCCCCAATATTATGCTAAAGTGACCCAATTTGTGGCTGGATCCCACAGTTTAAGAAGCAGTGCTCTAAAGCAGTGGTTCCCAACCTCCCACAATTCTAAACAGCTGGTAAGCTGGCTGGGATTTCTGGAAGTTGAAGTCCAAAATACCTGGAGGAGCAAAGGTTGAGAACAACTGCTTTAGAGCAACCTCATGAGAGAGTACAAACTGGAAACCTTAATAAGCCTGTTAATAACTAGGCACAATTTGGGAGTCAGATATTTTAGGAGACCAGCTGACTAACTGCAACACAATCCAGTCCTACGAGAACAAATTACAAAGAATTATATATTTTTGGACGTCTTAAATTCTTGTACTCCTAATATAGCCTATTATATTATATTGTTCTGTAATTTACAGAAAAAACAGCTGTCAGCGTATTTTGCGATATAAAAATTGACCTTTTAGCCCTATTAGAGAACTGCAAGGAAGAGATTTTTCACACATCTACATCCCCAAAACTGCTAAACTCACCTCTAATTCATTAAGCCTCTGTATCCTTGGGGTAAACCGGAAGTTATCCACCTCCACAGCAAAGGGAGGCTGCCAATCCTGAGAAAGAGGTCAAAAGATGTCAATGTAATTAGAAGCCCAATGTAGCAGTCATAAAGTCCATAATTATGCCTGAAGAGCAGAACCCACCTCTATGTTCATAGAATATGCCCAATAAGTATCCATCTTAATAAGTACATTGTCACGGGGTCCCCATTCGATTTCATAGACAAGGACAGTTTAAGTGGAACAAGATAAAATCAAACAGGAAAAGTTTGGCAGGAAGGAAAGACTCTCAGTTGTGTGATGAAATGGTTTTCATAATACGAAAGAGGGACATAGCTTACACAGGGATAAAGCTGACATTTGTGAAAGACTTAGCTTTATGCATGAATGCCTCCCAATGAAGCATGAATGCATTAGCGGATAGTATGTGCCCCTTTATCTTGACTATTATACAGAGTGAGTCTGACGTGGAAGGACAGGACATCATTAAGGTCTTTTTAATGAATCTACCAATCTTCATCACTAAAGCACTGGATGCGAAAGAGCTACACTACTGATGCTGAAGGACAGATGCTCCAACAGTGGGTCAATTGCTTATGTCATCAGCTGCTGGGGACAAGAAGACAAGGAAAGCCTTGTAAAGAGGCGGGTGTATGTGCTTGGGCGTGCCTGTGTGCAAGACCTCATAACAAAAGCTTTTGGGAAGTGAATCAAATTGATGGTTAGACATTTTAATTTCTAAAGGCTGCAATAGTCATCGGGATTTCCTCTCTTCAAATGTGAACCATATTATGGTAGTACATAGCCCGCCTTGCAGCAGCAGGGAGAAACCTTTCTTTTTAAAAGCATGATTAAACTATGCAAAAGAGTTTGAGAAAAGGAGACAGGTTAATCATGTTATTATGTTGCTGATTTCTGTTTCAGTGTTTGAATGAAAAATGAAGATGATAATGAGATCTGTAAAAAGGAACGTGGGGTAAATTCTATTATAAGATCTTTTTGGGGACTCACACTTCGCAATAGGATGCCTCCTCCAGACACATCTACTTGATTTTGCATCAGCATTACTGCCTTCTGGGCCCACAAAAGTATTTAATCTCTATGATATGCCTCCTAAGAGACAAATTCTGAATGACTGTAAAGCTTCCTATATTTCCCCAATCTTCTGCTGGCCGATTAGACAAAGGCTTTATTACTAGAAAACACATTATTTGCTGTAGGTACCTAGAAATATTATTTAAAGATCACAACCAGTTCTATTTTGGCTTTAAAACTACTCTGACTACTATTAAAATTCTTGATCACATGATGGGGTGTGTATGGAAACCAACAAATAAAATTAAAAACAAATAAAACAAATAAAAGGAGAAATGCCTCTAGAACATGGCCATATAGCCCGAAAAAACCCACAAGAACTGAGTGATTCCGGCCATGAAAGCCTTCGACAAAATTTATTTTCATTCCTGTGAAATGAAATGTTTAGCTTCAGATGTTGCTGCTGTATTATACTACAATTTACATCTTGGGCCTAGTGACAGAAACTTATGAAAGTCAGAAGGGGTCAAGATGTAGATGAAAGTGTCATGAAGTTACAAAAGCATATGACCCAACCCACAACTCCTCTTATTTGGAAACAATAGCAGAAACAGTGTCATTCAAATGTGAGTACCACCAAGGCCATAGAAATCGAGGTGCCTACAAAGACAACATGCTCTGAAACTCTAGCGCCTTTTCACACAGCTGAATAAAATCCCACATTTTCTGCTTTGAATTGGAATATATGACAATGTGGATTCAGATAACCTGGTTCAAAGCAGATATTGTAGGATTTTCTGTCTTCATATTCTGGTTTATATGACTGTGTAGATGGACCCTAAGTTAGGTCTGGACAAATAAAGCAGAGCTGCAAGCCTCTTTAAAGCTCACTGTTACCAACCTCTATATGTAGACCAAAAGCTAGTGTTTCCTACATTAAGCCTGTCTGCTTCATCATCATATGCAATTAAACCATATCCTGTCACTGATTGCACATGTGATTCTCTGTTCCACAGGTTACCCAGGGCCCTTCAACACAGCCATATAACCCAATATATCAAGACAGATAATCCACAATATCTGATTTGAACTGGATTATCTGAGTCCACACTGCCATATAATCCAGATCAATATGGGTTTTATCCAGCTGTGTGGAAGGGGCCCTAGTTATCAAGGAATATTCTGGGCATCTCCACTTCCAACATCTAAAGATGTTATTACCCATTTTGTCAACAAATATCCCTTGTTGATTTGTCATTATGTGATGACAGAATTACTAAGTAAGGTCATTTGATGGGATAATTTGGAAGATGCCCAAATCTTTCAACATGCTTAAAGATGATAAAGCATTCAATCCCTTTATTGATCTATGATATTTACCCTTTTTTCCACGAAGGACTCCGGGGCCTCCACACTGCCCTATATTCCAGCATATCAAGGCAGAAAAATCCCACAGTACCTGCTTTGAACTGGGTTTGAACTCAGATAATGTGGGATTTTCTGTCTTGATATTCTGGGATATGGGGTTGTGTGGAAGGACCCACAAAAACACAAACCCAAAACTTATTTCATTCAACAAGTTGGACATGAGCCAACAGTGTGATGCAGCAGCCAAAAAGCCAGTGGGATTTTGGGCTACATCAAAAGGAATATAGTCTCTAAATCAAGGGAAGTCATGGTGCCTCTCTATTCTGCTTTGGTCAGGCCTCCCCTAGAATATTGTGTCCAATTCTGGGCATGACAATTCAAAAGAAAGATTGACAAGCTGTAAAGTGTCCAGAGGAGAGCAACTAAAATGATCAAAGGTCTGGAGTTCATGATCTATGAGGAGCATCTTAAAGAACTGTAGAAGAGAAGACTGACAGGAGACATGTATAAATACATGAAAAGATGCCATAGGGAAGAGGAAGCAGGCTTGTTTTCTGCTCCCCTGGAAACTAGAACTTGGAGCAATGGGTTCAAATTACAGGAAAGGTGATTCCAGCTGAACATTAGGAAGAACTTCCTGAATGTAAGGGCTGTTCAGCAGTGGAAATCTCTGCCCCAGACAGCAGTGGAAGCTTTTTCCTTGGAAGCTTTTAAACAGAGGCTGGATGGCCTTCTGTCGGAGATACTTTGATGTTGCTTATCCTGCATGGCACAGTAATAATAATAATAACAATTTTATTTCTTACCCGCCTCTTCTCATGGCCAGAAGTGGGTTACAATTTAAATGCATAAGCATAGCAAAAACACTACAAATACATATGGTAAAACATACCTCCATAAAAGTTACACACCAAAATATATCTCTACAAATCAAATACTAAAACACAGAAGGGCCCCCAGAATATCAAGGCAGAATAACACAGAATACCTGCTTTGAACTGGGTTATCTGACCCTCTTCCACACAGATGATTAAAATCCCACATTATCTGCTTTGAACTGGGATATATGTCAGTGTGGACTCAGATAATCCAGTTCAAAGCTGATATTGTGGGTTATTCTGGCTTGATATTCTGGGTTATATGTCTGTGTGGAAAGACCCTGAGGCCCCTTCCACATTGCCCAATATCCCAGGATCTGATCCCAGATTATCTGCTTTAAAGTTGATTATATGAGTCTCCACTGCCAAGATAATCTGGGATAAACAGGGATCAGATCCTGGTATATAGAAGCAGTGTGGAAGGTAGCCTGAGTCCACACTGCCATATATCCCAGCTCAAAGCAGATAATGTAGGGTTTTATTCAGCTGTGTGGAAGGGGCCTGGATAGCCCATGCAGTCTCTTCCAACTCTTATGATTCTAACACAGTCATATAAACCAGTATAGTTTTCCCCTGACATTAAGTCCAGTTGTATCTGACTCTGGGGTGTGGTGCTCATCTCCATGTCTAAGACGAAGAGCTGGCGTTGTCCGTAGACATCTCCAAGGTCATGTGGCCAGCATGACTGCATGGAATGTCGTTAAACCAGTATGCCAAGGCAAAAAATCCCACAATATTTACTTTGAACTGGGGCCCTTCCAGACAGGCCCTATATCCCAGGATATGATCTGTTTATCCCAGATTACCTGGCAGTGAGGACTCATATAATCCAGTTTAAAGCAGAAAACCTGGGATCACATCCTGGGATACAGGGCCTGCCTGGAAGGGCCCTTGGTTATCTGGCATACATTCCAGTTCAAAGCAGATAAAAGTGGGATTGCAATCAGCGGTGTGGGAAGGGGCCACAGTCCCTGTTACCATAGACAGGACCAAGTCCACTCTCTTCAGCCCCTTGTACTCAGCTGTATAAAATCCACCCTGAACTGGATTATGTGGCAATGTGGACTCAGTGTGGAGCCCTCGTTGGCACAGTGGGTTAAAGCGCTGAGCTGCTGAGTTTGTTGACTGAAAGGTCACAGGTTTGATTCCGCTGTCAGCGCTAGCTTGTGCCAACCTAGCAGTTTGAAAACATGCAAATGTGAGTAGATCTGGTGGGAAGGTAACAGCACTCCATGCAATCATGATGGCCACATGACCCTGGAGGTGTCTACGGACAATGTCGGCTCTTCGGCTTAGAAATGGAGATGAGCACCACCCACCAGAGTCAGACACAACTGGACTTTATGCCAGGGGACAACCTTTACTAAGAACTTGTAACAGCCCCAGCTTCTGCCAACCTAGCAGTTCGAAAACATGCAAATGTGAGAAGATCAATAGGTACCGCCCTGATGGGAAGGTAAGGGCGCTCCATACAGTCATGCCAGCCACATGACCCTGGAGGTGTCTACGGACAACATCAGCTCTTCGGCTTAGAAATGGAGATGAGCACCACCCACCAGAGTCAGACACAACTGGACTTTATGTCAGGGGACAACCTTTACTAAGAAATTGTAACAGCCCCAGCTTCTGCCAACCTAGCAGTTCGAAAACATGCAAATGTGAGTAGATCAATAGGTACTGCCCTGATGGGAAGGTAAGGGCGCTCCATGCAGTCATGCTGGCCACATGACCCTGGAGGTGTCTACGGACAACGTCGGCTCTTCGGCTTAGAAATGGAGATGAGCACCACCCACCAGAGTCAGACACAACTGGACTTTATGTCAGGGGACAACCTTTACTAAGAACTTGTAACAGCCCCAGCTTCTGCCAACCTAGCAGTTCGAAAACATGCAAATGTGACTAGATCAATAGGTACCGCCCCGATGGAAAGGTAAGGGTGCTCCACGCAGTCATGCTGGCCACATGACCTTGGAGGTGTCTACTTAATGTCAGGGGACAACCTTTACCTTTTTTTTTTTTGGTGGACTCTGATAATCCAGTTCAAGGCAGATACTGTGGGTTATTTTGCTTTGAAATTCTGGGTTATATGGTTGTGTGGAAGGCCTCTTCCATTAGGTGGCATCTTGTGTTCCCCTCCCATAGGATTCCCCATCACAACGAATTCCGTGAAACACACACAGCTTCCGGCGGAGGGGGGGAGGAGAGGGAGAAAACCCCAACCCGTAGCAACCCCCCCCCCCCAATGAATGTCCTCCAGGTCCTTACCGCGGGAGGGCGGATCTTGCAGATGCCGCTCTTCTCTGCAATAGGCCGGATCTTGGCGATGTAGCCCAGGGGGTCGCTGAATTCGGCCCAGCTGGGCTCGAAGACGGGGCACTCGGGGGGCGGGAGGAAGTCCTCCGGGGGCAGGATCGGGTCGGAGTCCCCCGCGGGCCAGGACGGGCCCCGTTCGGCCCACTCGCCCGGCTGCTCGGCGCCCCAGCCCTTCTCCTTCTCCGCCGGCGGGGAGCGCAGCACCCTGTCCCCCGGCTCCGGCCTCCCCCGCGCGGCCCGCTCCGCCCTGGGCAGCGCCTCTCCGGCCTGGGGGCCCTTCTCCACGCAGTCGGCGCTCAGCTCGCCCGGCCCCTCACGGCACTCCATGGCCTGCCGCTCCTCCGGCGCTGGGGGCCCTCAGGGGGCCATGCCCGGCCCCGCCTCCCGCCTCTGCCCTCCTCTCCCGAGCTCAGGCCTGACTAGGCCGCCTTGCCGCACCGGCCTTCCCTCCCGCTTCCCCGCCCGCCCCGACCCCCTTGCCGCCTTCGCCCCTCCTCGGCCTCCTCTCCCGCCTTCCGCGAGGCCTTGACGGGACCGCAGCCGCCTCCTCCCTCCCTGCGCCCGAGACTCAAGGCCTGCCGGGTCCCCTCGGCCTAGCCACCGCCGCCATCTTGGACTCTCTCAATCCCCTCCACAGAGGATGCTGAGGCTGCTTCCCATCAACAACAAAGCGTCTCCCTCCGCCGCCCTCCTCAGGGGTGAGCAATGCTCCCTCCGAGCCGCCCCGCACCCGCCTCGGGAAACGCCTCCCATGCAAGAACCCCCGCTTGGGAGCCTTCTCTGCGGCCTCTCTCGCCCGAAGGAAGCGAAAGAAGCGAAAGAAAAGAGAAGAAAAAGTCCCTCAGGGCCCCGCGGAAGGATTCAACCAGCAGGGAGATGAGGTTGCCGGAACTCCTTGCGCACGTTTAAAGGTCCGCAGAGCGCCTGCGCCAGAGGACAGAAAACAGGAAGAGGGGGAGATGCCTGGGAAGGCGGGGTTAACGGTGGCCCCGCCCATTCAGTTGTCAGAGCAGCCAGAGCCCCGCAGCTGTCAATCGGGTTCGCCTGAGTTCACTTTTCTTCTTCTTCTTCTTCTTCTTCTTCTTCTTCTTCTTCTTCTTCTTCTTCTTCTTCTTCTTCTTCTTCTTCTTCTTCCTTCTTCTTCTTCTTCTTCTTCTTCTTCTTCTTCTTCTCTTCTTCTTCTTCTTCTTCTTCTTCTTTCTTCTTCTTCCTTCTTCCTTCTTTCTTCTTCCTTCTTCTTCTTTCTTCTTCCTTTTCTTCTCTTCTTCTTCTTCTTCTTCTTCTTCTTCTTTTCTTCTTCTTCTTCTTCTCTTTCTTCTTCTCTCCTTTCCTTCCTCCTCTCCTCTCCTCCTTCCTCCTCCTTCCTTCCTTCCTCCCTCCCTCTTCCTCCTTCCTTCCTCCCTCCTCCTTCCTCCTTCCTTCTCCTCCTTCCTTCCTCTTTCCTCCTTCTTCTCCTTTCCTTCCCTTTCTCCTTTCCCTTTCTCCCTTCCTCCTTCCTTCTTCCTCTTCCTTCTTCCTCCTTCCTTCTTTCCTTCTTCCTTCTTTTCTTCTTTCCTTCTTCCTTCTTCTTTCTTCCTTTCTCTTCTTTCTCTTCTTTCTTCCTTCTTCCTTCTTCTTCTTCTTCTTCCTTCTTCCTTCTTCCTTCTTCCTTCCTTCTTCTTCTTTCTTCCTTCTTCCTTCTTTCTTTCTTTCTTCTTTCTCTTCTTCCTTTCTTTCTTTCTTTCTTTTCTTCTTCTTTCTCCTTCTTCCTTCTTCCTCTTCTTCTCTCTTTCTTTCTTCTTTTCTTTCTTCCTTCCTTCCTTCCCTTCCTTCCTTCCTTCCTTCCTTCCTTCCTTTGCTCTTTGGTTCCATCTTTCCTTTTCTCTTTCCTTCCTTCCCTTCCTCCCTCTTTCTCTCCTTCTTCCTTCTTCCTTGCTTCCCTCTCTCTTTCCTTCCTTCCTTCCTTCCTTCCTTCCTTCTCTTTTTTCTTTCCTTTTCCTTTTTCTTCCTTTTTCTTCCTTTTTCTTCCTTTTTCTTCCTTTTTCTTCCTTTTTCTTCCTTTTTCTTCCTTTTTCTTCCTTCTTCTTCCAGGCAGCATCAGTAGCTGCGTCGCTTTGCCAAAGCAGGAGGATTGGCCTTATCCTGACTTTTGTTTGTAAATTCATCCATAATAAACAGGGCATACATCCATCTGCCTTGGAAACTTTTAAACAGAGGCTGGATGACCATCTGTCGGGAATACTTTGTGCTTTTCCTGCATTCTATTCTATGACCCCTAATTATTTGCAATCATGGAGTTGGAAGAGACCTCATGGGCCATCCAGTCCAACCCCATTCTACCAAGAAACAGGAAAATTGCATTCAAAGCACCCCCGACAGATGGCCATCCAGCCTCTGTTTAAAAGCCCCCAAAGAAGGAGCCTCCACCACACTCCGGGGCAGAGAGTTCCACTGCTGAACAGCTCTCACAGTCAGGAAGTTCTTCCTCGTGTTCAGATGGAATCTCCTTTCTTGTAGTTTGAAGCCATTGCTCCGCATCCTAGTCTCCAGGGAAGCAGAAAACAAGCTTGCTCCCTCCTCCCTGTGACTTCCTCTCACGTATTTATACATGGCTATCATGTCTCCTCTTAGCCTTCTCTTCTTCAGGCTAAACATGGCCAGCTCCTTAAGCTGCTCCTCATAGGGCTTGTTCTCCAGACCCTTGATCATTTTAGTTGCCCTCCTCTGGACACTTTCCAGCTAGTTGTTCCAGAATTATTAGGATTAGAAGGGCTGGAGTCATGCATCTCTATAAATGCCGCTGGACTGCAGTTCCCATCACCAGCCCTAGCCAGAACTCAATGTTAAGGAATTATGGGAGTTCTAGTCCAAAAGGATTGGGTTTTTTGCTCATAGTTGGGTTAGTCAACAAGTGGATTCAGCAGTGCCAGCAATGCCCATCTCATCTTGTTAAACCTTTACATAAGTGAGCTGGAGAGAAATGTTTGCACTATTTGCAATTATGACCAACAAATCAGTATTTTCATAAACACCCCAACCCTTCAAAACTTATATTAGTGTCACTGATCCAACACTGGCAATGGATTGTCTAATCTGAACATTAGGAAGAACTTCCTGACTGAACTCTCTGCCCCGAAGTGTGATGGAGGCTCCCTCTTTGGAAGCTTTTAAACAGAGGCTGGATGGCCATCTGTCGGGGATACTTTATTTATTTATTTATTTAAAAGTTTTGTATACCGACCTTCTCACCTCTCTTAATGGCAGTCTCTGAGGATGTAACACGAGCACCTGCTTGTCCAGTTTTGATGGATTCATTTCAATTGGTGAAACCCGAGGATGTGGACAAGATACTTGGAGGAATGAGGCCAACCACATGCATCCTGGACCCCTGCCCATCCTGGCTTCTAAAGGAGGCCAGAGGGGGATTGGCTGAGTGGGTTAAGGTGGTGGTTAATGCTTCCCTTCGGGAAGGCAAGATTCCAGCGAGCTTAAAACAAGCTATAATAAAACCGCTGTTGAAGAAACCATCACTGGACCCCACTAAATTCGACAACTATCGGCCAGTTTCCAATCTCCCCTTCTTGGGCAAAGTCTTGGAACGTGTGGTGGCCTCACAACTCCAGGTATTCTTGGTAGACACGGATTATCTAGACCCGGCACAGTCTAGCTTTAGGCCGGGACATGGTATCGAGACAGCCTTGGTTGCCTTAGTGGATGATCTGCTCCGGGAACTCGACAGGGGGAGTGTGTCCCTGTTGGTGCTGCTGGACCTCTCAGCGGCCTTCGATACTGTCGACCACGGTATCCTTCTGGGACGCCTCGCGGGGATGGGTCTTGGAGGTACTGTTTTGCAGTGGCTCCGGTCATTCCTGGAGGGTCGATCTCAGAAGGTGTTGTTGGGGACACCTGTTCAACCCCACAACCATTGTCTTGTGGGGTTCCTCAGGGCTCAATATTGTCTCCCATGTTGTTTAACATCTACATGAAGCCGCTGGGGGAGATCATCCGGAGTTTCGGGGTGCGGTGTCATCTGTACGCGGATGATGTCCAACTCTGTCACTCCTTTCCACCTGCTACTAAGGAGGCTGTCGAGGTCCTGAACCGGTGCTTGGCCGCTGTGACGGTCTGGATGGGGGCGAACAAATTGAAATTGAATCCAGACAAGACAGAGGCACTCCTGGTCAGTCGCAAGGCCGAACAGGGCATAGGGTTACAGCCTGTGTTGGATGGGGCCGCACTCCCCCTGAAGACGCAGGTTCGCAGCTTGGGTGTGACCCTGGATTCATCGCTGAGCCTGGAACCCCAGGTTTCGGCGGTGACCAGGGGAGCATTTGCACAGCTAAAGCTTGTGTGCCAGCTGCGCCCGTACCTTGGGAAGTCTGACTTGGCCACGGTAGTCCACGCTCTGGTTACATCCCGTTTAGACTACTGCAACGCTCTCTACGTGGGGTTGCCTTTGAAGACGGCTCGGAAGCTCCAACTAGTCCAACGCATCCAGGCAGCCAGATTTTAACAGGAGCGGAAGGGCGACAGGAGACATACAAGCTCCACCCTGTTGGCGCCAATCGTCCTACTGGCTACGAAGTCTGCTACCATACTCCTGGTGCTCAATTCAAGTGCTGGCTTGGTGTTGGCTCTTTAAAGTCCAGCGGGGCCCTTAAACGGTTCGCGTGGCCCGGGCCCGAACTACCTTCCGACCGCGTATCTCATGGGCCTATGAGCTCCACCATTGGGACATTTGTAGATCTTTTGTCTGTTGGCTTTTGTGGAGTCTGCTTGCCCACCTAAGCTCTCAAGCTCGGCTGGCAGGGAGCTAAAAAAATAACCAGCCTCACAAGCAGGGCTGGCGGGGACGAGAGATAGGGCCTTCTCGGTGGTGGCTCCTCAGCTGTGGAACACCCTTCCTACGGACATTAGACTAGCACCATCTCTAATGGTATTCCGCAAAAAAGTGAAGACCTGGCTGTTTGAGCAGGCTTTCGAATAATTAGTGCAATGATTGGTTAATGAACACTGGAATGGAACAATGGATGACGAATCTGGAACATGTTTTTGATGACGAGACGACAGTGAATGGGTATTGTAGCAACTGTTTATTAATTGTGTAATGTGTTAGGTTGTTAACTGTTTCTATACTGTAGCACTGAATTTTTGCTGTTGTATTTGTTGTGAACCGCTGTGAGTCGCCTTCGGGCTGAGAACAGCGGTATATAAGTAAGGTAAAACATAATATCACATACAATCAATAAAACATCATAATTCATATTACAATAAAACATTAAAACAGCAATTACATTCAATAACTACAATGGTCAGTCGTCCTACTAAAAGCATTGTTCATCATCCTCCATCCATATCTCAGGGTGTTGGCTCACTCATCGAATGCCTGTCTCCATAACCACATCTTCACCTGTTTTCTGAATGTCAGGATAGAGGGGGCGGTTCTGATCTCCAG